CTCTGGATATGACCCACGACTCCCAAGGTCCTACTTGCCTCTGACAGAGGATTGGGATGTGCCGCTGGTAGAATGGGCTCTTGTCACTGATGACGAGGATGAAGAAGATGAAAACCTCAACAATGAGGAGGAAGAGCCTGCGCCTTGAGGATCTGGCTACATGCTGCTGGAGCTCTACTGAGGGCCCGAGGCTTAGTTTTGAATGTTTTCCTGTGCTGCAGTGACCTGCAGGGGGGAGTGTGGTTCAGTTGATCGAGCCATAACTCCATTTGCAGTCATGTGTGGTCAAAAGACCATAAGGTTTAAAAGATGGATGGCATGCAACATGGCATGGCCACCTGCGCAAAGAATACACGCCATTGAACAAATGGCTCAAGATGCAAGCTCTTGAAAAGATAGAGCGCGTCAGCAGCTGCAAAGTTGCACCTGTGAGAAACCACGAAAGTAAACCCTAAAACTTCCAAACCCTAAACCCTAATGCGCGGTGCGCGCGCTGTGTCCCAGAGAAGTAAACCCTAAAATTTCCAAACCCTAAACCATCGTGTTATGCAACTTCCAAACCCTAAAGTTTAACCCGCGGTGTGCGCGCTGCATGCAATAAAATAAACCCTAAAACTTCCAAACCCTAAACCCTAATGCGTGCTGTGCGCGCTGCGTGCCAGAGATAAACCCTAAAACCTTCAAACCCTAAACACTAATGCGCGCTGCGCGCGCTTTGTGCAATAGAAATAAACCCTAAAATCTTCAAACCTGAAACTCTCGTGTCATAGAGGTAAACCCTAAAATTTCCAAACCCTAAACCCTAAACCCTAACGCGCGCTGCGCGCGCTGTGTGCCATAGAAGTACCCCTTAAAATCTCCAAACCCTAAACCATCGTGTCATGGAGGTTAACCCTAAAACTTCGAAACCCTAAAGTTCAACCCACGCTGTGCACGCTGCATGCAATAAAATAAACTATAAAACTTCCAAACCCTAAACCCTAATGCGCGCTGCGCGCACTGCGTGCCACACACATAAACCCTAAAACTTTCAAACTTTAAACCGTAACGCGTACTGCGCGCACAGCCTGCCATAGAGGTAAACGGTTAAACTTTCAAACGCTGCGTGCCATAGAGGCAAAGCCTAAAACTTTCAAACGCTAAACCGTAAAGCAGGCTGCGCGCGCTGCGTGCCATAGAGTGCTCCTCAAAAGTGATTACATGTCATACTTTAGTGGCATCCTCCAAATTCATTAGTCAGCCTTTGTTAATCCAGGGCCCATTTTACACATGTCATCTTCTTGGTCGTGGCGCCATTTCAGGATCACACTGATGACCTAAGCTTTGGCCTTAACTATTATGCAGGCAAGCGACATCAGCACGCTATGGTATTGGAAGACACAGGGTTTGCCCGTAGACCAGCCAAAAAATCGATTTTCCACACTGAACAATTGGATTTAACACATTTAGAATAGGAGCTCCGCCTGATTCAGATTTCATCACTTAAAAGGTACCCATGCCTGACTAGCCTTCATGACTTAAAGCGTAACCACACCCGACTTAAGGGAACCATGCCTGACTAGCCTTCATAATTAAGAGGTACCCACCCACGCCTGACTTAACAGAACCCATGCCTGACTAGCCTTCATAATTAAAAGGTACCCATGCCCCTGAATTCAGGGAACCATGCCTGACTAGCCTTCACAATTAAAAGGTACCCACTGGAACCATGCCTGACTAGCCTTAATGACTTAAAAGGTAACTACACCTGACTTAATACCTGATTTACTGGTTTTGCCTGATTTTGGAAAAACGCAGGGCCGGAATTTGCCGGGCTGGGATTTTGGGGTCGTGCCTAAATAGGATTTTTGCAAAAATCGTGCATGGCTGAAGGGAACCATGCCTGACTAAACATCATACCAATCATCCCAAAAGAATCCAATAATTCCAGCAAGTGATGCCTGACCAATCCCTGCGTCATAATAAACCGTCTGCCCCTCCCCACCCAATAATGAACACACGGAATAGTTTTTTGTATTTAGTGGGTATTTAGTATGAGGGTGCAAAACTTCCCCCTTGGTTTAAAAAAAACTAAATTGGAAAACATTTTTTAAATAACATCTAACTAAAATATTGCCAAAATTGGATTCCGAAGCTTCCCCCTGACATTAAATTGAAAACATTCGTTATAAAAAATGAACTTTATATTTCAAAACCGATTGAATTCCTATTCAAAATCTAACTCAAATCTTGCCAAATTGGATTTCGAAGCTTCCCCTTATATTAAATTGAAAGCCTTACTAATCCCCACCTCCTTTTACTAAACGTACCCTAAATACTAAAATATTACATTGATTCCTTTTACTACTAGGGTCCGCGTTAAATTTTGGGAAATTTCAGGCTGGCCAGTTTGACTTTTAATTGATACCTTTTCAAAAACAAATTAAACATGAAGGTCCCATTTCAGGATTTCACCACCAAAAAATAAAAACTAGTCAGCCCCGGTGATTTTTTAAACTAGGGTCTTTTAAGGTCGAAAAAATAAGTATTTTATATTACAACGTTTATATAATATTGGGGGAAAACCTCGAAATCCACTTTTTGGCATTTCCTGGCAATATTTTTGCTGGATGTCAAAAGGAAATCTAATCGAGTCTTGAAATCGAAAAAACATAGTTTTTTTTTTTTAATTATTAGTGTTTTTAATTTAATCTTAGGGGAAAACTTCGAAACAGTTTTTTTTTTTAATATATTAGGGCTGGTAATTTAATATTAGAGGAAACATTTCGAAATCCGGTTTTTGTTTTTATTTTTGTTGCTACAATTTAAAAGGAAATCGAATCGATTTCAAAAAAGAAAAAATAATATTTTATAGTAGGGTTTTTAAATGTAATATTAGGGGAAAACTCCAATTTTTGACCATATTCTAATTAGATTTCAAAAGGAAATCTAATGAATTTTGATATAGAAAAAATAGTCTTTGATATGAGGGTTTAATATGAGGGGAAAGCTTCGAAATCGAATTTCTGGCAATATCTTAATTTGAATTTACAAGGCAATCTAATCGATTCTGAAATAGAACAAATTTAGTTTTTTATATTGGAATTTTTCATGCAAGATTAGGGGAAGCATCGAAATCCAATTTTTGAACATATTTTAATAATCGGATTTTAATTTGATATTAGGGGAAAACTTCAAAAGCATTTTTTTCATTAGATTTCAAAAGGAAATCTAATCAATTTTGAAACAGGAAAAAAAACAAAATGATATTAGGGTTTAATATAAGGGAAAAGCTTCGACATCCAATTTTTTGGCCATATTTTATTTAATTTTAAAAGGAAATCTAATCGATTTCGAAATAGAAAAACATACATAGTTTTTTATGTTGGGGGTTTTTATTTGATATTAAGCTTCGGAATCCACTTGTTTGCCATATTTTAATTGGATTTAAAAAGAAAGAAATCTGATCGATTTTGAAATAGACATATGTGTATATATATATATATGTGTGTGTGTGTGCGTTTTTTTTTTATCAGTATTAGGGGGAAGCTTCGTACCCTAATACTAAAGACCCCCCCAATACTAAAAACTCCTCCAGGTGTTTGTTATTTGGGTGGGTGGGTGAAGGGGCGACTGTTTAGCAACAGGGGGAAGGGATTAAGCCGTTTTTTGTTTCTAATTTCAAAATCCATGAAAATAATCTTTAAATAGAATACTGCCAAGAATAGGATTTCGATGGATTTCGAAGCTTTCGCCTAGTATCAAATAAAACACCAACACCTGAATTAAAAAAACTAAAATTGACGATTTTAAAGGACGGACCCCAATAAAAGACACCCCGGTGTTGACTAGTTTTTTATTCTTTGGGGGTGAAACCCTCACATGGCACCTTCATTTTTAAAATTGTTTCCTCAAGGGGATCAATTAAAAATCAGATTAACCAATTTGACATTTCCCAAAATTGGAAATCGCACCTAGTTTTTGTCATTTGGGGGTATTTTTCGTAATAGGGAGAAAGGATTAGCAAAAAGAATGCCTGATCAAAATGATGCTGATTCTGTGTGTTACAATCTTTTTGCCCACTACAGTGTCTACAGGGTTACAAGGGATGCCGTGCCAGCTAGAGTCCCAAGTCCATTCAACCAACACCCTAATCGATGAAGTTGGACTTGTTGAAATGGAAGTGGGACTGGACCAGTTGACATGGGGCGATGCTGACCTTCAACGGGAGCTTCGGCGCCTGAAGGACAACAGTTTGAAAATTCCGAACCTGAAATATATTTTCAAAATTGCCTTACTAAGAGTGATCCCCACCCTGACACACTATTCTGACATAGTTTCTGACATATCATCTGGACGTATATGTGGCATATATGTTCTGACATACTATTTTACATTCTTTTCTGAGATTCTATTTGACATTCTTTCTGGCATCCTATCTGGCATCTATTCTGACATACTTTCTGGAATATACTATATTCTGATCCTGCCTTGCCATGAGTTTGGGCCGGGAGTGCTTTTATTTGCGTGGATCAATGCCAATGGCTTGAATATCCACCAAATGTTGGTTTCACATGTTTGCACCCAATGATTGCCATTACCATTGATACCCCAAAATGGCCAGGTCCTGAATTTGAGAGTAGGTCCTGAAAAGTTTTCTGGGTACTGAAAAAACAAGACTTTGGCACAGGGTCTGAAAAAAGACGTAGGTGGAAGATTCAGGTATGCTGTTGGGTTGCAAAGCTGGGTTAATTTTTCCATATATTGGGAAGAATCATCCCAACTAACGAACTCATATTTTTCAGAGGGGTAGGTATACCACCAACCAGTTATTTTATATCATATATAATCCCATCTTATACAACCATATATATAATCACTAAATTATTGGTATTATAACCACTATTATTTTCGTATAATCATCATATAACCATATATAACCAAAGTATAATAAGCCTAGCTATTGGATTGCTAGCCGTACATGTTTTGGGTTTAGGGATTCCCATCGATTCCTTCCGCAGGCCTGGGGTGAGGACACCTTTCTGGACGGGAACTTTATCGCGGCTCCCAGACAGGCGGCACGGCAAAAATTTCGGCTCACCGGCTCTGACACAGAAGAAATCTAGAGTCATAAGGCATATAAATGTATATTATTAATATTGTTAATGTATATAACAAATAGTAATAACAATATATTATAGATATCATAGAAATATATATATATTATTATCTGTGATATTATTATTAATATATTGTAGTGCTGTCTTCTATCGTTTTTAAACGTGTATTATCATCGTCGTCACTGCATTGCTTATGACTGAGCTAGTCTGACTTAAGTCTCTTTGAACAGCACCAGTACTATCCTCTCATATCCTCTCCGTTCTGTGCATGGAATAAATCCTGCACCAGTTGGTAATTATTGGAAGCTCTGCAAATAATGGGACGTTAATAACGAGACAAACCATCTACCAACTGCAGGATTTCCCAGCCATCCAGAGTTTGTCGCGAGAAATGCAGCCAGACCATGACATTTCCAGGTTTTTTTTCACTTCAAAATTGGTCATTTTGTGCGGAAGCCAGGAGTGCTCCAACGTCATCACAGGCAGCAACATCGCACCAGAAACGGCCAATTTCGAGGAACCTGGACTACTTGGACCATCCGTAGAATTGGAACTGGTGAATTTCAGCATATAAATATATATAAATATATATATATATAAATAGATACAATTATATAATCATATATTATATATATATATGTAAAATAAATATGTATACACATACATATATAATCATATATATATATATATACTGTAGGTTTTTTCCCCTAAATGATCCATTTCTGACTCGCTTCGAGGTATTTAGTCTGGATGGTTTTCAAGTATCAATGGTTTGAACATAACATTCCCCCAAATTGAGTTTGAAAAAAGAACTGAATATGTCCTGGTCTTTTGAACATATCATTTCCCCCAAAGTATCAATTGGTGCTACTTGGTGGTTCATTCCCGGAATCGTAAGCGGGGTCAGTTCACCCTATTTATAGCTGGACTAACCCCACTTACCCTACTGAATGAACAAGGGGGTTCAAAACTACCAAGTGCTGTAAGTCATAAGCCAAGTTGGTTCACAAGTAGTTTCCAAACTTAGAGTGCTTAGTATTAACTAGCAGTAAGTTCAACGGGAAATTCAGGATCCTAAAATGGAGGTACCTACCATATATATAAGGCCTAAATAATGCCTAAATTTCAGGGAATATCCCCTCAATTCAGCCAAAAATATGGTACTAAGTTTCTGTACCTCCATCAATTGGATCCTTTCTTATTCCCATTGAGTAAGTAGCTTATTTTCATGGGATCACCAAGTATTTTTTAGGTCACGAGGCACGAGGCACGATGCAGGACTTCTTGTGGACTCCCCTCACTGGGAGCGGCTTGGATGCCGACGCGTCCTTGGCAGCGTCCTTGCCCAGGGTGTCTTGGTGGAACGAAAAAAAAGCGGGGCTCGAAATTGGGGGATTTTTTCATGATACAATGGGGATTAATGGGAACATCGTGGTGATTAATGGTGATTAATGGGGATTAATGGGGATTAATGGGAACATAATGGTGATTAATGGTGGTTCATGGGGGTTAATGGGTTAATGGGACAATATAGTGGTGTAACGGGTATATTAGATGCTGAAACCAGGTGCATAGTGAAGTAGGAGCCATTCCACAAGGTATTATGTAGGAGCACAAGGCAGCTGGGCCCGGGATGACTTGAATGCACAACGCTGTTTTCCCTGACATGTCCTTCTATAAATAACATTTAAACCATCATGTAAATGGTATAACATGTTGATAAAAAAATAATGATGATTCTAATTCTTTGTGATACAATTCAAGATAATTAACATGTTGTTTCAAGATTCCATTTCCTTCCCCATCCAAATCTGCTTTGCATCTACCAAAGTGCGGGGACATCTCAAGATGGGCATCAAACGTCTCAACAGCATCCCTTCCGGCCCAACATGAAGCCCTAACCTCTGGTAAACTTTTACATAGCTATTATGGAAAACCAGCTTTTTTAATAGGTAAATCAACTATTTCTATGGCAATTTTTAATAGCTATGTTAAATTACCAGATGGTATATCCCCATAATATCATCATCATATCACTATTACAGTAATAATAATCATCACCATTAATCAACATGAAAATTATCAATCATAACATCCCCATAATCACCATAATAGCACCACGAAAATCAGCATTTTCATGATTTTCCCTAGGAGGTGTAGCAGTTTTTAACCCCATAACACCCCTGTGAATCTTTCGTGTTCTCTCCCATCACTGTGTAAACTGTGTGAAGATCCCAGTGACTGAAGATGCGCTGCATTTTTTTAACCACCCCAAGCCACAGATGGGTCTGAAAAAATACTCTGCTTCATACATATTATATACATTATATATATATATATATTAATTGTAATTATATATATATATTATGTACAATATGGTTTATCAGTTTATCATCAGTTGAATAACACGAAATTTTACCATCTGTCAAACAGAAATTGCTATTCTGTGTTTTTTTTTCGCCACGAGGTGCGTTCCAATGCCACTCGGTCCTTCACCTTGACTGCGTGCTATTGCAGCTGGGCGAAGCAGATCATTTTGCGAACGATATGCTAATATAGTGTTTCAATGGGCTATTAATAAATGTTAATCATAGTGTTAACACAAAGATTGTTTCATAACTATGGTTAACATTGGGCTATTGATGAATGTTAATCATAGTGTTTCATAGTTACACTATTGTAGTTACACATTATAGTTAATCATAGTGTCAAATAGTGTCAATAAATGTTCATAAATGTTATAGAATCATAGTATTTCACCATTATGGTTACTATAGCATGATTAGCTATTAAGATTAACTAAGATTACGAGATTGGGTTAATTAAATGATAATCATGATGTATTGTTTAACAATATTATCCCGGACTAGTATCCCCATAGAAATGGGGTTTGTATCTAGGCTTCTCAAAGATTTCACCATCCATGAAACACACGTAAATTGGATGAAATTTGTGTTAAGATAGCCCCTGGTCAAAATTCAGGCTACTTCGTTCACGTCAAAATCGTTGCTACTTCAGGTTCTTCCCCATGATGGAAATCATGGGGGGCTGATGGGACCCATGTTCGATATGTCCCAGTCGCATTTTTAACCATCCGCGACATCAAGGCTATACCTCGGTTTTGGGGATCTCTGGTGAACAGTTCGCAGAGATTTTGAAATGAACTGTTTCGACTGGGGCCATGTTCAAGTTCGCAAAGTGTCAACTTACCAGGGTTTTTCCCAGTTTTCCAACCAGTTTTCCCAGTTGTTCATCGAAGATTTTTGGACTTCTCGGTCGTTCCAGGTCCGAACTACGACGGGCCGCAGGACACCACTCTCTTTGCACCTGGGCAAGATGAAAAAACCGCCAGCAGGTTACCCACAAAATCGTGAACATGATGACAGACTATTAAGGTTGGTACATCCCCTATTCGTAAACTGGTGGAAAAATGCAAAATCCATGGCAAAATCCATTGGATTGAGACTGGAGGGCAAACATGCCACGAAGAAAAAGAGTTGCTGCCAGAGGAGACGAGGGAGAACACGGCCTGACATGACAATCTCTGGTGTTTTCCCATCCAAATGGGATGATGATCACCCATGACTCAGTGACCAATACTTTTCGGAGGTTATAACATGTTATAACATGTTATAACATGTTATAACCAGATCTCATTGGTTATCATTGCTTCGTTTCAAATGGCGCACAAAAAAAACCCGCTTTATCGGCGTCTCACTCTGCCGATCGTCCCAGGCATGTGATCATCCAAGTGAGTTTATCCAGCCCATTGGCATCGTCTACTACTGGATGATCCGGAGCGCGGGTGATGGGAAGAATCAGATTGGATGCACACGTATCATGGTAGCGACTTTTTGGGCTACCTGGGGTTGAAAGGAACGGAGACAAGCTGCCCAAAAAACGGGGACTTGTTGTTTTTTTTTCCGAATGAGTGGCTATCATTGTTGACGAATTGATGTCCGAATGAGACAACAGTGCTCACCAAACTCAGATGCGCTGAGTTATATGACAGAAGCGGAAGTGGGGGGCAACAGTGGTCATGGCTGCAAATGGCCATCATCGAGAGAAACTGTTTTTGTTGGTCTTGCGAGATGAAAGATGTGAAGTTTAAACGTGTTATAACAAAAAAGGCAGCCGATCTCCCAGCATCCTGTTCTTGGGGAAAGATGATAAACTGTGGGAATACTGTGGGATAAACTCTGGTTGGTGGTTTGGAACCATGGAATTTTATGACTTTCCATTCAGTTGGGAATGTCATCATCCCAACTGACGAACTCCATCATTTTTCAGAGGGATTCAAACCATCGATGGGATAAACCGTGGGATTCCCAGCAACGGGAGGATTTGCGACGTGGACACCTATGCCTCGTGTGGTGCAGAGGGGAATGCCCCCTTCATGAGGGTTTTACCTCAGAAACTTGGCATTAGCGATCCGATCTTGGTGGAAATTGCAGAGTGCTGGCGTGGATAGAAGTCTGAATGATGGGAGAATATCATATATTATATACAGTACATATACATACTGTACATGTAGAGAAGTGATGTACACACAATCATACACAACAGTTTATAAATATGGGCCATATTTTCCGAACAGTTTGGGGTAATCCGGATCGTCCGATTCATTAGGCATGGTTTAGTATTGAATTAACCATGTGTGGAGGTATCCAAATCTATCTTATTTATTTGCAGAGTCGTCCACTGCAACATCCTCAGCAAAATTCGAGTATGGGAAGCTAAAGGTGATGACGCATTCAGAAAATTGGGTGTGTCTGAAAATACCCTCTGGTAAACTAACATAGCTATTGAAAATCACCATTTTTAATGGGAAAACTCACTATTAATGGCCATTTTCAATAGCTACGTTAAATTACCAGATGGTATCCCAAAATCACGTGGTTTAAAACCTGATTCGTCGAGTTGAAATACATTGAAATACCATAGGCTGGGGTCCCATACCGCCCCATTTTCAGACAGACCATGACAGACCCACATCCACTATTTATTGGTAAAATCCTTGTTGCTGATGGCTACATTGAAAACGACATCACGGGGGGTTAGTCACCATTCACTTAGTCCCCACAGCCCACGCGGTCGTCCGAGGCAGCCGTTTGTGCTACGTGTTGAATGCCCACCAGGGGGTACATCTTGCGCGCCAACTCTGGACAATCGAGCCAACTGCCCAACAATTTTTGAGAGAGTTTATCTTGACACAGGTTATATCATGGGAATACAACGGGAAGATGATGGGACAATGGTGATTTAATGGGAATATAACCATTCTATTATCATGTCCCATCATTATAACCAATGTACATTCCCATTATATCATGGACACAGGTTATATCATGGTGATTTTCCATGGTAATATACTGGTAATGGGAATGAGAATTGCCCCAAAAAGATGCCGACAAATCTGCCACCGGGATGGCAGAAAACGATGTGTATCTCATGTTTGCAGATTTCCCACGTGCAATGGCAATTTTGGGCATCTAGTTGCTATAAATCATAGATATACATGGTTAGAAAACGATGATTAAGTGAGTTCACCTCCATAAGTTGGGATATGGGCCCCATGTAATTATAGTTAATATGTGCTTAGAATATCTTATAATTGTCTGGAACTGCTTTTGTTGTTGTGGTGATTGGTGGAGGCTGCAAGATCCCTTATGCACTGAGGGCGTAAAGTAAATGCCCATCAATCAGGAAAGCTATTCATGGGGAGTTCTCCCATACCTCATTCAATCTATCTTGTGGGTGGTTTAATGTTCTAAACCTCCAGTTTTTGCAAACCCTCGAATTGCTGATTAGAATGATTAGATACATCCAATGATTACATCCCATTCTACCACCAGTATCTATGAATGGTTCTGTGAGTGCTTGGCAAACTTACCGGCAAAGCTCATCACCAGAGCGTGCCAAGCAGATCAGCAGATTTCTGTGCCAAGCGATCTTGTGGGAACCTATCAGATCAGAGGGAAATCACTGAGGATTTTGCTTCACTTTTGCCATACGACCACCATAAAATGTTCACCATTTTGACCATTATTGACCATAATTATACTATTATACCCTCTCATAAAAATGGCACAAAAACTGGACCATCTTCGTCCAATTTCGATAGTAAACTCAAGTGGATTCACCGTTTTTGACGCTTCATTCCTGCACATATACATATTACGACATATATTTATAATATTATACCCATAGGATCCATGTATGCTTGGTCTCAGCCCCCTGTAGTTAGGAATTCACACGCAATCTTTTGGCTTTTAGCTCCCTCCGATTGGCACAGGATGTCAGGTCCCGCTCCATTGCACGTGTGTGCGGTTTGCGGACGCTGGCGAAATATTAATCCTGTGTGTGGTTTGTGCAGGGCAGCTAGGGCTTTTGGATCAATTGCTTTTGACCCACGGCTCACCGAAGCTGGGGTACTACCAATATTGGATATTCTGGATAGAACTGTTGGTGAGGTTTACGGTCTGCTTGCAACACAGCCTGTACCCTTGCCACCTTCAATTTCGGGAGCAGCCCCTGATTTGCCGGGGGAAGCTCCTGTTCCTGCTGGGGCGGCTCCTGCGTCTGCGGGAGTTGCGCCGGCGGTTTCGAGTCCAGGGAGAGCCGCAGCGAAATCTAGCGCCAAGGCCCCTTCTCCTGTTTCTGCGGGAGGAGGTGGTCTTCCAGCTTCGTCTGGTAGCTTGGCAAGGGCTAGCGCACCTTTTGAGGACGATCGCCCGCCACTGCCTCGGCGTTTTCCTGTGACCCGAGAGGCGCCCAATCCCCCAGCTCCTGTGCCTCCAAGAGCAGAGGGTCAAAGGCCGCGAAAAAAGAAAAACAAGGGTAAAAAGTGGAGAGAAAGGGGGGAAGAGCGTAAGGCAGCACGCCTTGCAAGAGAGGCAGCGGCAGCGTATCAACCCCCTACCGGAGACACAGACGAAAGCGAAAGCGATGCCCCCTAAGGTGAAAGCAAAAGCCAAAGCAAAAGCTTTACCTAAGGCGGCAGGGAAAGCCAAGGTGAAAGCTAAGGCTAGAGTTGCGTCGCGCAGAGCAGGACTGCTACGGAAGCGGCCAGCACGGGCTCCTCTTGACGGTGCGGGAAGCCCGTGTGCCTCCCCTGTTCCTGAGCCTGAGCTGTTCGCGCCAGTTGCGGAGAGCAGGTTCCGGCGGGAGGGAAAATACCATATTAAGGGTAAATACCTTGGTGTTGACGCGGAAGCAGCAGTAAAGATTGACAGTCTTGTTGAAGATTCTTTGGGAAAATGGGCCCAAGTAACTCTTTTGGGAACCAACCACGACAGTTTGAGAGAATGGCGTCTTCAGTCAAGTGCCCCCCTGTTCATCTCAAGGGTAGGCGTGACCACCGATCAGCAAGTGATGGACCAAGAGTTGTTCTACACCCGCGAGGTTGGAGAGATAGACGAGAAGATCACATGGATCACCAATCTCAAAGATCATGGTTCCACGGGGGGTCTTTCAGGGATCAACCAACTGGCCCGGGAGTTAGGTTATGGGGGAGGACAAGGAGTAGGTCCAAGGGAGAGGACGCCAGGAGGGGCCGATCCAGCCAGTCCAGCCAGTCCAACCAAGCCGTCGAAAAAGAAAAGGCTTCGCGGGAGGGAAAGAGTGAAAGCTATGCTCAAAGACAGCCAATGGTCATGGAAAAACAGCGCCCTAGATCCGAGATTCAAACGGCCAAAAATTCGGTTGAAGAGGAAAAAAGACAAATCCAGCTCATCGAGCACAACCGAGACAGAGAAGAGCAACGATTCAGAAGAGGAAGATCTGTTCCCAGAGGAGGATCAGATCAAATACATACACAGGAAATGCCCGGGGTTGCTGACACGTCATGGAATCAAGCAGGCAAAATGCAGGGTTCTAGCTCTTCAGGGAGAAGGTGGGGAAGGCAAGAATCCAGAGCCAGTATTTGTTCGATATCATCGTCAGATATTTGCCCCGCAGAACCCAAGCGCACCCCTGAAACGAGAGCATCTGACACTGTCGACGGTGTTGGATTGCATTCTGCGGGGGGAAATTTTGAAAGGATCAGATATACTGACCCAACGATTGAAATCGTTGGAGCAAATTGCGCACGGAGCACCAGCACACCTTGCCTTGAAGTTAGAAATTCTACCACCAGAATCCACTACTCTCGCGAGCATCGAAGAGTCGAGAACAGCGGCAACGCAGCACCATCGCGAACTCAAGGTAGCGGAGGTTTGGAAGGGGAAAGGCAAGCAAGGCTCATGGGGACCCAGCCCGCCTTTGACCCCCGGCAACACCAAAGGGCTGAAAGGGAACAAAGGTTCAGGCGCAAAGGGAATTCAAGGGAAAGGAGACAAGGGAGACAGGGGGAGCAAGGGAGAGCAATCTGGGAGAACAGCTATAGTGGCCCCGACATAATTGTAGATGATGTATCCAGGTCCCCTGAACTTACGGGGGGCTTTAGCTTGGGAAGGACTCCTGAGGATGCGGGAGCAGATGCTGTGGGTTGCAGCTTCAACTCTGAGAGGCACCCTGCCAGAGAGCTCAAAGGGGCGCTCAGCAGAGTTGGCACAGAGCTGTTTTTGACCCTAAAGAAAAAAGCAGCTACAGCGGTTAACACGGGTGGGGGTGTATTTCCCCTCCCCATGGTCCCCTGTGACACGCCACGGGATGATCATGCAACTGACAAGGGTCATTGGTTGAATTGTCTCATAGCATCCTTGAACTGGATGTCAGGCGGGGTTTTGGGGGTTCCACCTAGGGGGGAGATGAATGCCCTTCAAAAAGATTTGGTTGGAACTTTGGAAGAATCCATGGTCTTGATAGACCGCTTTAGCCAAGAGAATTTCACTGATGAATCCATGCGTGCGTTTTGGAGCCGTAGGATTGTGAATGCTTACGGTGAAGAGTGTCACTCCGCTCAGAAAATTAGGTGGGCCAATCTTATCCACAGTTTGCCGCCCAAAGGGCTTGCCGGAATTGTCAGAGGCGAAGAGAGTTGTACAGGTGGGGTTAGAGATTTTCTTATTAACCCTGCGAAGTATTTGAAGCCAGTGCGGGAGTGGGTGTACATGCCACCTCCTCGTATCTTTGTGGATGAGGATGATTGGCCCGAAGTAGCTGCTGGGCTTATAGATCGGGGTATTTGTGAACCTTTTCCTTTGAAGGATGTCATCCGGGTCGATGGGAAACCCATGGTTGGGGGTTTGTTTGGTGTCCCCAAAAATGAAAACGTTGACGGTGTTGATGTTCTGCGACTCATCATGGATTTACGGCCGGTCAATTCCATGTTTCAGTCAATTGTCGGGGACATGTCTACCCTACCGATGCTTAGTCAGCTGCAACCCTTGGAGCTGTATCCCAATGAGACGCTGTTGATTTCCTCAGAAGATATCAAAGCCATGTTTTATGTGGTAAGTCTAGGTAGTGTATGGCGGCCGCTCCTGTGTTTCGGGAGGGTGCTGCCACCAGAGCTTTCCCCAGACCCACATGAAGAATATGTGCTTTCTAGTTTGGTGTTGCCGATGGGCTTCATCAATAGCGTTGCTGTAGCGCAAGCTTTGCACAGGGGTATTGTACATGCTGCCATGGATAAGCATAAGGTCAGCCGTTCTTTCGAAATTAGGCGTGACCAGCCTCTGCCACAGGAATCTCTGGGGTACCGCATCTACTTAGACAATTTTGACCTCTTGAGAAGAACAAACCCGGAGGCCGCTTCACTCCTAGATGGGACCCTGGATCCTTTGGCGGGGGCTTTGCGGGAGGAATACAGCAGGCATAAGGTACCCAGGAATTTGAAAAAGTCTGCGGAAAGTCAACTTGTAGCTGAAGTGCAGGGGGCCGTTGTTGATGGGGTTCAGGGCATCATTTACCCCAAGTTGGAAAAGGTAGGACGATACTTCAAAGCGGCATATCATCTCTTGAAAAGCGAGAGATGTGATTTGAAGCGTATGCAGGTGACTTTGGGGGGGTTCAATTACCTTTTCAGCTTCCGTAGGCCCCTGATGTCAATCTTCAACGAGAGTTGGACTTTTACGGCATCCTTTGAGGGTAACATGCGTTTGTGGCAGCCAATCCCTAACGAAGTGAAGGAAGAATTGTTTGCTGCTTTGTCATTGTCCTTGTTAGCCTTCATGGACATTAGGATGCCTTACGACCCTTTGTGCACTGTGTCGGACGCTTCGGAGGATGGCGGTGGTCTTTGCCAGAGCGTGGGCTTGACAGCCTTCGGACAAGCCGCCAAGAGCAAATTCATCAGGGGTGAAAGGGAGGAAGTGACCGATGACAACCAGCTTCTGGTGATTTCGTTATTTGATGGCATGGGAAGCTTACGAGTAGCCTTAGATACTATTGGTGCACAAATTTCTGGGTATGTCAGCGTGGAAAGGTCTAGCGAAGCATATCGTACTCTTCAAAGTAACTTTCCTGGAGTTCAACACTTTGACGACGTAGTTGATATCACACCTGCGGTAGTGCAAAGTCTAGCGGGAATGTATCCTAGGACCTCCTGTGTTTTGGTAGCGGGAGGACCACCTTCTGAGGCTTTTTCGGGGTCATGTAATTGTGACCCTGTGGCAGCTCTTCATTCTCATGTTTGTCGTGTAAGGGACTTATGCAAGGATGTCTTCAGTTGGTGTGAAACTTTGGTCCTTATGACATCTGGTTGCTCAATAGATGAGAAGGGCAGAGTCGAAATAACGTGCGCGATTGGCATGCTTCCTTTCAAAATCGACGCTTTGGGTTTGAGCTTGTGTCGCCGTCCCAGGTTTTGGTGGTTTGATTGGATCGTCGAGGCCGAGGATGGAGTTGAAATCTATTTGCCTCCCAATAGCGAAGCGCGTTCTTGGGGCCAAGTATCGTTCAATTTGGAAGTTAACCCTGATGACTACTTGCCTTACGGGTGGTCACTAGCGGGGGGAACTAACCATAAGTTATGCACTTTCACTACAAGTCAACCAAAAAAGGGCCCTGGGTTTAAACCAGCGGGGGTTCAGAGTTGTAGTGAACGGGATTTGTCCTTATGGGCTGGTGATAGGTGGAGGTTCCCGCCGCATCACTACAAGTATGAAAATGGTTTGGTTCACAAGAGAAAAGGTTGGAAGATGGTTGGGGTTTCAGAACGCGAATGTATTCTGGGCCTGCCATTGGACTATACGTTGAAATGTTTACCAAAGCAAGCAGTCAAAACTGATCCTTTGAAACACGAGGATACCAGGTTAACCTTATTGGGGAACAGTTGGGGTATTCAAGTGGCAGCGTTCTTGATGCGGTCATTATGCCTCCCTCGCAACCTGTGTCCCCAGATGAGTTTGCAAACAATGTTGCAACGGTGCCAACCAGGCTCTGGTCAAGCGGATGCCGGGTTGAACAGTTTTCTGACCAGGCCACCCTGGAAAGCGGGGCGGAATCCTGTTGTTGAGGGTAACTCAGAGATTTTGATTTCACGTTTGGGCACTTTGGTTTCGACAAAAGGTAGCGACATTCTTTTAAAAGCTGAAACAGAACCGGTTGTTACCTACGACAAGTTGCGAACAACTGTGCCTGCACATTTGTGGTCTTGGAAGACAGTCTGTGGGTGGCGTTGGAAGTATGGCCAATCTCCTGAGCAGCAAGAGCATATCAACAAATTGGAATTAAGGGCCGTGCTCACTAGTATTCGTTGGCGTATTTTCAAACAACGTATCAAGAAGACAAGATTCTTGCACTTGGTTGATTCACTTGTCAGTCTTCATATTTTGAACAAGGGAAGATCTAGCTCACGGTCATTGCAAAGGATTATCAAAAAGATCAACGCGTTACTCTTGCTTTCGCACACTCTGGTTCTCCTAGGTTATGTCGATACGGCGTCCAACCCGGCCGACGCTCCGAGTCGGCGAGGAATGAAGAAACGGAAATGGGCAAGCGTCGTATTATAGAGGGCAACTCCCAGGAAGCCAGAAAAATGCGAAGGCAAGAATTAGGACCGTTGAAATCCTTGATCATAAAACCTGCAACTTTAGAACGATACCGTAGAGCAGCTGACCATTTTTTTGCACATTTGCGTAGACAACGGGAGCCGATCCCTCAGACTCCTGAAATTATGGATATTGTACTTAGTGAATACATTGGTGAATTATGGGAAGAAGGCCACTCGAAGTCTTTAGCGGGGGATACCATCAGTGGTTTGCAGCATCATCAACCTTCACTAAAGGGCGAATTGAAAACATCCTGGCGGTATTTGAAAGCTTGGCAGCAGGCCGAGGTGCCGGCTCGGGCCCCCCCTTTTTCATTACAGACCCTTGCAATTTTTTGTGGTTGGGCACACCAACAAAATCCTCATTGGGCTTTGGCCTTACAGCTTGGTTTTCATGCGCTCCTGCGGACGGGAGAGCTGTTACAACTACAGGCTAAGGATTGTACTGTTCAACAAGATCATATACATTTATTCCTAGGGCAAACCAAGACTTCTTTTCGAAATGCAAATGTCGATTCTGTCCATTTTCGCCATCATCAACTCGCATTGCTGCTCGGTGCTTGGAAGAATTCGGTGCGCAAGAATGCCTACCTAGTAGATTGTAGCAATACAGCTTTTCGTACTTGGTTTGCCCGCGGGCTTCGGGATACATCTTTGGAACACATTGGTTACAAACCCTATTCTTTAAGGCGTGGGGGAGCAACCCATGTTTTTACAGAATCCCATTCTTACTCCACTGTGACACAACAAGGGCGGTGGAGTTCGCAGCAGACAGTTCGGGTATATATAGCAGATTCTTTGGCCTTGCTGAATGATTTGAATTTAAGACTGAGCCCAATTCATTTTACATGTCTTCGACAATGGAATGCAGTACTTAGGGAGCTTGAGCTTTCGGCGCGCCGAAGGAACGGGGAACGTGGATAGGACACAAGGATGCATCACTTAATGATTGTTTGTTGTAATTCCTGGTTTTTGTTGCTTCGTGTTTTGTGGAAATTAATTTCCTCTGATCCGGGTGGTTTTGTTTTGCGCATTTTCTTGCTGTTGTTGTTTTACCAACCAACTGCTGTAGCAAAAAAGATGAAGTGGTGCAATTCCTATATATGGTAACATGGATCCCATCAATATACCCCCAATGTTAGCATATATACCAGCACCATGGATCCGTCATGGGATATATTTCATGATAATTCTCTATTCTCTTCCGGAAAGTTCAATTTTAATCGATCCCATCAGTTTTGGCAGCCGAGGTGAAGTTTCTACCAGGCATTCCACCACCAGGCACGGCCCATGGCGACCCATGTTTTTTTTTCCGAATCCCATGGTGATTGGTGCTTCAAAAAATGCCTTGGTTATGCTTCGTTTTACCAACATCTGTAAGTTTATCGAAGTATATTCCGGAAGATATGGGACGTTTTCATTTTTTTTCATTTTTTCATGCGCCAACAAGAATCGTACCCTCTGGTAATTTAACATAGCTATTGAAAATGGCCATTTATAGTGGATTTACCCATTAAACATGGTGATTTTCCATAGTTATGTTAGTTCACCAGAGGGTATCCTACCCAGAGATGTATAACTTGACCTGCCGTGATTCAGGCCCCGATGGAACGATCTTCATTGAGGTGCCCGAACGTGCTATCTGGGAACCTCAGAGTCGATGTAAGATCGAAACCAGCATGACTCCTGGCGGCCATGGCGCGGAAGCGCTTAAAATGTGGCGGCAACTGCCGTTTAACTGGCAGTTGCTGGGATACCAATCAGGTATTGACAAGTTAACAAGTAGTTAACCATTGATGATGAACTGTTGAAGAAAAACCATGGTATCTAACTTCATTCATGATTCAAGATGATTCAGCGAGGTTTGTAGGGTTTGACCAAGAAAATTGGACGGTGAACCGTAAAAGATAGGGGGATCCCATGAATCTGGGAAATTGCGATGGTTTTGACAACAGCCACTGATATTATAATGAAATCTCACCAATGATACATACATGCATAATATATATATATGTATGTATATATATATATACAATATGTATATACAATATATATATATGGCCATATATACATGCCATGTTGTTTTGCAACTTCCCATCGGTTTGTGGGGGTGTAACCAACAAAAATAAAGGTTTAATATGATTTAATGCAGAAATTGAGCCCAGCTGGACTTCAAATTGGCACAACAAGTTTGAGATTGATTTGGGCCAGTGGTTTGGAAAACCCATTTTCACCTTGCAATGGCAACAAGCTTTAAAATATAAATCATTATATCCCATCAAATTTGCCCCAAGAGTTGCTGGTAGAAAGCCATCAAAACTTCCGTAGCCATGGCAGTTGTAGGCTACGTAGCCAAGGACCAACGACATCGGTTGGGAGCCCCCCTTGGAGTACGATGAGTTCGGCGGCTCGATCTCGATCTTAACATAGCCATGGTATAGATGGCCCATAGAAATAGATGGTTTACCTATTAATAGCATGGTGGATCTTTCCATGGCTATGTGAGTCAGAAAAAAACATGGTAGCTATTGAAGATACCCCAGTTAGTTCGTTGATGACTACTACTACCCATCATAGTTATTTGGTGATTTTCCAGTTCGTTATGTAAACGTTTACCAGAGGGTAAATCATCTCAAATCTTTCCCCACTTTAAACAATTTCATTGATTTCATCCCCTATTAAACCATTGTTTTTTTGTGTTTAATGCCGGACCCAGTATGAAGGGGGGATGGGATTATTATGCTTCATCATGATCATGCAGTTGAGATTCCACTTATTTAATTCTATTTCCATAGAGGTTCATTGACATGTACCCTCTGGTAAACTAACATAACTATGGTAAATCACCATTTTTTATGGGTAAATCAACTATAAATAGCCATTTTCAATAGCTATGTTAGTTTACCAGAGGGTACCACACATTTTTTATCATTGATTCAAGAGAATTCAAGAGAATTCACCAGTCATTAAGAGTAACTATCCACACCATTTGGTCACCAACCCACCAGAAAAGCCGACCTTTTTCACCATACAAACCCACCATGGCTCTTCCTTTCCCCCAGAGTTGCTTCCGCCTGAGGAATTCTGGTGAATGGTTTAGCTCACCTGATTGGTGGCCACTTGACCTCGCACGTAGAACATTTTTACCCAAAAAAGTAAGCCTCAAAAAAGTAGGATCCTACGAACATAATGATGAATTACTTTTCTATATGTTTCTGAATTTCTATCTTTTTGGGGATTGCTAGTATAGAAAAATCCTGAGCAAATCCCACAGTTTTTTTTCTGAATTGGTGAATATTCTTGACATGTGTAGGGTTCACGCATCGAACAAAGGGGTTTACTGTTGAAACATGGGGGATTTAGCTTCAAACACATGTGATTATTGAGTCTAGAAATTAGAACATCATCAATGGGTAATGTAAACCCCAGATTGTTGCTTATCAATTAAGATGAATTAAGGGGCTCTCCCCAAAAAGTGATGAAAAAAGCTGCGAAAATGGTACCCACAATTAAGGTTATCAGGGGGATGCCTTGATTTTAGATGCTAGGGAAATTAACAAAAAACCATTTGACACAGACCCCGGGCCCCGTTGATTGCTCCTTGCCGGGCCAATGGTTGACCCTTTTGGAATGACCCACAGCCATGGATCCCACGAGCCACGCATCTTGGCCAGCCATTGTCAAGGTGATCGTCGAGATTACAAGTTCTGGGCAAATCCTGGTCTGCTTGGGTTTCTTGGCGCAACAGCGCAACATCTTAATGGCTTATACACCATATGTGTATATATATATAACATATATTTAACATATGTTCATATGATGTGTATATATATATATATGTATTATGTATCTCATGATCTATATTAATGATACGCACATATTATCTATCGTTTTTCTATGTGCTTGTCACAATGTGGGGGCTTCCATCGGCCAGGCTCATGCCGATGGAGAGCAAGGCCACGGGTGGACGGTTACACGCGTGGATGTGTCTGGTTAGCTTCTGTAGTGGTAAAAATGTTATCTTAGCTTACTATGTTTCTATGGTTACTGTTATGGTTACTGTTATGACTGTTGTGGTTAATTTAGCTGAGAAAAAGACTGCTGGTGAATTCTCTTGAATGAATGTAGAAAATGGATCAGAGAAACATCGATTCATAGATGTATAGTATATATACATCTTCATAAAATGTTTTCAGCAATTTCCCATGAACCTTCCAAGGGTTGCGACGACTTGGGGCTACGCTCGCGTACACTCGCGTGAAACCCTGTGTAGTCCACGTCGCCGGTGTGCAGGTTGAGGTCTGCTACTGTGAGAGTTCTTGCGACAACAGCTTCAACTACTTCAAGGTGAGGATCATGCGGCCGGGGTCAAATTCAGATACCCTGAAAATCCCTGAAACTTGGATGTGGGTTTAGTGGCTTTGTCTGAAAATGGGCTATACTCCCACGATGGCTTTCTAAATGGGAAACCTGATTGTTAACCATAAGATTTTGGGGCACTATTTGAGACAAAAACATGGAAAACATGTCATGACAGCAAAATAACTGCAGTTGTGGTTCTCAGCATGTCATGGAGTTTTACCATGTTTGACCCATATACCTATGTGATACTGTGAACTTCGTCAAGACAGGGGTTCTCCATGTGCCCAAACAGCGGATTCCTTTTGCCCCAAGCTTTGCTGCTTTGGATTAATATTATAGCATACTATAGCCACAGTTTATGGGACTGGAACCACCAACACTATTATTAAAGTTTATGCACAATTCTTCACAAAGTGGGTTTGGATGATCATGGATGGTATGGCCCAGCATCATTTGCCGTGACTTGAAATAACATCCCTCCACAACCTTTGATACTAATAATATCCAGTGAGAACTTACTTTTTTCTATTCATCAATCAAAACCAGTCTAGTCTAGATTCCTTAGGCCTTAGATCAACATATTTTTTTTTGCATCCCATTTGTTTCTCATATCCCATTTGTTTCTCATCTAGCACTGGTTGGTGGTTTCAAACATATTTTTTATTTTCCATTTCAATCCATTTCATATATGGGAATGTCATGTCATCCCAACTGACTTTCACTTGAACTCATATTTTTCAAGATGGTTATTGCACCACCAACCAGGTCATTATGAACCATCATTAACCATATAATAACCATGTATTAACCATATAATAACCATATATTAACCATATAATAACCATATAATAACCATATAATAACCATATATTAACCATAATAACCTCTGGTAAACGTTAACAGTTTGCGTCGCAAGTCGAATCACCAGGTGGGCGAGATCACGTCCGCGGACTCCGCGGGCATCGCACGATGGACCAAGGTCCCCAATCTGGGAGGCCCGGCGTCGTTTTTTGTGAAGCCAAGAAGTATAGTCACTGGATTGGTTTAAGGGAAAATCTACAGGAAACCATGGTTTTTACCATCAAATATAGGGCTTTCCTGTAATTTTTCCCATAATCCAATTCTATGATATAGGAATTATGGATGATTATGGTTATAAATATCTTAACATTTAGTGTTAACACATGTTTTGTTTAAAGGATGTGGGTAGGATTTTCGTTTAAAAATAATGGTGGCTCATCCCACTTGATAAGTGAGATATAAGCCCAGATACCAGATGTATCCAGATGTGATGTTATGAGGTTAATTACGGGACAGTGTCCATTTATAACTGGTGTGAACTCACTTGCCGTCCCACCATTGGACCATCGTAGCATCGACACGGCCGCATTTTTTTCGTGGCACAGAGAGCGATATTGGTTCCAAGGGTGTTCTCGAAACACCTGGAGAATCAGGATCACATCTGAAAATCAGGAGATATGCATATATTATACTATACATATATGTATAATATATATATATTACAATATATCTATATATATGTAATAATAAGTGATATATATATAGTCTTTCCATGTCTCTATTGAATCTTGTTTCCCCCTAAAAAGCTTTAAACCATGGCTATCCCCTTCTCGGCAGCTTGGAGGTTTGATCCAGGAGATTGAATCACTGCAGTATGTCGCTTGGAACTGTGGCAAGAGAAACGCCAGAAAACAACAAGGGGATGTGTCACCAATGAGTCTGATCCATTAAACAAACCCATGTACGGGGTTTCTCTCAGATCATCCAAGATCCATGTGTTTTCAACTTTTTTGCGCAGATCATCGAAGATCATTAAAAATGGCTTTCTAGGTCGTGAACTCTGTCCGTTGTGGATTGAGTTGTGGGTTGCTGCAACATCGCCCCATTTTTTGGGATGGGACGGTTGAGAACCATGGAGAACCCAGGCCATCCGTATCGAATCCCTGGTTTTTGCATGACACATTCTTGTTGCTTGCACTACATGTTTATCATCCAACAATCATTTATCAACTATAACTAGATCATATTACCATGTCCTACTATAATTACTATATGCCCACTTTTTTCATGGTCAAAACCGCCAAGAAAGTATACGTATATATATATATATATCACTATCTCCTACCACATGTTTCCCACATTTTTCATGGTTAAAACCATGTTACAACCAGGTAACCACCCAACAGTCGTGCCGAGGTTACGAAACCTGGGGCCTTGACGCTCTATGCCGGCATCCGCTCCACCTTGTCGGAGGGAATGCATCCGTGGCGCGGTCTTCAAGCGGTCGAAGTCCTTGATGACCTGGGATTTCAATGGGATTAATGGAATTTACCCTCTGATAAATGGGATTTTTAATGGGATTTTAATGGGATTAATGGAACTTATCCTCTGATAAACGTTTACAGTTTGCGAACTTGAAAATGGATTGTAGTTGATTTAGCCATTAATTCATAGCATGGTGATTTTCATAGTTATGTAAGTTATGTAAACGTTTACCAGGCCAGGTAGTTTTTGGAGACCATCAATGACCTGGCTTTGTAAACAAGATGTAAACTTTACGTGATGGTTGGCATCCACCAGCCACCATTGGGGCATGGATTTTGGAATATGTTGTCTTTTGGGAAGCCTTACGCAAATCCAACATGAGGATGAGATACTGGGTTCCACGTGAATATTGAAGATAAGGATGAAGATACCAAAAAAAGATACTGGTGATGATTACCATATAATTATTCATGATGAACATCTCCCTGTGAAACGTATATGTCAACAACATGCTACGCATGCAATTAGGATCAATTAGGTGAGCTTGTGCCAGTATTGCGACTCTTATTAGATGTTGTTGTATGGGTATGGGTCAATACCTATAGATACATTTTTAGTGGGTTATTCACATCCATTTACCAGCTATTTTGGGGTTCACCAGGGGTACAAGGTTTTGACCCATCCCCGTATAGACATGAGAAGTTCCCCGATGAGTAAAAAGAGTCTCCAAAGCCAAGTGTTTCTCGTGAGATCTCCATTTTGAATACGTAAAGTTTCGCTGTACTTCTCTCGCTTTGAAATCTGAAAGAACAAACGCCAGCATACGTAAAACCTACATTCCGGGTAATGTTGTAAACTCAACACTAGACTAGCCACAATTTTACCAGAAATGAGTGGTATAGTCATATATATATATAGACTAGACCATCAACGGGTGGATTTATTAGTGGCTTTATCAAATTTACATGTGTTGTTCAGAGAATGGACCAGTCATCCAGTCGTCCTCTGGTGCTGAGGTATGATAGCATCCCTTGGCGAAAGAAGACGACCCTGAAGCTGGTGCCCTTTGACAACTTGGCCAACTATCCCTGGGGTGCCGAGGCGAACGTACCGAAGGCACGGCGTACCGAGTGTTTTTCAAACTTTGATGCGGGCAAAACAATGATTCAATGATAAACTGTCCCCAATTTTAAGCCATAAATGGATAGTATAAACCATCAGAATATGGAAGGTTTATTGTTGCTTTACTAACATTCATGGGGAACGGTCACAGAAGAACAACATCAGTCTCCACTGAGAAGCTTTAGCTCCTTAGCCTCGGCTAAAACGAATCGTTGTCTGCGACCTGTCGGGCTTTGGGAGAGACGAATTCCATCCCTTTTTCCCACGTCGACTGTGAAGTTACAAGCAAGATTTATGAAAAGTCCAGTCCGACAATCAGATTGATCCCAAACAATGTTAAGTAAGTTCCCTCATCAGAATCATCCAAAACTAAAGGTCTTGGTGATCTTGAAGTCTTGACCATCCATTTTTGAATATAAGACTTGCCCATACCGATCATACCATATCGTTTTCCCATCTTTTTTGGGGATCAATGATGGTCAATGGGCAAAATCCCAAGCCATATCTGAGCTCTTGGAGGTGACTTTGGAGAAATACCTTGAACTGGACAAATACAACACGGAGGACGCGCGCTTGATGCTGAACGAGGCACTGGGAATGAAGAATGAGGCCCAGGAAAGCCACCTGAAAGTCTTGTTTTTTTTTGGATATTTTGACAAGATGAAATTCTGGTGAGGAGATTGAAGCTTCGACCATTGGGCCATGCTTTTATTTTAAATAAAGGGGAAACTAACGATCACTTTCCTATCTTTTTGGGTGTTACTATATATCAATACATGGTATATGATGATATGATGATGATATTGATATATGATGATACATGATGTATACATTATAATATATATATATATATATGATTATATACATAAATAAATACCTATATCATGGATTGATCTTAAGATGACTTGTCACAGCTTCCGCCTTTAATGACCCAGGCTTGTGCCAACGGCACTTTCAACGAAGACTACTACAATGGACCGAGCTACTTGCTGAGTGGGTTGGACTTGCGGGCCATGGAAGAAATGAGTTTGTCATAGGCTACCCCTAATTCGGATGGATGATTATCATGATTATATACAGTATACCCTCTGGTAACTAACATAGCTATGGAAAATCACAATTTTCAATGGGAAAACTCACTATAAATGGCCATTTTCAATAGCTATGTTAGTTTGCCAGAGGGTATATATATATATATATATATTATGATTATCCCCACTGACATTTGAGGGTGAATTGTCCCAAATGGGGATTTAAGCCATCAAAATATGGAAAGTGCACATATATATATATATATACACATACTGTATATATATATACATACTGTATATATATATATACACATACTATATATATATGTTTATACTAGCATATTAATGTATAAATAAATCGTTGGAACATATTGAAACGATACTGGCTAGAGCCTTTTTTCAAGGTCTGGCCTGGTCACATCTCCAGTGGAACCCTGGAATTGGTCATGCCAGGACCGAAGGATACGGCGGCCTTGTCTGAAGATAGGCTACTCATCCCCATGATTTTATGGTATTAAGTTATATCATCCATATTTAAATGATGTTGATGATAGGATTTCCTGATATATATTTAGTGATATCATCATGATTTCCCGGCTTTTTCCATTAAACATGTTGCTTTTTGGTGTACGTATTCCGCATTCCCCCATGGACAGACCCATATCCATATCCAAACACACCCAGAGACTTCACATCTTCCACGGCCGTGGTAAAAAAAAATCGAGAGACGACCAAGGTTCTGCTGAACTCGCTCGAGAGTATTTAGCCTGGGTGGGCCCAGCAGCCAACCAATATTTGTTCCTTTGCTGATGGCGGTCAGGTCATGGTCATGGTCAGGTCATGGAATCATATATATGAACAGTCTATATATATATATATATATACGGCAGGGGGCGGGGGTTCCCCGAGAGGATGTCAATCAGGATCATTGAATTGGAGAAAAAACAGTGTTTCACTGTGGTAAAATGGAGATTTTTCATGTTGTTCTTTTCATTGTTGATGTCTTTTAATTACGGATCAAATTTTTTTCGTCCGTCGAAGTTGAAGTCAGTTATGGACCCTCACATTTTTGTTTTTTTGGTGCTCTCATTTTCCCCATTGGAATTACGAGGTGGACTTTTTGTTTTATATCAAAGATCATTGGAAAAGGGTATAATATACTGTGTTTCCACAGGTATTTTGATGTGATGCTGTTTTTCATTGGTAATTCACAGTGTTTTTGCATAGCATCAAAAGTTCCGAATGCTGACAGTCAGCTGTTTTTTCTGTTTTTATACAAAAGCATTAGTACAAGACATATCAACCACTATAGAAGGCACAAACCCGACCAATTCAAATGTTATTCTATGCAACAAGATACCGTCGTAGAACATTAAAATAAAATATAACGATGGTGGTACATTATGTTATGATACCGATACATTTTGCTTGATTGGGATAAATCAGTATTTGGGTTCCGCCACAAACGTTGCAATCGTGACAAGTACAAGAGACAACACACTAGCGTAGCATGACGTTATCACACCCCACCCCACCCCACCCCACCCGAACCCTTCACGCAAGTTCCATGAACGTTATCACACCCCACCCCACCCCACCCCACCCGAACCCTTCCCGCAAGTTACATGAACGTTATCACACCCACCCCACCCCACCTAACCCTTCACGCAACTTACTGAACATTATCACACCCCACCCCACCTCACCCCAACCCTTCACGCAACTTACATGAACGTTATCACACCCCACCCCACCCCACCCCACCCCACCCCACCCAACCCTTCACGCAAGTTACATGAACGTTATCACACCCCACCCCACCCACCCCACCCCTTCCCCTTTCGGGGAACCCCCGCCCCCTAGGGTATATGTATATATATATAATGTTCATATTATTATACATAAATATTATTATATTATATATACATGATATGCTGTGGGTCACAGATCTAAAGATCAGGAATTGAGTAACGGGAAGACGTACAATCGTTCACAGCTTTTTTATCCAGAATCATACCATCAATTATTTAACACTTCGCGATCGGAAATGGCCCATTTTGTTTCGATTAACAGATGATTTAGCTATGAAAAATCCAGAAATCCTACTAAAGATGGTGATATATATATATATATATATATTCCAAAGCTCTTGTTGAACTACCTATTCGGCATCCGTCCAGTCGGCCGTCGGATCAAGCGGATCCAGCGGACCCCGCAATTGAGGCCCTTCTCTGGCATCGAGAACGATCAAAGCTTCAATACATGGAAGGCAGCGGGTGTCATGAGACATCATGAGACCATGTCAACCTGAAGATTCATGAACATGATTAAGATTCATGTTCTGCTGAAGCAAAGTTCAGTTCCAAGCTGAAAACAAACTTTCGCGCATACTTTCGCAAAGTTCGAACAGCACAGCTTCAGCAAGACATTGATCAGCTCCAAATTCTCGATAGGGCGATGGCCCACCGACTTGACCACCGTAATGTGGTGATACCTCCATGTCACCCCATGACCAATGAAATCCCAATTGAATCACCACTTTTTTAAAAGTGTCACATAGCCATAGCCTGCTGGGGTGTACATGAAATCCCCATTTCATTCATTTCATCCCTATGATATGATATCAATTGTTGGGGCATATCCACCACCTTTTTTAAGCCAGCACGAATCATCACGAATCTCTTGGTCAAAAAATCACACTGGCTGATCATCATTTTCCAGCAAGGCCAGGCTGGGGGGCAGATGGAAGCCATGAATCATCCACGAATCCCATGGGAAAGTGGCCAGGCTGGGATCTTCCTGGTCTGCTACTGTGCCACCTTGGACGCAGAGGATCTCTGCGCCAGCCCCAACTACTACATCAGTGCTGCCAGGTTGGGGTTTTGGTCCGGAAAGGATTGGATGTAGCCATATTTATGTCATATTTATATGGAGGTGTCCTAAAAATAGGGAGCCCCAAATCATCCAGTCGTCATGGATGACCATGACTTAGGTTAATAAGCAACTTGTGACTTGGGGCTCAATGGATCAACCATTTAAAACAGACACCAGGCTGGCAATAGGAGCGATGGGATGAGAGATTGATTTAACCAACCATGTTTTTTTAATGGGAATGGAGGAAAGTGATGTTTTTTTTCTTTTGAACATTTTTTGGGCACCCTGTTTTTTTTAATACATTTAATACATCCTCATTAGGGCTTAAATGGTTACTCCGTTGCCTCGGATGCTGACCGTACCGTACGGCCATGGCAGGTTGATGTTTAAAGGGCCGCTGACCGAAGCTTTGGCGGCAGTGATTTCCCAAAGTTTAGATATCGGGGCTTTCCTAAGTCATAGGGGTACCCCTTAAAATGGATGGCTTATAATGGAAAATCCTACTAAAATGAGTAATGATGCCATCTCCCAAAAATATCCAAAAATAACCAAGAATGGGTACTGTAGAATCTCCACCATCTCACTCTGATAATTTGTGATCCCTAAGTCCAGCAAATTGCTCAGGACATTCAGCTGAACTTGCCAACCAATTTCGTGGTGCGCATTGATTTGGAAGGTCGGACATGCGACGAAGACAGCGACGCCGGTGGTGCGGGGTGTACCAGCATGTGTAGAATGCGGTTCTTTCATTGTTCTTTCAAGGTATTGCAGTAGCATTGCAGCTTCAAGGGTGAAGGCGCATGACGGTAAGACCAGCCCTAGATTTCAATTTTTGTTGGAATCCAATAGGAATGACTCACTGCTGGGCCACATTTCATCCAATTGTTCCAGCTTCGTGTCAGAGTTCGTGTCTGAGTCGTGCCTGGAGTCATGTTAGATGCTGAACTATTCCATTTAACCTTTTTTTGTCAACTAGTTTTTTCATCTGCTGTTCAGCATCTAACATGACTCATCTTCTGTTTACTCTTATTGTATAGCCACCTGCTTACTGGTCCTAAGCCTAATGGGAATGGGGAAATGAAATGATCCAATCCAAAACTACAATGTGGGGCCCCCCAGTTGTAAGTTGGTTTATAAACCCCATTAACCATAGTTATATCTGCCATAAATCATAGTGAAATGGGAGTTATTTGCACCAACTTAGCTAACGAACTGGGGCACCACCTTGTATTTCCATGACTATTTTCCATCATCATCCCATTTCTCCATAACTTCCCTACGTTTTTCCCGTTTTCAGGTTGGGGCTTCTCGGAGACCGATTCCATCCGTCTCATCAGTATGACGCAGACGTCCCCTGGGCCCAGAGAGTCATGGGTTGGACTCCGGTGGATCTTGGGAGATTTTCCATATATCTGGTTGGTGAATGATGGTTAATTAATGGTTAGTGATGATTAATGATGGTTAATGATGGTCAATGATGGTTAGTGATGGTTAATTAATGGTTAGTGATGATTAATGATGGTTAATGATGGTTAATGATGGTTAATGATGGTTAATGAAGGTTAATGATGGTTAATGATGGTTAATGATGGTTAGTGATGGTTAATGATGGTTAATGTTGGTTAGTGATGGTTAATGATGGTTAATGATTGTTAGTGATGGTTAATGATGGTTAATGATGGTTAATGATGGTTAATGATGGTTAGTGATGGTTAATGATGGTTAATGATTGTTAGTGATGGTTAATGATGGTTAATGATGGTTAATGATGGTTAATGATGGTTAGTGATGGTTAATGATGGTTAATGATTGTTAGTGATGGTTAATGATGGTTAATGATGGTTAATGATGGTTAATGATGGTTAGTGATGATTAATGATGGTTAATGATGGTCAATGATGGTTAGTGATGGTTAATGATGGTTAATGATGGTTAGTGATGGTTAATGATGGTTAATGATGGTTAATGAAGGTTAATGATGGTTAATGATGGTTAATGATGGTTAGTGATGGTTAATGATGGTTAATGATGGTTAGTGATGGTTAATTAATGGTTAATGATGGTTAATGTTGGTTAATGATGGTTAATGATGGTTAATGATGTTTAATGATGGTTAATGATGGTTAATGATGGTTAATGATTATTAGTGATGGTTAATGATGGTTAGTGATTATTAGTGATGGTTAATGATGGTTAATGATGGTTAGTGATTATTAATGATGGTTAATGAAGGTTAATGTTGGTTAATGATGGTTAATGATGGTTAATGAAGGTTAATAATGTCTGGTTGGTGGTTTGGAACCATGGATCTTTCTGACTTTCCATATAGAATAATAAGCCCAACTAACGAACTCCATCATTTTTCAGAGGGGTAGGTCAACCACCAAGCAATTTTCTTTGTTGAAATCATACGATATTTGATGATATTTGGGCACTCGGGGTGCCCATGGGTGCTCCATTTTGACCAGACTCATTTCTTGTAGATATCGGCGCATGATGTATATATATGTATATATGAGTCTGTCTGAACATGTGTCTTTATTTTTTCCCCAAGGTATACCATCAAACAGCCATTTCAATGGGATATCGGAAATATCCAGTATATTTGTCATTGTTTACCCATGTGTTTATCAATGGAAATTCAATGGACATATTAATTTCAATGGGTTTGTCAAACAGAAATACATGGTATAAACCATGAAATTTGGGAGTATAGACCACGAAAAAATTGGGGGTAGCCTATTTTCAGACAAATCCATATGTTTGGTTTGAAAGTAAAAGCCGCATCAGCGTTTTTTGGAGGTGCCGAGAGAATGCCAACGATCCCCGCGGCGTGGATGTCTACCGTTTGGGTGGCTGAGACTGCATCATCATCTTCCCTATTGAAATAGCCACTGGTAATTTAACATAGCTATTGAAAATGGTCATTTATAGTGAATTTTCCCATTAAAAATGATGATTTCCAATAGTTACGTTAGTTTACCAGAGGGTAGCCACTTTGAGGGTATACCAGTATAATGTGGGTAAACCAATGTAATTTTTCCATCCATGACTGGGAATGGCTGAAATATACCACCTATAAAAATGGTGATTTGGAAAATGGTTTATTATTGTTTTATTATACCGGTATACCATGGTATACCCTATTTTCACCCACATGGCTATTAGTCAAGGCTATAAGTCAAACCTATTCAGACACTTAGAGTGCTTAGGGCGCAGAGATCCAAAGAGAGCAGAAATCCCCGACCATTGTGACACGGAGTGTAAATGGGAACGGGAGCAACATCAAGATGTCAATGCTTGCAACATGACCTCCTGGTTGTTTCAACCAAAAACAATCTTCTGAATTCATAAGCAAGTGTCACAATGTGGTAAACCCAGAAATAAATCAAATATTCATCATCCCCAATATGTATATATATATAATAATAATAATTCATATATAGAGGATAATAAAATCGGGTATAGCCCTAGCAATATATGGGATGATTTCGATCATGACCCTGACGTCATGGTGAACCCCACGCCCGCAGGGTGTCCCGGGTTGAACAGCTCCAGTTGCCGACGTCCCAGCGAGAAGGAAGACATTTCGGTGTTGGTCATTTCGGCTGTGTCTGGGTGAAGCCAAAACATGGGAAAACTATGGGAAAACGATCGGAAAACAAGACATCGGACCCGAAATCACGCCGTTAAGTGACCATGATCATCATGGTTTCAGGATTTTTTTTCAGAGATTTTTCAATGGTTGGGTCTTGCTGTGGTGAATTGATGTATATTGATGTTAGCTCTCAAGAGCTCATACTGTAGCAAGACACAGTTCGATTCTTTCAATTTATAGATCGGTTCATAGATCGGCCTATTTTCGGCGAGGATTCATGCGGATTCTTTTGCTGGGCATGACACGTTATTTTTTTATCCGGATCAAAGTCAAGTTTCAGGTTCCCTCTCCACGGTTTGGTGAGCAAAGGAGTAAGCCTTGTCTCGGTGGTAATTCTTTCCAGGTCATTTTCATAGTCACATCTTTGACATGGCAACTTTTTGTCGCTTTCCATATCCAAACCCATAGGATCCATGTATGGTACATATGCTAACATTGGGGGTGTATTGATGGTAAATGTTACCATATATAGCAGCACCATGGATCCGTCATGGGAAATAGATCCAAGTAGTTCGCCTGAATTGGCCTTGCAGCTCTTTGTGGGCTTGGCTGACCCAAGGATATGACCGGCCTCTTCATCACTGATATCTCCATCGGCGACACGCAGTCTGTTTCTCAAACTTTAACTAGTACCCTCTGGTAATTTAACATAGCTATTGAAAATGGCCATTATTAATGGGAAAATCCACTATAAATCACCATTTTCAATAGCTATGTTAAATTACCAGAGGGTAAATTGTCGTGTTTCTGGTGTCTGTGTACACCCCGCAGAGCGAAGATCGCCAGCTTATTTTGCCCCTCTGAGTAATCACCATGGGGCAGCGCAAGGCATGTGATGCTTTAGCAACAAAGGACTTCCGCTACTTCCGGGCATCTTTTGATGGAGCCAAGCAGAGACATAGAGTAGCTGAGTAGCTCTCAAAAACTATTGCACACTATTGCTCAAACACAAATCCCTTTGGACACATGGCTAACTCCCTCTTTTGTGCATGATCCGAGCACGAATGATCACTGCCATGGTGACCGTCGGTTCACTTTCAACCCAGAAATGGTGAGAGAAGTTGCAGAGACCCTCGATATTTGGCTGGTAAGCCGGTAAGCCCATTAGTCTATCATAGTTTTCGGTAATTCATTTCTCTACGTATACTGTAATCAGATAAAATTGCTTGATGCTTGTTTTCATTGACTTACCCATGGTTTTTATCAATTTTCCCATGGTAAAAATCATCGATTTGAAACCACGGTTTCGTAGCGCTGCAGGTTTTAACTTTCTCTGGGGATATCACCACAGAACTGCTGGATGGCGATGCCATCACACTGGACGAATCCTCAATCCTCTTGAACAGCAGGCGGCCGGGGTGAGACGTGGGGGCTGGATGATATATCTACTGAACTTCAAAAAGATTGACAAATGGTATAAATCCCACCAAAATTGTGACACACTTATAACATATTCTGTCTTCTTGATAGGGGTTACAATCTGAGATGGTTCTGCTTGTAATTATCAGAAATACAAGAAGATGCGGACGAAAAATCCTCAACTGCTGAAACAAAGGGCATGGTGCAGCAAGTTTCAGCTCTTGTTTTCTCCTGAAAATCTGGGATGTGGCCAAGTAGCTTTAAGTAGCTTTGACTGTCATTGACCCCATTTTGGGATTATATCAATTACCGGTCAATTACCCTCTGGTTATTTAACATAGCCATGGGAAATGGCCCATAGAAATAGATGGTTTGCCGAACTGAAAAATGGTGATTTTCCATGGCGAACTGTTAGTCAGACCCAGATGGTAACAGTTTGACCCTGAACAGCACCACCTTTTTTTTTCGTGGTGGAACCGGTTTCGTTCGATGTTCAAAACCCCCGTTGCCGTTGGTTGGGTCTAACTGGTCGTCGCCGGCCTAGGAATTCCAGTCAGTGGACCATCTCCGAACAGCACGTGGTCTCCCAACTCAGTGGTCCCTTGAGTCCAGAATGGTCCAGATTTCCCCATTTTTGGGGTCTCCAAAATGGGGGATTTGTAGAGGGTAGATGGTAGAGGGTGGTAGATTATAGGGATTCAATAGATGATCTAACATGGGAATATAGGGATTGGGATTAAATGGGATGAAAATGGATGAAATGGGAATTTCATAGATGATTTAGTTGGGATTGATATGGTAATGGGGACTTAACAGATGATTTAACAGGAATTAAATGGGACACCTCAGAAAATTCAATGTGATTATTTTGGTGGGATTTGGGGTCTGAAACTTGGGAATAAATTGAAAAATCCCCCAATGGATCTAATCATGGCTAATGAAAGTCAGCCATTGTGGGTGAACCCCCCCAATTTGGAGGTAAACCTAGTTGGGAGAGAGCCATCCAAAAACTGGGACTTTCACGGCTTGGGGATGAACGTTTATGGACAAGTAGCCACACTGCCAGCGTGAATCTCAAGCAGTGCTTACAAGAAATCTCTGGACCATTGGAAAGTCAGCCACAGAATTTCATCTCCAACTGCCCCAAGAATTGGGGGACCCCGATGAACATCATGTTCCTCCTCAAAGCAGCTGCCACTTTTTTTTTTTCTGAGGCTTCTACGGATATGCAGATGAACCTGATGTGAAGCGGATGCTGTGGAGTCTTGGAGAAAAGCTCTGAAGCCTATTTCGGTGAAGGGGCTGTTGCCACATTGAATTCCAAATGCCGCTGGTGCCGTCCACACAACAAGTGGCAGACCCAACCATTCTGACGTCCATTTTTTGTGTTTTGCAATTCTTACCCGAAGTTTTCAGACATGAGACACTTTGGAGCTTTCAACATGCACTCAGAGACAGCAGTTCCATTGGTGGAGTTTTTAGCCTTGTAACATCTTGTAACCGTAAGATAACGTCGATGTATGACCTGTTTTTTTTCAAGTCCACCATAGTCCACCGAAGAAAAAGCACCCCGGTGTGATGCCCGAGGAACCACGTATCCTATGTGTACCATGTGGACGGTGAACTGGTGAGCACCCTCATGACAAACCAGCAACTCGCTGAAAAAATGATGCAACTCTGAGATGGACGCAGATTTTTTTTGGTCAAGGCCACGACGGACACTCTGTTTCCAGCTGTTGAAACTTTTTTTTCTAAATAAAAGTGTATATTTTTTAGATGAGGGTACTCAATTTCGAAACTGGACCCTTGGCTGGCCAGAAGGAATTCTGGGCCATTCAAATCTAGATCCTTCAAGGATGGAATGAAATGCCTGCAGCCTCAATCTGAGTGAGACCTGGTGTGCCCTGAGCAATTGCTCAACTGGAGACGTCAATGACCTATTATATCCTATTATAGGAACAACCAATACAACCAATACAACCAATACAACCAATACAACATGTTGAACCACCACTGATTGGCAGAACCAGCACTGACATTTGATCTGTCCAGAATGGTGTGTGTTGGCAACCACACTCACTGTGCACAATCTAAAGATCAAACCATCACCTGACGTTTGGCAACACGGCATCAACACAGCCAAATGTCAGATTTTCCCCATCTCTAGACTCTTAATATACTCTATATTATTATATATGTTAGTTATATTATATATATATTGGTTTATCCCCTTAAAGTCTCCAGAACTTTCCCCAAGCATTGCCGCAGCATCGCCCTTCTTCGAAATCTCTCGGAAATCGCCGCATTTCTGCGAGGTTGTCCATCCCTGTGGGATGGCCCGAGGGGTCACGACCCAGCTTCACCTTCATTGATGGCAAAGGTCGTTGGCATCGACGAAATCGCCTGCAGACTAAGGTCTGATGATGGGAATCCATGGGGGAGTATAATTTGTTTTTGGTAATGTTCATGTTGTTTGATACAACTAATGGAGCTTTCCATAGAAATTAAGTTTCAACTAAAATCAGTTTATTTGGAGGATTCAACATGTTTTAATGAGTTTGTAGGACATTTTTGGAGGGACATGTCCAAACCAAATGGAGGTGTAAAGCTGGGAAAATCATCGAACCGTTGCTGGTGGAGTCCAAGTTTGATCGTACCCAGAGAGGTGACACGAAGCTCAAGTGAGGTCTCGCTTTAGCCAGATAGTTTGGACAAGTCATGGCCAGCCCAAAAACAGCCAAAATATATCAAAATAGCCATGAGCATCCCAGCCGTGGGTTTGACCATCATTTTTTGCATCAGTTGCCATTTAAACATATTGAAACGTTGCCGTCTCTTGTTTGTTTCGCGGTGAAATTCCCATGGTTTTCAGGTGCCAAAAGTTGGTTTTATCCCATCCCTGGTCCCATCCCAAAGCGGTTCAGGAGGAGATCAAGGTGGATTCGGCGGCCACGGTGAAGATCTGCTGGGGCGCGAATGATGGTGGCCGACAGCAGTACTACGGCGAAGCGGGCGCCGCTCAGCTCGTGGCGATCCATGTGGGATGGCCCCGAAGCGGGGGCGAAATAAGATGATGTTTGGGAGCTTAAGTAGCTTAAGTAGAAGCATTTACCATGGCATTTACCATGATTTACCAATTAATTTACAAATGATTTACCATGATTTAACCATTACTGTTCCAAAAAAATGTGGATGTACCATGATTTAACCATGATTTACTCGTCCCAAAATTGCTGATGTTCAAGTTCAAGCACAAATTGTGGCTTTTCCTAGGGTCCAGTTCTGATTGACTCAGGTGAGGATGCATCTCTTCAGATCAATGATAATATTGGTGATTCTTTTTCATCATCCATTATTCATTGGTTAAATCTCCATTGTTGATGGTCAAATATGATGTTTTCTATGGGGGTTTAATGGTGAAACCCATTGTAACATATTGCAAGTACATTTTTTCCACAAGATTTCATGGAGTCATCATTGACCCCTGAGGTTTTAGAGTTCTCTGCTCCAGTCTTCATGGCAGACGCTGGGGTCTACACAACGACTCGTGTGCAAGGAGGTGCGCTGACCGGGCTGAAACCTATGCAGCTGAGTTTAGGGACCCCTATGGTCTGGTTTTTTTTGTACTCTAACTTTAACATAACTATTGAAATTCACAACGTTTAATAGGTAAATCAACTACAACTGGGCCATTTTCCATAGCTATGTTAAATTAATTAAGGGGTACCCCAAAATGAATAGTTTATTTATGTTTGTTTCATGAACATCCTATAAGAATGGATGATTTAGGGTACCCCCATGTTAGGAAACCCGCATGTCTGATGACTGACCCTCCTGCAATTTGATGCGATCGTGAAAAACATGTATTGCTATTGCCATTTGTTTTGATTCTTGCACATTCAGAAATGCAACTCAGAGTTACTGTACACTATTGTAGACAAAAATAGATCCGTTAAAACAAAGTTTCATTCTTCATTCTTCAGCCATGTTCTTTTTGTTTTCCAGCGTTTTCCAGCACCCAAAGAGCGACGCGCTTGCCGTCGCCGCTACGTCCGCTACGTCATGCTACGTCGTCGTCGCGCCAAGGAATTGGCATGGCAGTGTTGTCCTTCTCCCCTTCCAGGGGCACCACATTGTACAAGGCCTACCGAACACCTGTAGTGGCACCTCGGACGCAGGCAGCCCCTGCGATCGCAGATGTTGGTTTATAAGTCACAGAACGTTTGGGTTTGTTTGGGTTTATGGATTCTATGGTGTATATATATAATTGTGTATACATATAATATCAATCAGTAGTGGGTTTAGCAAAATCCACCCACATCCTCATCCAATCTTCGGGGATTCCCTTGGTGGTTTTCAGGTGCGGCTTTTGTTCAAGGAGGTGGACTTTATGTCTCTTGGTCATGCTTTTTGAACCCTGTGTGCCTTAAACCCTTGCGGTTTCACGTTGATTACATCATGTTACATCCATACCTTGGAAATCCGGTAGCCAAGTGCTTGCAATCCGTTAGTTGTTGTTTGTTCTGCAAACTAACTGTTTTTGGCCTTCTTGAAATCCTGAGCATTGACTAAGGATTCTTAAAAAAATGGTTCAGCTCTATCCCCATGTTTGTTCCCTACGATATTTGAAGTTGCCGATGAAATTCTTCAAAACACATATATTCATTCTGAAACCATTTTATGCATATTGATTCAATCTGTACATTAGTTTTTAAATCTATCCCAATATTTCATGGGACATTCATGGGAAAACCATGAATTTCCCATGGGGATATCTCCCTATCTCCCGACTCCCTATTAAAGAAAAAGGATATCTCCCTATTAATAGTGGGATATTCAATGATCTTCACATATATTCACCATCATTTACAGGAAAAACCATCATTTATATTCAACCTGAGGCCACCCCCAACCAACCGTGGCCGCCACGTTAAGTTTCTCGTCGTTTAAGCCGCCGCGAGGTTGGAACCGCTGCTGGCGGGCGATCCAGAGGTGACTGCTCTCACGGCCCTACCGACGGAGGATCAGGTTGCCATGGAGATGCTGGGGCTGCCATCGATGTTTGATCATCAGATGATTACCCTCTGGTAAAGTAACATGGTGATTATATGGTGATTAATGGTGATTATTATGATTCATAGTGATATTATGATGATATATGGGGGTCTACCCTCTGGTGATTTAACATAGCGAACTGTAAAATGGCCCAGTCGAAATAGTTGATTTTCCCATGAATAGCATGGTGGATCTTTCCATAGTTTTTTGTTAACGTTTACCAGAGGGTAACCATCAAAGATTGGGAATCAACCATGAAATGGTTAGAATGTACGGTTGAGGGGATAACCATGGTTGATTAATACCTTTGTTTGATAGTTAATGATACCATGATCAAAAATACGGGATTCTAGATTAATCTTGGATGGGTAGAAACTATTAGAAACTAATCCTAACTAGTCTTTTGGTATCAATGGGATTATCTACGTTCCCCAGCTAAGAATTTGTTATTTTTTGCAGGGTATCTAAGATTGGCCATGGATTTATGTAGCTATCATTAACTAGCAAGAAATGGTGGTGAGGGACGATGTCATGGAGGCTTGGAGGTGTTTTTTTGTTCAAACATAGTCATAGTCATGTCATTCTTTGCTATTTTTAGTGTTGTTTTTCAATGATTTCTTTTTTCACGACGGGATATGATGAAATATGGATCTATCATGGAGGAGTTGACCGAACTTGGAGGAAATTCAAGAAATTTTACCACCAAAATGGGAACTATCGCCATTTTTATGGGAATATTATGGGATAGTACGGGATATCATGGGATATTGTGGCACATGATACTGTGTTTTTTTTAGTCTTAGATATGGATGAATCTAGCCACCATGGATGATATAATGAATGATATGATATAAGAACTGTAGGATATCATGGATGCAATCGGGGCATAGCCCAAATTTGTGACATTTGTGGTCGCGTGTTGGTAAATCAACCATTTGATGAGGATGTTTGCTGGATATTGGAATCCATATATGCAGGATTTAAACATCAAAAAGGGTGATATTTCATGGGAAACCAACTCAATTGTTCATACCATCCAGTAATTTTCCACATGGCAATTGAAATGCCTTGTAAAATGGATGTGTTAATGCGAAAATCAACTTTGATTGGAGATTTTCCAGCAAGCCATGTTTGATTCCCTGTGGGCATTAGAGGGATATTGATATAGCCAACAACACGGGGGAATGTCGCCTTCAAACATGGAGATTGGAGGTATAGAAATGCCACTTTATCGGATATCATCGACGACGGGGCCAAGCTCGAGAGTTGGTTCAGGGAGTTATAAGGAGTTATGTTATGTTATATTACCTGGGGATTATGAACATATTCAAACTCAGCCATATGGGAAACCGTTTTCACCAGTATTTCATTCATGAGATGTTTTTTTGGCATTGATGGCATAGACGAGGTAGCTTTGATGGCTCAAAATGATCGAATTGTTGGCATCTGACATGCAGATCTCTCAGATGGCGGTCGAAATAGGAAATCTAGCAGACATGACAAACCCAGTGTCTCATTCGAACAGATTTTCCATTTCGGGGTTTCGGGGTGCTCGTCACTCCCAATCCTTCTTAAGCCTCCTGGCTCCGAGGAATGCCACGCAAACCATTTGCGGCAAACTCTTCATGGAGATGTGGACCAATGATGATGCCGGCTTCCCCTTCCCGCGTGGCTGTGCCTTGCAGATTCTGGATGGGGAGATGGGGTGGTCACATTGAGGCCTTAGAAGTGTGGGAAAACATGGCGAGCTCCGTCGATTTCCACTATCCGAAAAAACCGAAGTCTGGCATCGTCACATCGAGTAAACACAGGGTCACCCAAATTCCAGTGGTTGATCATTCGATTTTGGTAAGACCGCTGGAATGATCCAAGATGATCCAAGGAATACCAGTCTTACCAAACCCAAACGTTTGCAAGCAAGATCTACTTGTGAATCCTTCAAACGTTCAAACTGGTCATTCTTAGGCTATCCAAGCCATTTTTGAATCAGCCTTTGATCCAAGGCTACTACGGACCACTCTACACTGATGTGGAGTCTGAGACTGAAGCTGCACGACCCTCCTATCGTGAATACTTCATCATTTTCGAACCCCAGGCACAGGATGGTGCCCCCCAGTTATAAGTGGGTTTATAAACCCCATTAACTATAGTTATATCTGCCATAAACCATAGTTATGGGACTTATAGGCCAACTTAGCTAACTATGGGGCACCACCTTGCAGGTGTTTTCATGGTGAGGCCCGGTGAGGCTAGAGTTTTGCAGAAGATGTGTGACTCTCAACATCTGCCAGGCTAATGTAGCGATCTTTTCCAGTGGGAAACTATGATATATAACGGGGATTATAACCATTGATGGGAATATCATGGGAATATGTTAGGATATATCTGAATGTATAATGATATATATACCCTGGCCTTCCTCGACTATTCAAAAAACCGTCTTTATAGAACGCCTATTCTATGCTGCGAACGACTATATGAGGGGTCCCCGATGTTGGTACTAAGGTCTGGGAACTCAAAATGGTGATGTGTGCTGAGAAGTATCATGGATGGTGCCAGAAGAAGGCCATTTTGGCTTTGGGATTCCCCAACAAAGTTTGGGGAACATATGTGCCGGCATTAATAGAAAATACACTGTAAAGATCAAAATTGGTAGCTGGTACAGGGTCAACTCACTTAATACTTATAAAACGATAACATCTTATAGCATCACTTGCATTTGTTTGCAGTCACCACTGCTATTCCCTGTGGCCTTGCCGTTGATTTGCCATGGTACTACTGATATGAAAAGGTCTATGCAATTGCGCCTGGTTCCCAGTTTTTGCAGTACATGATAGCTCAAATTATTATTATTATTAATTAATATACCTTCACTGCCAAGGTCGTATAGAAGAAGCGGATGGAAATACTGTCATCAACCTGGATGACTTGGAAGATCTTTCAGGTGCCATTATCCTCCACCCCGTACAGTGTGTCATGCAAGATTGATTTGAAAAGTTGCATCTATTAATATTAATAGTCTGATCTGACATATCGATGGATATTTCCGATTCGTTTGGGTGGGTGCATCATGTATCATGCATGCATCAAAGATTGCATCCCGTTGCAGCTGGCTGCAATGAGAAGACGATATATCATGACATGACGATATGATGCATGCAAAATAAATCAAAATGGGAGAAATTTGCCAATATCAGACATCTTTTTTTTCCTTTCGCTTTGCGATGAATCGTGCTGGCATGAGCGAAGATCCTGCGGCTGCAATGCACCCTCCGTGCACAAAGCGCATGGACCAACGCAGGGTTCAGCTGCTGAAGGCCACAACTGTTTTCAAAGTTTTGTACAGCCGAGGAATGTATAAAGTAGTATCCATGACAGAATTCGAATTAGCTAGAATGAACATATCACAATTGCATGGAATATACCTCATGCTATAAAAGAAATTGGCATGATTATCTAAAAACACCCCAGCCACCTTGGGTTGGGCCTCCAGCTTTGCTGATCATTAACACGCATGTTGCCACCCAGCCGTGTTAGGAGCTCTTCAGAACTTTCTGTGATGACGAGGAGTTCTTGAAGGAGAGACGGAAGCTGCTTCGGACCAGGGCAGGGCTGACTGATGCCGACCAAAAATTGGTAAGCCCCCCAGGTATGTCATGCGATCAAAACAATGCATAATGATCCATAGTGGTCCAATTGAAAAAAAACATCTTCCCCTGGCCTACATAAGGTGCCAAAGTTTCGCTTTGTGATCCTGAACAATGACCACATCTCTGCAAACGAGGTGGGCTAACACCACAAATAATGTTGGTATGATGTATGAAGTTGCAAATTGGTGTGTTGATGAACTCAACTTTGACATCATCGACCGGTAGGTCACAAGTGATGCAAACTTTGGCTTGTTGCTCAATTTCATGGCTTCCTTCAGCCATTCCCTTCCTCGTCGAAAGGAACTCGAGGCCGCAGTGATCACGTGATATAGTTATTGTCATTCGTGGTTGGTGGATTGAAATCATATTGATCCATATAATATATAATAATTAGAATGACATGAAAAAATGATACAACAATTTCAGCAATATTTTTTGTTATAAGATTAATTAATTAAGATGTTCCCAAAATGATTTTATTGTGTCTCCATCCAGGCTGCGCTGGTATGGTGTTCTACATCATGGAAGCTGAACCCTTGGAAGCACCGAGAAAAGCATGAGGACAGAATTTGAATTGATCTTGTTGATTGACCCAGCTACTAATTAATTAATGCATCTATGACCTATATTTTATTATTTTTGATCTGACACTTTGCAGCAAAGTAGACACAGAACGAATAAGATATTGAATACATTGCATTCATGATGAATGTTATTCAGTTCATAGATCATGTTGATAGCAAAGTTTTCTTAGTTTTTCATCAGGACTGGGCTTCTGTGGAAGCTGGAATCATCATGAGCTGCTCCAGCTACATCATGGAAAGGTTCCAGCGGAACCCAAAAGCTAGGCTGGGTGGCAAGCCATTTTGGCTGGACATGTATGCATACAGCGCAACACCTTATAATAATTATTATTATAATATTATACGATAAATATATATTATATATAAATTAAGACGTTTTTTTTAATAGTCGAAGAAGGCCATGGTTATCATATTAAACAAAATATAAATAATTATATTTATGAGAGCTAGTTTGTGATTTACATTATTTTTACATTGCGCCATACTCTGCCTGCTGAGGCCGGGCCATGAACGCATGGATCAGCTGAAGCAGGTTGTGCGCATGAAGCTTCAGGAGATTGGGCACTGGCATAAGTTGAACATCTAATATATATATATATATTATATTTATAATTATATATTAATTATTGTGTTTGCACTATGCATGTGATATCGTTAAATTACTCAATCCAACCAAGATTGCTGATTACATGGCAAACACTGAGATCATAATGCGTTATTCGAACGATCTAGCCAGGACTGCGACTTATTGACCCCAGAAGGCAAAAAGTTTGCTGTTCGTGGACCTGGAAATGGCAAGAACTCCTCGACGAAGAAGGCAAAGGCTAGCCAGTGGCTGTTGTACCACTATTAATTAGTTGTGATTCCAATCAACCATCATATCAAGCCACCAATGTTAAACGCTCTCCAAGATATTGGGATTCAAACATGAAAAGGTTTCATCAGGGGGTTCATTACACTTGGAAACATAATGTGCTTTGCATGTTAAAACAACCCAACAGCTTGTTTGAACAAGAACTGAATGCATGCAAGCATGGACCCATGGATGATACCGGCCATGTTACCCATTGAATTGCTATACTAGCTATGTTATATATATTATAAAATGACATAATTGTTATATAAATTAAATGATCAATCAATAAAATTGTATTTGTGTTTTTTCCACTATGATGCGTCCGGCCAGGGAACAGCAGAAGACCCGTCCATGGCTGAAACGCAACAACAGGCAACTCCGCTGGGTGGGATCCCTAGCGCAACTCCATCCCCGATCCACCCAATGAGATCCCTTAGCTCAGTGTCGCCCATGCCAACTTTGGAAAGAAGAGCTAGTACTTCGGACTTGGACGGAAAGATGAATGGAGATGTGGAAATGGATGGTCATGAAGAATTTGAGGAAATTGAATATATAGAAGAGGAGGAGGAAGAGGAAATGAGCGAGGATGACCCTGTTGTTAACCTTGAGGTTGATGGATTCCAGGACAATGACACAATTCAGATTCTTAGTGAGGATGAATCTGAATTGCCAATGTCGCCTGGCAAGACTGCTGACAAGCCCGCTGAGGAGGTGTTTGGGGGTGGATTGTGGGCTGATGCTGCCACCAGTGTCTTTCCACCAAACTGGCCTGAACAAAGGTATTTTGAACATATCCCTGAGCGAGATCTAGCTGATCAAACGGATGAGATGATCAAGGCAGCCAAGGTGCATGAAGAATTACAGGAAGAGATGAAAAGCGATGATGAAAAGGGTGAGAAGGAATCCAGCAAAGGTACCTTCAAGGTGGGTTTCCATGTTCAGTTCTGTATCAATCGATATCTGGTCAATGGTTGTTTCTTTTGTATTTTTGCCAGTTGGATTCTTTATGGTTTGGGTTTTGCAATGATCCATCATGATATTATACAAACAATATTCCTAGGGACAATATATTATTATATTTGTTTTTTATATTTTTATAATTTATTATTATGCGGGTTTTCCAATGTATGCACTGTCTGAACTTTCTCGTTTTGCGTAGGACCGCAAGCCTTTGGTTGAAGTTACTGAGATTCCTGTGGATTTGCTCAAGAAGAAGGACTCCAAGGATGCCGAGTACCCGATGGACAATGACGGAGCCAAAGCCGAGTTCTTAAAGGCTAGTTGGGCCAGTTGTGGGAAGGTTTTGAACTTGTTGTGTTTGGCAGGGGCTGCAATATCAAACAACAAATCAGGGAGTGAGGCTAGCAACAATGCAGCGGTATAATTCCAATTTTGTTTTAAAGTTTGTTGTGTTTTGTTGCTAGGCACAACAAGCACTGCGAAGAATGGACAAAGAACGTTTGGCCGAACATGAAGACCCAGACAAGTACTATGCTGAAGAGATTGATCGAGATGAAAATGAAGATGTACCCCCCAGGAAAGGCAAAGGAAGGGGCAGAGGTAAAGGCAAAGGACGTGGAAAGTCCAAGAAAGGAAAGGGTAAAGGAAAAGAACGCAAAGAGAAAGAAGAAGCCACATCTACCTCAGATGCTGCAGCTCAACCCAGTCAAGACTGCCAGGAACCTGATGGCGATGCTGCAAAGAAAGGTGATGAAGTTGTGGAAGCCCCTGCTGAGCCAATGCAGGAAAAACCTGATCTACCTGCTGCCAGTCCTAAGAAGCCGAAGGCCCGTAGGGCGAAGACAACTGCCAGTCCAAAAGTTGCTGGCACAAAATCCAGGGGAAGGGCAATTCTTAAAAGGGCGAAGTCTTTGACTCCAAAGAAGGCTGTGCCATCAGGAGAAGAACCTGGAAAGGATCTTGCTACTGAAGTTTCCGAGGTTTTGCATGCCATGTTTGACGTTTGATCCAGTTGAACGTTCATGTTAAAAATGTGAATGAATATTTTCGAGTACTTCGAAAATATTGTTCTTCCACCTCAGCCAAACCCAACGATAGTTCAATCCCTTACCATGTCTTGCCAGGCAAAGCCTGCTAAGATGGAATTGGACACAAAGGACATTGAGAAGAAAGAGAACAAGGTCGAAGAACCGCTGGAAAAACCAGGTGAAGAAGAGCCAGGTGAGAGGAAGAAGCGTAGTAAAGCTCCAGCCAAGGATGATGAAACTGTGAAGAAGGCTGTAGTTCTGGCAGGGGTATGAATTCATACGAAATATAGCAAAACCAGTGCAGCACTTGTTTTTTATTTTGAACCATGCTGCACATATACAATATATATTATATAATAATATATTATATTATATAATATATATGATATATTTTTGTTTACCCCAATAGCTGATTTTGAAACTCGATCTAAATGTGCCGTATTCATTTTGGGTGGCTGTGCCACATTGGCTTCAGGCCAAGCTGGACAACTTGAGCTTGCTGAAGGCCAAAATTTCTGATGATCCGCTGGCTATTCTGCCAAGTGAAGCAGAGCTTGGGGTTCATAAGTGCGATCCTAAGAAAATTGATGTAACATGTACATATGCAGTCATCTCAAGAAAATACAATTCTTAATCTTGATAAATCATAGAAAATAAAATTTATTTTGCATTATATGGGCCGGTATGCATCCATACATACACATATGATATGTGTGTGTGTTCACTAGCTACTGTGGATCTTGAAAAGACCCGTACTTGTTAATCCAGTGTCCAATTTCCTTTCCCACTCAGGTCTTTCATGCTCTCACCACCAGAAAGCCTGCCAGAGGAGGTCAAAGTATTGGCCAAGAAGATTCAAGTTTTGCCTGGGGCCTCATTTTGAATAAACATGCTTTTGTAATTTTTGGTGATATTAGTTGTCGCAAGTATTTGCAGTCATGCATTTTGTTGTCAATGGATTGATTGATTCAAACAAATCGAACTTTCAAAGCATTGCGTAACATACATGGTGCATAAATTGTTGGGTTTTGGAATTCCATGAGATCGTTTCAAGAGTGATCAATAAATGCCATGATTTATGCCTAGGCTTCTGCAATCGCGGAGTACCACAGCTTCGTTTTACGTCATGAATGTGGAGTCCGCACATGTGGCAACTATTAAGGACAAACTTGGCATATCTGACCTGCAGGTGTGGTGAGGGGATATAATATGATATATTATAATTATCTTGTAAGCTGCTTATACATCTTCAGATGAGTTATGAGGGGAATTCGGCATATGAACAAAAAACAAAAAAATAAAGTAAATCCTGCCATGACATCCAGAACCTGTTTCAACATGTTGTCAATATTTGGAAAGGTTTTTGGGGATCATTGAGACCGCCCTGGTTCGCCTCCACTGCAGGTGAATGCGCAAGGCGGTGTCAGCGTAAGCTGGGCAAAGCGTGGAGGGCCGTTTCAAGCGCCCGAAATCCCAGAAGATCATAGCAGCAAAGTCATCAGGTAGACCATATGAATTATATCAGTTTAATTATCAAGATCGATCGATATATTTAGAATATGAATAATAAACTATAATATTTATTTTATTATATAATATATATATATATATATATTATAATTTATATATATTATAAATATTATATATATATATAGTCTCAAAGATTCTCAAAGATCAGACACCTGATAAATAAATAATATAGCACTGTTTCTCAGTAAATCATTGGTTCATGTCATTGTTGTTTGAAGTATGCCATTCAAAATTCACGCACTACGTTGGTGACTTTTACAGTAGTTCATCTTGATCAGAATTCTAGAACAAAACTTCAACTGAATAAGGACACCAGTTATTGATATCCACGATCGAAGCATCATATGATCATGTTGGTGTTAAGTTCTGATATTGCGGCCCAGGTGGCAGCTGTCGAAGATGATTGCAAAGTGGATGGACATCAAGGACATGTCGGTTGTCCCTGGGGATCCAAGTGATATTGCAGAAAGCTGAGCTGACTATTTCGGCGGGATATGCCTGATAACATGGGGAGTGTCTATCGAGGCATCAATACGGAAACATGTGTCAGGTGCCCTTGGAAAAACATAATTATATAATATAGAATATATAATACATATGATATATTTTATATAATTTATATATTTAATTAATATAAAAGAGAAAACAGTACAGAAACCAATTTGTTGCTAGTAGTTTTTGGCATTCATGGGCATCTGGCTGTTTCTGGCACTTTTGGTAGGAGTTGACAGCAGGTTAGGCAAGTCTAGCTGCATGGGGCATGTTTCAAATAAATAGTCAAAAGTTTTAACCACTTGTGCTTTCCAATTGCAGGTTGACCCCATGTGAGCGATTTGAACTATGATTTGTTCCTGCTGGGCGATGTTTATCAATGCTGATACGAGCTAGGTCCAGCTGACCAGCTTGTGACATGATCGATGTCAGCACACATCATGTCGATATGCGGTGTGTGATACAAATCTGAGTACTCGTGGAAAATACTGGCTTATCCATTGGGATTGTGTTGTGCACTTTGCACTCATGATATTCTGATCTGAATTCATCACTTGAAGCTAGCACTTATTGGAATCAATGATTGGCAAACCAAGTTGGGGATACAACTCAAAAACAGTTTTGTTTGCAAGTGAACCTATTTTGTCATCAGCTGGTCTGTGAAACATACGTGCATTCGATCAAGAATTGCTTGGTTAAGGAATTCTTGAGAAAATCAAAACAATACTATCTCGATCATATTATGTATGCAGTTGCATTTGAAGCACTCTGGTGTTTATGTTGCAGCATTTGTGGGAAACCAGCTCAGAGACTTTAGGTGTGTCTAACCACCATGCCCTTGGTGTCCTCGCCTCGAACGAGAAAGGCAGATGTTTTGGAAGAGCTGGAGTATGTGGCCTGCGAGGTGATTTGTGTGTCTTGCTACATGGGCTACTTCAAGCGATGGATTCACAAGATCCTTGGGTGGAATGTATTTTCTAGTACTGGTATCATTGCATTGTTTTGAGACAATCATCACTTTCTCCAACATAATCATCACTTTCTCCGACACATTTCTCCAACACATGAATAAACTTGGTAAAACATGACCATGTAGCAGCTTACAATTGGTTTTTGCAATAACTTTGGTGCTTCCCTCGGCCAAGGGAAGAACGTGGCGAGTACCAGGCCATTTGCAAGGATTGCAATTGTGACAATATCAGTATCCAAAAGTGGTGCCGTTTGAAATCCCAAAAGCGAGCCAAGCTGGCTGACACTGCCACGCAGCAATGACTGAATCGACGCAGGTGCATACCGAGTATATTATCTAGATCTTAGACGGGGTGTAGATCGCAATTGTTCGATCTTTGCACTTTTGTGCAATTCAAATCCAAATCGAGCTTTCATGACCAAGGGGAAAAAATATGTAGGTGCTTCTTCACTGGTTGTTCTACTTGTTGGTCAACAGTGGTAACTTGATTTGAAACATAGTTTGTGATCATTCAGCAACTGCACCATGAGCTTGCATGTGAAAGCAACATTCGAAATGAAGGTGGCTCGATCTTTGCCATAATCCATTCGTACAAGTTATGCACAATGAAATCAGTAATTGGGGTATGCAGGAACTGCAGTGTCCGTTTTTGTCCAGAATTCCAGGCCTCTCCCAAAATCAGCTGGCTCAAACATTTGTGGAGCAAAGGTAAAGACCTGAGCTAGTGGAGTTGAGATGCCTGACCAAAGGAGTTGGCAGAAAAAGCCAATTGCACTCACACGAGGGCAAGCGGCAATCCTTTTGGCATGGGGCATTCCACTGACTGTGTTTCTTGAACAGCCTATTCGAGATTGCAAGTAGGTTGTGAACAAGATGGGATAGTGTCAGCATTATCAATCCTTGTAAGGGACATCAATAGGAGTCTCGTTTGCATACATATATAATATATAAAATAATATATATATTATATTATATATTAATATATTATATATATATGATGAACCACTTCTTACCTTCGCTTGGGGGTTTGCTAGTACAGATCTGAGGTTGCACATGGCGGACTTCCTGGCCCAAACAATGCCAGATGACTGCTCCCAACGTGCTCTACCCTTAGATTGCTGGGGCAGTTGATGATACACTTTGCATAGATCAACTCCATACATGCACACATATATCATACCCATCAGATACAGATGTCATACACCAAAATTCACAATAGAGAAACCCATGCCCATGTTCATGACCATTCAGCTCTGGCAAGTATACCACCTAAAACATAACAGACAGATCTTCTCAGGACTTGGACTGCCTGGATGCCTTTAGTGGTCAGGGTCGCATCACTCAGGTGTTCCGTCAGATACTAAGTGGGACACTAGTTGAGTTGAGCATGATTGATGCAGTGATCAGATATTATATTATATATTATATATATTGTTGTTTAAAATAGTATTATTATTATTATATAATATAATATATCAGATATATATCATATTTTATATATTATATTATATAATAATATAATATAATAATATATATATTATATGTGTTATACGCTAATTTAATTTAATATTATAAATATAATATATCAATTAATTAATTTATATTATATTATTATAATATATTATTTATATTATAAATTAAATTATTATATATATAATATATAATTATTATAATATATAATATTTTAATTAATATTAATTAACCCTACAGGGTTAATATTGTAATAATTATAATAATTATAAATAATATATATAATAATTATATATGAAACTAATTAAAATATTTAATATATTGTATTTAATAATATATATTATAATATATATAAATTAATTGTATATTAACAATATAATATAATATAATATATAATGTCGATTAATAAACATATATAATATTTATAATATATTATATTAATTATAATTTTATTAAATTCTATATAGTATATAGTAGTAATTATATAATATATAAATTATTATATAATATAATAAATAATAAAATATAAATTATAAATATAATGTCGGTCAGTCTATATGATATAAACTATTTGGATCGATATTGCTGGATTAATCTGATTGTCTCAGCCAGATTGCCCCACTATCGCTTAGGCCAACAGGGATTGAACACGTGATGTGCTCAGACAATCACCTTGGTAGTTCACTTGTGGGTTGATCGATTGGAAAAAACTATTCCCCTGGGTTTGACATTGTGCCATTGAAAACCAAAAGTGTTTTGACCACCATTACTAACTCAGTTTTTGTTATTGTCAATAATAAATGTTTGTGCCAACACTTTGCGCCAACACTTTGTGCCAAGGGAGAGCTTTGACCGCAATGATGGCGAAGGGGGGAACATACTGGAACCGCCGAGTCCTCAATGATTACTATTCCACTGGTGCATTGTGAGGTTCATACCCCAATTCCAATATAGTAAATCAATTGGGTGGGAATGTTAATTCACTGTTTCTGGAACCATTTTTTTTGAACATGAGTCCACCAGCAATGATTGAGCTGCCGTGCTGAGATTTGGTTTCCTGAAGATCATGTGGCAAGTTTTGCGGCTTGCTCCTGGTGCACTTCTGGTGGGAGGTCCACCCTGCAACACATGGGTCTTCATCAATTCTGGGACATCCAGACGTACCCGGAAAATGGTATTGGGCGACCAAAAAAAAAAATCGGTGAAGGAATCAAATGAGAATCTTGGAAAAAAATGTGTGGGCATTATTTTCCCATTTAGATTCCATATACTCCATGAATTGATCTTGAATAATAAATATTTTCTTCACGACAAAATTGATACTCCCAATGTGGTCATTAGTGGCTCTATGAGCATGAGTGCCAAGGATAACAGCCCGATGGATCATCTTGGGACTGGTGGCCACAGCTCGGAAAGTATGGTTCCTAACCGAACAACCTCGGTCTTCCCTGATGCCATTCTATGCCTATGTCCGGTACATGGCATTGATTATCCGGCCACTCAGATGGGGTCTTGCTTATTTGTCAGGTGCTTAGATCCCAAAGAGATCACATTATTATGCTGTATTAAAAGTACTACAGTGATTGATCCTATTGTTTTTCAGTGGCAAGCAACACACGTTATTCATTGATTAGCAGATACATATTATAGTAGTCTTAATAATTTCTGATTCTGATATGATGACATCTTCATTCAAAATTGCATGCTAAGTCCCATGGGTCGATTTGGAGCTCGTACCCGCAAACCAACTATGCTGTTTGGCACTGTGTCCAGCCCTCAGTTGTCCTGGTAATTGCTGGGCAATCGCATGCATGCCCGTCTCAGGCCTTGGATCCATGCATTGGAAGGCAAACTGAATGAGAAGGACAAGATTCGCATTGAGAAGCATAAGCAGGACACAGACCAACCAATGGTGATCAAAAAGATTGACAAGAAAGGTAAGCGAACTGTGTGGCTAGGCTCCAAATATAGCTGATCAAGGTAGAACTGATATTGGTTTTAAAAATACAGTAATCATGGGAATTGTTGAACTGGAACTATAATCAATGTAATTCAGCTCAGCTACTCCCAGCTCAGGCAAGGAGGACCGGGACTCCGAAAATCGGCTGCATATCCCAAGAAGTTTGCCAAGGAGTTACACAGTCGTCATACAGCTACTTGACAATTAAAATTCATTCAGTAATGGGTCCATTGTCCAATGCTCCAGAACAATTTAACAATGGAAATCCGAATTGAACAAATAATTGCTGGATTGTCTTTCCAAAAAAACTTGTATTACATATAACTAGATTATATTAATTATAATATATAATTATTATATATAATATATATGCATTATGATCCATATTAGGTTCCACTCATACCTCCCATGCTTCTGACCCAGGCGCAAAGCTTCACAGCAGACTTTGCTCCACAGCCGCAGATGCCTGCCGACAGCCAGCTGAAGGCAAACATATATTATAGATGAAGAACTGCATGAAACAACTACATATATTATATATAGCAGAGATATGATTGATATTCATCATATTGAGCCATTTACACATCATCAAAAAAAATACAAAATTATAATCCCCACAATGTTTGTTGTTTGGCCAGGCACCATATCGCTGGCGTCATGCCCATCTCTCATCGATGAAGGACTATTTGAAGCAACAGGTGGATGATGGCGACTATGCGCCTATTATGCGTTCTGGTCTCTATGATGATATGTAGTGCGTAACATATACCACATGAGCAAATTGCACTAGCCTCTTTGGTCAAATAAAAAAACAGACAAATCATAAATTATATTGTTTTTATATGTGGTTCTCAAATCGAAAAAATATACCAACAATGTTGGCACCAGGGGCTAGGGCATTAATTAGTGTTGACCACCATTTTATAACTATGGGTGGTGCTGAGTTGCAAAAAAAGCTGTTGTGATCACACTAGTGACCCAATAGCACAATGATCTACATAGAGCGTATGGATCTATGTGTCGGGCCCGAAAAAAAGTGAGCGTGAAACACCGTGAAACATGCGTGAAACATGCGTGAACGCCTATTCAGTGACGTGAACGACCATTCAATGGCGTGAACGGCTATATATCAAAAATCCACTTTTTTTGAAACGTGCAATTCATGTGAATGGTGGCAATTTTGTAGGATTTGTGTGGTTGGTGACACGTTTGATATCACAACAGCTTGTGTTGCATATTCCTTTTTCCAGGGATCAAACTTGAGCTTAAGTAGCCAGTGTGCCTACATATCCCATGGCGGGGTCAGACCTTGTGGCTGATGCAATTCGGAATGCTGCTATGCGTGCGGAAAGGCACGCCCTTTTAAATAGTGCTGTCACAAGCATGGAGGAGCTTCTTAATTTCCCATTGCCACCGGAGCAGCTTCCATGGGGACTTGCTATGTCGAAGTCCTATTTTTTTGCACATAGCAAGATGCGGAAACCGTCATTTATATCATAAATATCACATAATTGATTTGATATTGATAATTTATCCGACCATTGTGCCCACCTTGTCTTCCCCGGCTGAAGGTTGGACATGCCATCAGCACCTGCGATGCTGGCATCCAAAGCCAAAGGTCAGGTGAATCACGATGTTGTTTTTTTGGGTGGATGTGTGTGTGATCAAAATCCTAAGCTATAGGGGCATTGTTATTTGAGGAGAAATCCTTACCACAAGTGGTATACCAAATGCAGCTCATTGTGCCACACAATAAACTAACAGACAAAATGCAAAATGCTGCAAACATGTACGATCTATATCGTCATGAAGTATAGCCATGATCCGTAAGTATGATGAATGAAATCATTATTGCCATATGCATATTAAATTGAGCTATGATTTTTCATTGCAATATGATGCACCGTGGACATGGCAAAATACAAAGTAACTGTAAAAAATAATAAACGGTGATCTATTAATTAAGATTTATCAATCCGACCGCATGGCCAGGACATGCGTCACAGGAGACTTTGCCAGCGTCCGACAGTCAGTTGGAAGAAGCTTTGAAGGAGGCTTCACTTGGCATTACCACCCCTGAGAACCGCATTCGCAGAAACATGTCACAACCTGCAGACATTTCACACGAGAAAGAAGCCATGCCGCAGCAGAAGAGACGAAAAGTGGTGAAGGTGATTAAGCGAAAGGTTGCAACTCCTCAAGAAGGTCAAGCCTTACCAGCCCCAGCCAGAACTGAAGCACCACCAAGTGGGCCCACAGCTCCAGAGAATGCTCATGACCACCTGACCACGCAGTTGGTTTCACCAGTGCCAGCACGGGCTGAGCAAGCAACACATGAACACGCAGATGCTGCAGCACAACCTGAACAAGTCTCGCCACCCATCGCACCAGCAACGATTGCACCGGCAGAAGCAGAACAAGTGTCAGCATCCACTGCAGCTGCACCTCATCGAGCCCCTGAGACTGCCATGGATACAGCCCCTGAGACAGCCCCTGAGGCCACCCAACCTGCACCAACAGAGCTGCCTGCCCGACCTGCAGCACCAGGACCACGTGTCAATGAAAGGGTCGTGCATCCACCACAGATTCCAGCCAAGACAGAACCTGCAACACCAGGATCAGCTGTCAATGTCAAGCGTGAACATACCGAAGCGACCAGCAGCATTCCTAGCAAGCAAGAACCGATGACTGAACAACGTCGCCGTGCTGTTGAACAAGCCAAGCAAGACAACATGCAGCGCAGCAGCACTCAAAGCCAACTAGGATCTCCAGCTGGTCCTTCCACCCGCATGCCCAACACCAATGCCTCACAGTCCTCAGGCCCAGCCAATGGTGCAGCACCTCCTGTTGCACGTGGTCCGCCAGCAGCCCACCCTGCAGCCCCAGCACAGCCGCCACAAGCAACAGCAGCACTTCCTGTTGCACGTGGTCCGCCAGCAGCCCACCCTGCAGCCCCAGCACAGCGGCCACAAGCAACAGCAGCACCTCCTGTTGCACGTGGTCCGCCAGCAGCCCACCCTGCAGCCCCAGCACAGCGGCCACAAGCAACAGCAGCAGGTCAAGAACCAGCTGACTCAGAGGATGGACGCAGCAACCATGATGATGAGACAAGATCTGTGGGAGGGTACTCAAGCACGACATCCTTTTCTCAGGCTTTGGAGAGAGATCTGACTACCCTGTTGGAAAACCAGGAGGGAGGAGAACGTGAAACCAGAAGGAATGAAGACAACAGAGACACAGCTCAGCCAGCCGTTCCCAGGCGAAGACGTGCAAGGACTGTGGAAGAAAAAGCGATCCATGCAAAGTTCATGCGCTTTACGCGCCACATTCAGAGTTTCTTGTCTTATTGACGTTATCATTATAAGTTACCCCAGAATGCATCTGTCCATTCAAAAATGAATGCCCATGCAATCCCATGCATGTAGGGGTTATAGACAATGATCAACTGTTTTACACAAATCACATGTGCTTCACTGAGTCCTGCAGTTATTATCATACATATTATGCAGTTTATTTCAGTCCAGATTGCCATTATATCCCAAATATCTCGTCCTATGCCCCAAATCTGTCAAAACTGTAACCATTGTATTTGTGTGGCCATAAACGCTGCTGAGACCATGCGCCTCCGGCGATCCAGAAGGCCCACAAAGCAGCGAAGTACTGCTTCTCGGCTTTGAAGGGCCTGTTCGAGAATTGTGATCCGCACTGAAAAAACATAAAATATCTAAGGGTAACAACATCTGTTCAGAAATTGGTAGGATGTGGAAATCATAATTATATGAACAAATCAACCAGAATGATCCAATCGTACCTTGCTGCAATAACATGATATGAAGTAATATTTCAAGTATGAAGCCCTATAGCAGGTGCAAGTTATTTGGATGTGATAGGTCAACACATAGACTTGCAGAAGCAGTGTTCAAATTATGTATGATATATATATACTATATATATATATTATATAATATAAATTATAAATAAATAATAATTAACATACATAAAATATATTTTATATATAATATAATAATAATTTTATTATATTATATATAATATATAATATATATAATATAAGATAATATATATATAAGATAATATTATTATAATATTAATATTAAAATATATAATATATATTATATAATATATAATATATAATATAATATATATAATATATATATTATATATAATATAGATATATTATATTATTAATATTATATAATAATTATATATAATATATTTATAAATATATAGGGTATATATATAGAGATATATAATATATATAAAAATATTATATAAAATATTTATTATATTATATAAGCACTTTTGCTCTCATACAATCATATAATATTTATTGATCGATCGATATATCTATTAATTCCTGAGGCAGTGCACAGCTGCAAGTCCTTTTGGATGAATGGACGCAGTGTGGTGGGCAGTGGCAACGAAGCACACTGTACGAACGAATGACCGCCAAAAAGTCTTGCCGGCAGCATGGTGCCAGGGTCTGGCTAACGAGGGGGCAAATTGCCACCAAGTATGGGGATCGGGGCATAGCGGATGAAATATGTGATGGGAAGCTCTTGGATGCGTCCCTCCGAGAGACACACACGAAGCCCCATCCAGATGCTCCCAACTCCGAGGCTGGATCTTATTTGACATCATTATTTCAAACAAGCCAATCTCATATTTTATTTCTTGGCTAAGAAAAATCTTGACTTCAGAATCAGAACACCATTTAAATCAGAATCCTGGGTCAATCTTGATCCAATTGATCATGGCTGAAAAAACACCAGACACCATGGTCAAATTTAAAACACACATGGTTCAGTTACCAATTGCAGTACCACGGATGTGTGATATGTGCCGTAAATGAACCATGAATTTCTTTTACATGTGAGGATAATTACAGTGGGGATAGCAACCTTTCATGCATATAAATTACATATGAGAAATTGCATGATGAATCATGATCGACATATGACCTTTGATCCATCTAGCAAAATCCATAGCAAACCTTCCTCCACTCGTCGCAGACCTTGAAGCTCTTCCTGGTGTGGGACAGCGAGGGCATCCAGGAATCCGAAGACCGGGTCCTGGAACAGATCTTCGAAAGTGTGGATGCTGATTCCGATGACGACAGCGCGTCCAGTGACACCAAGAAAAAGAAGCGTAAGCATGGAAAAGATGGAAAGAAGGATAAGCGCAATTCCAGCAGTGACAAGTCATCGGATTCCTCATCCGGCAGTGGTGACAAGGCACATCTGTTTTTGATTGTGGCGTTGGATTTTTCTGAATATGTTTGATATGTTTTTGGTATATGATACATCGATTCATCAATTCTTGATACATACTATATCATCATGATCTATATTAGCTGATTGCATCGGTTGTATTTTCAATGTTTGTTTTTTTCGTACCTCTCCCAACTGTTCAGAAGAAGAAGAAGAAGAATAAAAGCAAAAAGTCGTCGAAGAAGGAAAAGAAAGAGACCAAAGAGAAGAAACAGAAGCGCTTGGAGAAGGAAAGGGAAAAGGAGAAGAAGGATGCAGAAAGAGAAAAGACCAAGGCTGAGAAGGAAGTGATCTCAAAGGGAAAGAAGGCAAGTTCATGATAATGATGATTCAAACCTGTATAGCTTTTCCCGTAACTGATGAGTGCGATGTTGTTTCAAACAATGTGGTATTCCATATGGTCACATTCTGGAATCAACAAATCTATATCACAATCCCCGAGTAGTGTTGCAAAGAACACCTTTTTTTCTGTCATTTGGAATTTTACAAACTCAATCCCCCAATGTTTATATTCAAAATGTCATGTGCATCAGGCACTGAGCAAGATCAATGACCGGATTGCCACGGCCTCCCAGAGGCAACGTGTGGTGGCTGGTATGTCACAACCTCAGGAGCTGAACTGACTCTCAACTGTACTGCCCCGGGTTGATTGGGAGATGGTATACTCAAATTGTTGAGGCTACATTTCCAAACACCAAATTGTTTTGTTTTTTCGGAGCATGCTTGTGATTTGATTCTGGCTAGCTATGCAATAGCAATGCATGGTTGTTCGAAACCTTTTCTGGGTATAGCCCATGGTGGTTTTGGCACTGCGTCCCCCAAATGTTTAATTTAACATTCAAATTTTTGTGAACCAATATCAAGAGACATCGACAATCTGGTATTGAAATCATTTCCTGGGTGAAAACTACGACATACATCGAAATACCTTTTTTTTGTTCTGGCATGCATATGCAAAATCTATTTGAAAACATGATATGATAGGAATAAATCTTGAAAGTTTTCGATCATCATATATATTATAATTTTTATATGGTCATTTCAATCACCCAATTGGTCCTGATATAACAACCTACCACGGCTGTATGATTTAAAAAACTTTCCATCAGACCCCAAACCACTGAGATCCGGTTTTGGTCAACCCACAAATGAGGTCAGATGTCCTCAGGGCCGCGATCGAGAGTGAATTGGATGCCCACAAGGATAAGCTGATCCAGCTCCGGGGAAAACTCCAAAAGGCTGTGGACAATCTCGATGTTTCTGGATGAATTTATAGCCACCATGTTGGGGTATGTGATATACAGATTAGATATTATAATATAATATATATACAAAGAAGTGAGTTGAAGTATATTGATCAATCATCTGGAATCGTTACTGTGGGTCCATGATTCTTGAAATTGTAATTTTGACATATTTCGACTTCCGTGTGCCAAGGCTGCATCTTTGCCAGACCTGATTGCTGCCGCAAATGCGGCTGAATCTGATTTCACGGATTTTTTGTCCAGAGTGAATCTCAAATGAAGAGATCATGGCAACCCAAGGAAATCTGGCAGATTTGATGTGATGTGGAACATGTTGTGTTGCCTGGCTACTTTTTTTCCAAAAGCGATGAGACAGGAGTGTTTTATCAGGGTGGCTTGCATGTAAAACATGTTGCAAGTTTTCAATTCAAATTCCAAGTTGGTATAACATGGTTCAACACATATATCAATAAAAACATGATAAATCAAATATATGATATGTTTTTTGAAATCCATGCGTGGAAGCTTCCCTGATCACTCCATTCTGGATGATGTAGCGTTGACATTCATGGGACACCCAATTGCTTTGTCTTAGCTTAGCATTCCTTGATGGCGCAAAGCTTTTTTAAGAGCTTGCTTGCACATTGCATTTACCAAAACATGTCGGCCTGAAAATTCGCCCGGCATCTTAGCTTAGCATAATTAGCTGGAACAACATCAGCACCTGTCGACCGAAATGGTGAAAAACTAACTGTCTATCTTGGTGTATTTGCATGTTGTGTTGATCAAAGTTGCATGAAGATACATGGAATCCTTCAAACTAACTAGTGAGTTCGACAATGAGAAAAGCATTTTGGAAAATCAATATGCACCAATATATAATGTTTACTTCCCTGCGCAGGTGATGATGGTGGTGGCATGTCTGCCATACTTGAAAATGCTATTGCAGAAGTGGCAAGTGGAGTATCTTGTCTGATATGGGGTAGCATGGTACAATGCAATTGTTACAATCTCGATCGATACATATGATTCAGACTTTGCACAAAATGTATCAAAAAATATAAAACAATATAATAATTATATAATATATATCTTGGTTGTATAGTTGATACATCGCGATGTATCACTCAGTTACCTGGCCACGCCGCAGCTGAGGGATCCACTGTGGGCAAAGTGATGAGGCCCTTGAAAGCCCACACCAAGGACCTGGAGTGGTTGAGAATGAAGGGACACTCATTCAAAAAAAATGCAATTTTTTTTTTAGTTTTCCATTGCTGGATTTAGTGGTTCTGAGTTCTGATGACCAAAAAAAGACTAGTTCAACAACTGTGAGTTCTGTAATAAACCAATCAACAAATGATCTAGTATATCCTGCATCACTTATATATATATATTTATATATATTATATATGATCGATATATATTATATATTTATTATAATATAATATTAATTAATATTGTATATATATATAATATATTATATAATTTATATATCATAATATTTATTATATATATATATTATATTATATTATATTATTAATATTAATTAATTTATAAATTATATATAATATAATATATATATATATATATTATATTATTTAATTGATATATAATATAATCAATATAATAATATTATGATATATATTATTATATTATATAGTATTATAATTTATATAATATTATAATATATACACTATAATATATAATTACATAAAATAATATGTTATTATTATTTAATAAAATATCATATATATTATTTTATAATATATATATACTATGCTATATTAATTATATTATATAGTATATTATATATTTTAAATATTATAAAATATATATATCATATCATTATAATATATAAATATAAATATCATATAATTATTATATTATTATATAATATATATTTATAAATATATTATATAATTATTAATATATTATATATAATATATTTATTATATAATATAATTATTAAGCTATAGCTATACTAGTTATATATTACTAGCAGTGCAAAACAACATATATGCATCACAACTGGTGGTTTTGATAATAAAATTATACCACACCGCTCAGCTAGGACATATGATATTCAAAAAAAATGTTTGCTGCCGTCAACAACTCTATCGTGATCAAAGTGTACCGTTTAAAGAGTATCTATGCTGGTATTAATTATAACTATTATATATTATGCAATAAAATATAATCCGGAACCCATCGCTTGAGTATGGTATTTCTTTCTTGTATGCAGGACGCTGGAAATATCATATCTCATCGGCACACATCGAGACTGAGCAAAACTTCCGGTGGGAAGAATGCATCGCGTGACTGGTGGCGGTCGTTTAAAGATGGACCCGAACCTTAAATCGTATTATATGATTTTTATATTTTTTTTGTGCACGGTGTTTTTCTTTTAATGTGATCGTTTTCTCTAAACAACTGACTTTCGGAATTTTGACAACTTCTTTTGAAGAAGGTTTTGGAGAATATCAAGATCCCTGTGAAGTACGACGACTTGGAAACTGGAACTGAAAAGTGTCGTATCGAAACGTGGCCCATAGTTGATCCAAATTCAGTTGTGACTTTCCTGGTGGAAAAGGCTGGACTACACATCTCCAAAGGAGAGCTTGCCCAGTATTGGAACCATGCAGCTGCATTTGGACAGGAGTGGGCTCGGGGTGTCAGTGTGGACACTCAGCCTGTTGGAATATATGGAGATTCAGCACGAGTATTCACCAAGTTCAGTAGTGTAAATATCGTTGGTATATTCTTCAACCTGGTCTTATGGAAACCGCAGTCAGTGAGGATGAGTCGCTTCTTGCTTTTCTGCATACCTGAGCACCAACTCTGGAATCACAAAACAATAAATACTGTTTTTCGTCGTATTACATGGAGCCTGAACTCTTTGCATGATGGGTTGCACCCACATCTCGACCAATATGATCAACCACTTCCTGACCACCTTGCACGGCTTGCTGGAAAACCACTTCCAAGGTGTAAGTTGACAGAGATCAGAGGGGATTGGAGCTGGCATAAAAAGATATTTCGCTTTGAACGGACAAGCTGGACTGGAATCCAGGTGTGTCATCATTGCCGAGCAGTTAGCCAGTCACAGGACAGTTCTGCCTTGTATTGGAATTTTCACAGCAACAATTGGGATGACAAACCTTTCACTTTTGAGGAATTCATAAATGAGTGAATGCCAGCACATGACATGTGTTTCTCGATCGGTTCATTTATTTCTTTTGTTGTACTGTGATTTGCTTTCATTGCGATCCCGATTTATGTATGCATATCATGTACTGTACTACAATTTCAATGGCCGAACTATTCTGATATATCTGGCCATGTTTTGCAAGCATTTTGATTTTCCTAGTGGCTACTGCCTGAGGTCCTTTGGTGGGAGTTCGCGATTTCCATCCAAGTCAGATCAGATGGTGTCTGATGCATGTGGTTAACCTGGGATTGTTGTATGTGATCAACGGCTCCATCATGAAACCTGTCAATGGACATTATGTTTTGGTGTTGGGCAAATCCTGATCCTGAAGTGTATCATTGAATTTGCATTTTATTTTTTTACTGGTTTCTATGCAGTGTGTACTGCATGATGTTTCAACATGGTTGCTGGCTATTATTTTTTTTGGCGGAAGGGACCAGTGGTCATCATTTTTTTTTTACCTAAGGAACGTATTGCTTCGTGCAGGTGTCTTTGGGAATGAGGCCCATTTGAGCATGGCAGTGAAACTGGCTCGGGCCTACGAAAAGTTCAAGTCCTGGCAATCATCTAGAGGCATTCGCTGTTCCCAACCGAAGTTTACAGAGAAAATGGTTCCTGGGATTTGTTTTTAGATGGGGTGTTTTTTAAACAATGGCCAGGGTCCAGGGTATCAATTTTCAGTTTTTTTGTGATTCAACGCACGCACAGCGATGTCAACTAAGATTTTCAAGAAGAACAGCGACATCTTGTTCACATTGAAGGCTTTCAATGGCCGTGTCGTTTTGGAGTGGCTGTGTGATGAGATGATTCAGTTCTGCCAAGTCGATGGGTGCGACAATTTTGACCCTCGAGTTTACCACATCGCAACAGCTGCGAACCTATTGCGCAATTATATATATTCGATGTTTTGTATTTTTATACCAGGTTCCGGTTCTATAAATTATAGTTGATATCATATATTTATTTATCTAATTATATTTCATCAAATGTTGGAATAGACCAATGTTATGAAATATCTTGGATATCTAGGATCCTGGTCCTGTGTCTCTGAGCAGCCCAGCACAGCCAAGGAAATGCATGGCGAATTTCCTGGGAAGATTGGAAACAGCTGGTCGGTATTTGATCCTCTGGTTAACTGGGAAAGGGGCAGGGTTTCAGTAACCCCAAATAGTGCAATTACAATCAACTTTCCAACATTTTATTTGGTATTTAAAAAATGTATCCCTAATATTGCAATGCATACCGGCTAGATATTATATTAGATGCGTACAAAATCACTGGGACATATAATCGATCGATACTCATCGAACTCAATTGCTGTAAGGAGTGCAGATGAAGCTGAAACCATCTTCGGTGATGGCAAGATGTTCTTGGACACCTACATCCGATTGACTGGGATGTCTATCAGGCTCAGATGTTTGACTTAGCCTGGTATAGCCAAAAAATAAAAGTTTGTTTGTTTTTAATAATTATCACTGTAAACATATTTGATTTGATCTCCAATTATCCTCCCTTTTGTGTAGATAAAATACAACACTTATTGGTAACCTACATGGTACCAAACTTATATCAACAATAATCTGAAGATCAAATATTTTTAAAGTGATAAATCACTTCACTTCTGACCATTGTCCTGTGAGGCTGGGCCACCAGGAGTGGTTCTTGAGACCCAAGCTGCACGTTTCTCGGAATTATATCATATGATCATTATGTTTGCAGGATTGGATAATATATTTATGACAGCTTACTCAGCTTGTACCGCCAGTATAATTAATAGTAATAAGTTGATCATATGTCGCAATGATTTACCAATACCCTTGGTTGTTGCCATGGACCCTGCACAAACAAAGATTGATGGTTGTGAAGCTTTCAATCAACCAGCATGGAATTGAGTTGAGAACATATCTCAGGCCTTTTGGCATATTATATGCTCACTACGGGATACGCGTGTCTTGTCATTTAGTCAGTTGGAACGACATCAGTGAGCTGGGGTTTCCAACCATCCGTCATCCAAGGCAGCAACTGTCGCCATTTTCATGGCTTTGTGGACGAGGATGGAATGCAATGGCTGAAGTGCAGCTAGGTGTCAACCAAATTATGGTGCAAATGCATGTGATAAATGCATACATCATGGATGAGCACAATTTCTTATTTTTTCATCATAGATTTATTTACTGCATAGTTTGAGAACACATCATCATGCATGACATATTGCCAAGTTACATGAAAAATGTCTGTGCGTGCTTAGGTGTGTATCTCAAAGGCCACCCGCGATTTGCCTTCAAATTTATCATGCGGTGCTCAAAGCTGAGGAGCCTTTCCTGTGGAATTTGGACAATTGCCTCTTTGTTTTTGGTGTTTTCTTGAGATGTTGTGAGGTGAGGATCTCTAGATGTTTTTTTGTTTAATGTGTGATGGCCCCTTTCTTCGTCCCTCCTGCTCCTTATGTTTTTTTAATGTTTTTTTAGTATGCATCGCATGTGCTTGCATTCTCTCTTGGGCGTGAAGAGACCTGAACATCACAAAATTACGGAGTTTTGTTGAACAGAAAGTAATAAATGTTCTAGAATTCTAGAATGTAGACCATACCAATCAAAATTACGAGACAAAACTGAGCCAACTCAAAAACCTATTTGCCCAGAACACCATGAATTTACAACAGGATGATTGGACATATTTTATATAAAAATCATATGCACATGCATGCATGCATGCAGGCACATTTAACATGTATCAAGTACATACTGGTGTGAATGCAATGCTTGATTTTAAAATCACGAACGCAATCACATCATGCAATATTGACAGGTTAGGCAAGGCATTTTTTATCAAGTAAATCAAACAAAGAAAACCAGAAAAAAAATGCCATGCGCAGGTGAAAAGGCATACAGTAAGTGAAGCAAACATAATGGTGCCAATGTAGCAGGAACAATGTCAGAATATGATAGTTTTTTAATGCAATATGGTACCAGTGATCATGTAGCCTTTGTGAAGCTCTACCTGAAAAACAATGTGGAGACTGGAGAGACATGCACATCATGCATCATACTTTTATTGATGGAATATCATGCACACACACACTATGTAATTGGTATGATTCAAGGCTAATATGGCCAGCTGGTTGAGTTTTTAGACATGTGGTGGTGAGATAGAGAGAGAGAGAGATAGAGAGAGAGAGAGAGAACGACAATTTGCAGGTATGACTCTCTAGATTTCATCGCTTTTGAATGCTCGCCATACTCGCAGGATATGGTCAACAAGGATCCGAATCAAGCAGCTACTTAGCTTGATCAATTGAAATGGGTTTCACTTTCTTTTATCGAAATTTGGACATGCTGGCTGTTCATTACTGCTATGCAATTCTATTCACTGTTTATGGGCTGATGGTGGTCATCCCAGGTTCAACTGCTATGTCGCTGAACGTTTGGCACAAAATCGCTGAGTGGAAAAATGGGAGATTGCGAGCGACTCTCAAAATGTTGAAAACCATGAAATTCCAACATTCACGAAATAGGCTTTATAGTAACGACTATACTTTGAATCGGCTTTGGAAGCTTAGGGTATATATATATATATTTATACATATGATTATATATGGATATTATAACTCACGATATTAGGTTCAGTTGGGGTTAGTTTCATGGCTATAATTATGGTAAGTTCACCTCCATAAGATGGGAGACTAGGGGCCCCGCTAGGGCCCCGCTCGTGGCCTGGGTGAACAAAAAAAGTCATCCCGGTGGAATTCAGGTTTTATCAAGCCGCAGGTGGAAGATAGGCCCAAGCATGTCCAAACTGGTTATGTTTGGGGTCGGTGACATGTCAAGTTTTCTGCAGTTTTTCTTCATCGACCTATTGTCCTTATTGGACTGGCTCTAAGGGAGTTTTACAAGCTATTTTCACACACACACACACACCCTGTCACAATTATTGCTTGTAATATGTGGTGATTCCATATATATATATATTCCATATATATATATATATATTCCATATATATAATATATATATATATATATATTCACCACTAGTTCCAAATGATCTCTCATAAAATGGTTTTCTGATTGATCCATAATAAACGAACAATGACTGATTTCATAGATTGATCCTGATGAAATCTCCCCGGTTCAAAAAAAAAACGGCCTGGTAAACGTTTACAAAAAACGAACTGGAAAGATCCAGCATTTTTATTGGGTAGTCATCCAAGATTTCGACTGGGCCATTTTCAAGTTCGCAAACTGTGAACGTTTACTAGAGGGTAAGTTCCATTAATCCCTATTGATCACCATAAAATCCCATTACTGTAACATCCCATTAACATCCCATTAAAATTCCATTAAAATCCCATTGAAATCCCATTGAAATCCCGGGTATTGCCTGGGGATTGTTCATCCATGACTGGCTCGGCTCGGCCCACCTGGAGCGCCAGGCGGGGTTGAAGGACACCTGTCGCTTGACGGATGTCGGTGGCACCACGCGGGACGGTCCCTGCGTCTACCAGCTTCGCGGTCGCAACTGGAGGGTTCACCATGTTTTTCAAGGGAAGATCCTCTGAAAATCGTCGAGATTCCTATAGATTCCTGCTATTTTGCTGGATATGAATGGGATAAAGACTGGAAAGACTGGGATGAAAACTGGGGAATGATGATGAATTATTGGGATATATGATGTATAATTCAGTATAATGATGTATGATGTGGATATCATGGGATATATAAGGATATATCGCATCCCCCCAACATCCCATGACGACAAGGACCCTGTCCTGAGTGCAGTTGGAGGTTGCAAGACCTTCCCCTATTTTCTCCTCTAAACCTGAAACGAAAAGGTTTCATACTGGGGGGTGCATGGGTTTATTCCATTCTTATCTTAGTTGTTTCCAAACACTTTGAGTAGTGGACATTCAGTGGATGATACGATTTTTTTGGAGCCATGATGTTTGGACCCCCAATGTGGAATCACACTATGGGACGTGGTTGGGTGAGTGTTCAAACTGGCTATGGGACTCTACTTAGATCACCCCCCTTAGTAAGTGGGCAATAACCATACGATATCAATCAGTTGAGTTGTATGTGGGACATGCCCCAGTCGCCCCAGTCATTGACCTCGGGGATCTTCACAACATACTGATTGATCTGATTAGGTCCCGCACCCCGAAGTACTAAGATCACTTCAGCACTTCAGAGTCAAGCCGCGGCCAGGTTGGCTCTCAACGTTCGGGTTGGGGAAATTAACATGGTGAACCCACGCGAAGTCGTTGGCATCTACACCCAGTGCGCTGGGAAGTCTGGCTATGCCACGGCCTCTGGGCTGCAACTTCCGGGAGCTGGTTCCTTCCACAGCCATCAGCCATCAGAACTCTGGCGGAATGTGAAGTGCTCAAGTTGCCACACATGGTTTGCCTCTGAGCTTTATTGGGTTCATATGGAAGTGTCATAACTTATAATCTTATCTAATCTTATCTAATCATATAGATCATCAATAAAATAATACCCATTCAAAGCCAGTTAAGACCCAGTTGAAACCCAATGAAACCACATTTAAAACCCATGAAAACTCAGGAAAACACCCCTCAAAACCAATCAAAAGAAAAGCTCCAAAAACCATCAAAAACCCATATCTCACAGGTTTTGCACTCATCCAGCAGGTCTGTGGTCCACGCTACAGCGTCCTGGAGTATGGTCCTGCCTACGCTGTGGATTCCACCCTGGTACCAGAGGCATGGGCTGTGGAGAATGAGGTGCAGGATTGCAGATGACTGTAGATGACTGTAGTATATTGATTGGATATTGTGTGTATATTCATCATACACAATCATACATATATATATATATATATACATATATATATATATATACATATAATTATTATTATATCATAGCATGTTGTACACGTGTTTCTCTTAATCAGCAGTAATCGCATGAGTTTTTCATCACAAGATCTACCAGGCAGGCGCAGCCTGCGCCAGCCTGCGCCTCTGGAGGTGAACCTCACTGAATTTGAGAGGATCGAACTGCTGCCTTTAGATGTGGCGCGCAAGGGGCCTCAGGTCGAAGTTCTCGGAGATTTCGAATGATTTCGATCGATTTCGCAGATCTGAAATCAGTATTTTTCAGCAGAAAGGGGATGTTTCTCACGAAAGAAATGGGAGATTATGTGGGAATTGGTAGAAATTTGGGGATTCTTGGAAAGAGTTGGATGATTTTGCACAAGGAACTCCCGCTTTGACAATGCTTTGCTGTCAAAAAGTGCACGATACGAATTTCGAGGATCTCTGACTCCCCAGGGCCTTCGGAGTGACAAGGCGCGGACTCGCGGACGGAAGTTTTTTGAAGGTTTTTTGTGCATTGTTGAAGAATACAATTCGATAGAACCATCAAATGTTTGGATATGTTTGGAGTTGTTTATTTGAACGTATACCCTTAAATGATGCACTTGTCAGTGTGCCCCCCTCGTATGCTTGGTATTTTCATGTATTTTCCAGTTGTGTGAACATTTTGGGAACCAATGCTATCACCATTACTTGATTCGAGTTTATTTGTTAAGTCACATTTGAATATCTGAATCATCATATGTCATTTTGCACCATTAAGCGCCGTTTGTTGCGGGGTTTCCCAGTTTGGTTCCCCCCCCTCCGGCAGGCGTTGGAGCTCGTCCCCAACACGGTCAATGAAGGGGCGTTACCTGGAGAGGCGGCGAGCGGTCGAGCGGTGGGGTGATTTTTCGTTGGGGAAATCCATTGGGAGTTCACCAACGTTACCCTCTGGTAATGACTGTTACAGTTAGCTATTGAAAATTGCCCATAGAAATAGTGGATTTACCCATTGATAGCATGGTGATTTTCCATAGATTTTTGTTAACGTTTACCAGAGGGCCAGAGGGTACCTTTTTTCGAAACAAATGGGAAGACATGGGGAAAAAAATGGGACTTCATTCCTACAAAAATGGGACGGGAATAGCCTCTATGACTAACGTAGCAAACTGGAAACTTACACTGTTATAGCTAGGTAAATCACGGTAAATCATCATGTTTTATCAGCGCTCACGAAATGAGCCATGGCTTCCATAGCAAACTGTGAAATAAGCTGAGAATAAATTTGGGACTTCATGGGTGACCTGAAATCCAGGATGACCGAAGGGACCGGGCAGTTTAGGAGTTTGAAGTCTTGTCATTTTTATTGGGGGTTATCTAGTAATGTAGTAAATTAGTTCAATAATCGTCAAGTAATCAATCTTTATTTTTGGAGAATTTATACCATGGTGAAATCGTGGATGGTAAAAATTGTGTAAAAAATGTGTTGGGTTTACCGCATTAATCACTAGCCATATATATATATATATATTCATATTGTGGTTAAATGTTCATTGTAATCCATGAATTATGTGTTTGACCAACATGACCAATTACTGGTTGGTGGTTTGGAACATTTTTTATTTTTGCATATATTGGGAATGTCATCATCCCAACTGACTTTCATATTTTTCAGAGGGGTAGGTCAACCACCAACCAGATTGCTACATTACAGGATTACCCCAGTTTCAGTGTGGCATACAAAGAACATATTTACAAACATTTACAAAAATAAAAACATGTGATTACCCTCTGGTAATTTGTTACATAGCTATGGAAAGATCCACCATTTTTAATGGGAAAATCCACTGTTTCTATGGCCATTTTCAATAGCTATTTTGACATAACCAGATGGTACTTCATATCCAACGATACCCAATTTCACCAGAAAATTCTTGCGAATCCATGTGGATCACATGTCAGGATTCCACGAATCCCCCCAGTTCGGTGAGTGTCTGGCTTGATTCAATGAGGCCCCGATAGGCCCCATTTTCAGACTATGAAGATCCATAGAAAATGGCTGAAATAGGTGAAATCCCTATCATTTTCCGTTTTTTTTCTGTGGATCTTCTGTGGATCTGTGGGTCATTTTCCAACCATCCACATGTCTGAGTCATTTCCTCTTTTTTTGCGAAGAAAAATCCCAGAAAAGCCGGATCCAGCCGGGGTTTGCTGAGGAGTTCATCCAGTTTGGTCTCCGAGCCTGGCCCAAGGATCCGCCGCCTGGCCTGGGGTTTAGTCATCCCCTTCTGAATGGCCCAACTCTTCAGATTCAGGTGAGTGAAATTAAAAATACCCTGGTTAATTGATTGCTATAGGAGATTATACTACCTGGTTTCCTGGGGATTATGATAACCCATGGTAGGGAAAGCTATCAACCAACTAGTACAATGAGATGGGATAGGGGTATTTTTAATGGCTCAGGTGAGTGAAATCTAATGCCATTTACCCATCTTTATACTACAGATGTCCCAAATTCCCATTGGTTGGTTGATGAATAGAGGTTTGAGGAATGCCCTTTAACAACAGGTAAATGATGATAGATGGTATACCAAACCGGCCCCTCTATTTTTACCAAAAGTACATGATTGCCAGCCATATTATTTTTTCATTGATGAGATGAAGGTGAGGCGCCTCATGAAGATGAGATGGGGAACATGATTGGATGACAATGATTTGACGAAGATATCTTTATACCAGCCATGTTTTTTCACTGATGAAATATGATGAAATGAATGGTGAGGTGCCAGAAATTTGTTCATACTTCAATGGATACAATGTATATACTTCAAAGTCACCTCGTTTAAGGCTTAGACTTCAGGCTTTCCTGACTTCAGAGGTGAGTCCCCTGTTTATGATAGCCAAGTTATGCCAAGTTGGTTTCTAACTAAAGCTATGGTTGATTAGGAGGATATATCTATTGTAAATGGGTGTAAACCAACAAACATTACTGTATACACTGATTACCCTCCGGTAATTTAACATCGCTATTGAACATGGAACATTTGCAGATGAATTACCTATTAAACATTGTATTTTCCATAGCTACTTTATTTTACTGGAGGGTATAGGGATTATATTCTCCAATCTATTGGGCAAAACATAGGTTACCAGGTTGATGGGATGATTATTTTAGTTGATGATCGGGATTATGCATGATTATACTGTCTTTAAAAAAAAAAAAAACAACAACAGTTGGTTGATGACTATATGGGGTTATACAAAAAATAACAGACACACTTGGCAATCCTATGCATTAAGAAAATCATGTGGTAAACCCAAGTTTATGAAATTGGTTATACCATCTGGTTATGACTAAGATAGCTATGGAGAATGACCATTTATAGTGGATTTTCCCATTAAAAATGGTGATTTTCCATAGTTATGTTAGTTTACCAGAGGGTATACCCCGTTCCGCAGGTTCATAGGATGGTGCCGATGGCATTGGCTGTACTGAAAATTACCAAACTTCATGTGGAAAGGTATTTGACTCAATGGCAGGTTATAGGTCGCACTCCCATTTGGTCGGCCATTCCCCAAAAGTTCATTAAACCCCCTTGATCATAGACCGAGAACACATCAAAAACATATTGTATTCTCATGGTGTATTACCACTATATCTTCATATTGTTGGTGTTAAAATGGGCCAATGATCTTCATATTTTGGGAATCTTTGGGACCTAAGATCCGTAAGATCTAAAGATGTTTTCGAAACTTGGCACATGCTCAGGTATTGGCCCGTAGAGCGGTCTGGTTTCTCGATGGCGAAGCAGATCTGCAGGGTGAAGCAAACCAACTTGGGGGCAGTACCTGGTGACAAGTCGGTGATATGCAGTATTTATAATACATATATCAATGGATTGGTTTAAGGGAAAATCTACAGGAAACCATAGATTTTCCCACTAACTATGGGGCTTTCCTGTAAATTTTCCCTTGAACCAATCCATTGAATATATATATATATATCTATGTATTTATGATTTATGATTTATGACATGGACATTGGATGATTGATATTGATTGATACTAAACTTACTCAATTCGACCAAAATCAAGCGGTCCCCTTCAGCAATCCAGGAATCCAGGGGTAGGCGGAAAAACCGGGCCACCATCGGCCAAGGTCAACTTAGCATCTACTTCCAGCCGTTCACCCTTTGGAGCTTGTCAGACAACAACTACTGCTGCTGAGATTTCAACATGAGGTAGAGGTTTTGTTGGGAGCTTTCACGTCTCAGAGTTTCATCATTCAACAGCTAATAGACTACCAGAATTAGATAATGAGGTGAAGCCAATATCATAAACCATCCAAAACCACCATTTTTATGGGTGGGGTTCCAACCATCCCCAATCATGGTAGTTGTTGGTTGTTTATGGCATTGGGCATTGGGTTTCCCACATTAGACACGCAATGCAGGTGCTTCATGATTTGGGTTTGTCTGGAAATAGGGTACCCCCAGATCCAATGGTCAATCATCATTATCCCATTTTCAATGGCAAAAAATGTGGGGTCTAGCAAAATGTGTGTTTCTTTTAAAAAATAAACCACCCATGCCTGGCAATGGTTCCAAACCACCTATAAAAATGCTGATTACTGGGGGATTGTTTATTTTTTTACCCACATTGTCCAATTTTCAGACAATGTGCTGGATTCCAACTGCTGCAAATCACCGGCCTTGCAATTCACGAGGCCTTGCGATTTGCGTGGCTCCCAATGGACTTTCCTGCAATGACGGACGGGGAGGTGAACTGCAGCGTAATAAGTTTCAGCTACTGGCGAATTTTCTCCCCAGTCAAGTAGTGTTTTACGATATATTATTGTACAATGTGGGCCCCCCATGGCCCCCCCAGTTATAAAGTGGCTTATAAACTCCATTAATTAACTATTATAAGTATCATAAACGATAGTTATTGGAGTTCTCTGCACCAACTTAGCTATCGTTTGGGGGCCCTACATTGTAGGTATAAACCATATATTCTTCGGAGATCGAAGAGCCATCATTGGTGGTTCGCTTTCATTCATCGGGTAAATCCAGGGCGTTTAATGATGAAATTTCTGGGCGAAGGTGAAAATTGATGATGAGTTCGGAGATTAAAACCTAACCTTTACCCTAGGGTAAACAGACAAAAAGATGGGTTTCCCCAGAAAATTTGTCTACAAATGGTTGATTTTCCACATCTATGTTAGTTTACGTTAGGGTAATGGGGAATATCACAATCCATGAATGTGAAATCCCCCATTGCTCATTTGGTCCCAGGATTGATTTCGATGCGCCCCAGACAATTGCAGACAGCAAACACCCTGGGGACCATCCACTGATTGTGTTGTTTTGGACCTAGCTTTGCCTCAAAGCGGGGGATACCCCAAAATGGTCGTTTTATGTGAACGGGAAAATGATCCGGGATTTGGATGTGTTTGGGGCTTCTGATTTTGAGACAAACTACGCCGCCCTGTTTGTCAGGTGAGTTTGCGGACTGTGCTGTCAATCCCTTCGTCCGAACGCCCTTTGGCAACGTGATGCCCATGCAAAGGACCTTATTCTGCATATTTCTGCGGGAAACTTGAGTGATCTTCATGTTCTGAATGACACAACTTGCTGCGTATACAGCACACAGGCAGATGCATCATGTATACATATTGCAAGTTTCTTTTTGTTTAATGGTTTCTGCGCTCTAAATTGATTACAACTACTCCACATGCTCATTTTGATTTGTTTTGTTACAGTGGGTTATACCCCAGTTGTATATGGAATATCTCCTTATACATGGGTTATATATATATATATACAATATATATATATGGCCTATACACCCGTTATATCCAGTTATGGCCTAAGCCCGATGGGCTCGGCCAGGAACACCTTACAGTTGACCTATCCGGCACGCATGGACGAGATCCCAGTGGAACGTTTTGGTGACCTGCCAAGAGATGACTCTGGATGACCATGACTTTACTATACTTTACTTACTATTGAAACAAGCATGGTGACGACTGGGCTAGCATTTTAGAACACCCCCCTATGGTTTTTATTGGTGTGGAGAAATGGTGGATACAGAGTAGACCACCCTTTTAAGAAATGGCCATTTGGAGAGGGAAAGTGATGATAAACCACTGGACATTCGTTGGATAGAACGGGTGCTTTGAAGCCAGGATCAGCCAGACATGGAGATGGGATATGATGGGATATGATGGGATGTTGTTCACAAAACACTTAAGGGTGTTGCCCTTAGGGAGGCCAAAACATGTGCCGGTTAGTCCAGCCATGTCCAGCGAATGATCGGAGGCATCTTCAAACCTGTTTTGACCCTGCAACTCCAATATTTTGCTTCAAGAACAACAATTGGCAGCAATTCACTGAAGCTATCTGAATTCACTGAAGCTTTTGTTGTGGCTACAGACCATCCTTTGGTCAATCCATCGTCCTCTTCCCTGAGGTGAAGCCCATCTGTTGGAGGTGTCAGAGCTGAAGCTGCCGCAGGAGAATCTGAAACCTGATCCTGGTGGCGTGATATACGTTATGAGTTCAACCGCAAGAAAACATAGGGCTTTCCCTACAATGTGGGGCCCCCAAGATAGCTAAGTTGGTTTATAACTCGAGTAACTATGGTTTATGGTACTTATAACTATAGTTAATGGGGTTTATAAACCAACTTACAACTGGGGGGCCCCACATTGTACAAGTCTGCGGCAAGGAGGCATCATGGGTATATCATGGCTATATCATCTGTCTAGTTGGTTTTATTTCGGTGCTGCTTTCAGAATACGTTTTTGGCTTCACGGCGTGGCGACCCTGGCAGGAGGGCTTCTTCACCCTCAGGATGATGGCACAATACCTGGAGACCTGGTCCTTGCTGGAAAACCATGTGGAATTTCCCGCATTCCATGTGTTTTTTGCAGTACAAAAATGCATCGAATCCCTTATATCTAGTTGATTTGCTGGTCCCCATGAACTATAGCAATAAATTGCACTTAGAGACTTAGAGACTTAGTGGATGATGAGTGAAGTATTCATATAGGTATTCATATGGGTATTTCCATGAATGGGGGATCCCCAAAATGGATTTTTGGACACCTCCATATAGTATCTTCCGTTATGACAACTGGGAGGATGGAGGCTTCGGACGCGGGAACAAGGGCCTTCAAGTTGCGCGAATCAAGTTAGAGAAACCGCCACGAAAAAAACTTGAGCTGAGATGTGTGTGGAAATCAATCATAAATCAACATAAATCAGCATAAAATCATCATTTTTCCATTTGCAAAACAAGTCTGTTGGCTAGCCGGTGGATGATTCCTCCATTGGGTTGCCGAACTTGAAACATCTTGAAACCAGAACTAGGTCAATCTTACATGGATACAAACTAATCCTAACATATCCTAACTAGTCTTTTGCTATTAATGGGATTATCTACGTTCACCAAAGATTTTTTCATTTTTTGCCAGGTATCAGCGACGACAGTTTCCCCATGGTTCATCCCGTGACAGAAATATGTTCGGCTGCTTTGGCATTGGATCATATTGGATCTTTACTTACAGTATATATGTATGTATATAATATACATAATATATATATACCTACTGAACCTTATACCCACTTTTTTTGGGGGTGAAAAATAAATAGATATCTATTTTTGGGCCCTTTTCTAGGAACTTACTGCATTTATGGAGGACATTGCGATTTAAATGCCCATGTAGTTTGGGGATGTCCCAGCAATGTTTTGATTTTCCAAGGGTAAGATGCTTGGCAGATTTTCCAATTTCCATAAGACATCAAGAACATGTCCCATATTTTCCCATGGTTTTTCCCATATTTTCATATTTTCCCATATTTTTTCCTATGTTTTCCCAGGTTTTCTCCCGTCCCAGGACAGCCAGGGGCAGAATCCCACGGTGACATCGGTGTCTCCTCCCATGCGGCGCATTCCGTTGCCTGGGACCACCACGGGACGCATCGTGATGGATGGACAGACGGGCAACGGGCCCAGGTGCGCTGGGAGAATCCTGGGGTTCGACGTGTTTCGACGCTGGGATTTTAACGATTCCCAAACGATACCCTCTGGGATTTTCATGGGATTTTATGGTGATCAATAGGGATTTATGGAACTTACCCTCTGGTAAACGTTTACAGTTTGCGAACTTGAAAATGGCCGGCCCAGTCGAAATAGTGGATTTTCCCATAAATAGCATGGTGATTTTCCATGGTTATGTTAGTTTACCGGATGGTAAATATTGTTAAATTACCAGAGGGTATATATAATGGTGGGATAATATTCATATATCTACAGTAGATAGCTATTGAAAATGGCCAAACGATAGCTGTTGAAAATGGCCATTTTCATTGGGTTTTGCATGGGATTTCATGGGTATAAGTTTGGTAATATAATGGGAACATCATGGAATGTAATATATCACCAACAAGACTATGTTACCCTCTGGTAAACGTTTACATTTTGCGAACTTGAAAATGGCCATAGCAATACTTGATTTGTTCATTAAAAATTGTGATTTCCATAGCTATGTTAATTTACCAGAGGGTAGCTAAGTTGCGGCCTAAATAAACAATGTTTCGATATTTTTCTATGGTTTGTGATACTTATCAATGGGAGAATGATGGGTTTCTACAGGAAACTGGTGAACCATGAAAAATACTGTATATGAAAGATGGGGGTTGAATGGGATTTTGAGTTGGTGCCTAGAGAACTCCAATTTTTCTATGGTTTATGAATGTTTATGATTATTTATGACTATGGTTAATGGGGTTTATAAACCAATTCATAACTGGGGGGGCCCACTGGCCGTAGTTGGGAAAATCCTCCGACTAAGTCGAGGTCCCTAAGTTATCACCCTTGGAATATGGTCGAGTTACTTCCAGACCATGACTTAGAAAAAAGGAACCATGGTGACGACTGGGGATAGCCTATTTTATGAAACGCCCGATTGAAAAAGATGAGTTTCACCATGAAAACTGGCGACTTATTGGGGTATTATTGTTGTAGAATGGGGATATCATGCGATAAGTTTTGTTTTCAGGATGTATTGGGAGTTGTTTGTGGGAGTATGTATGCCATGAATCATATGATCAAGAGCTGGATTGTTTACACAATTGGCCCATTGGGGGACGATCATACCACCATTGAAAACGGAAATTCGAATGGCCAGTGACTGGTGGGATTCTGAAGAATGGTGGGATGACCCATATGCCATGCTTCATCGGACAAATATGATCTAGATGTAGTGTCCTATTGGCTGGGAGGAAAGATGTTCTTCAGTATTACGCAAATTTGATTCTGACTTGCATGATTGCATATGATCCTTGCCAAAGCCATGCATTTGCCACAAAACTGTGGGCTGAAAATGAGGCAACTTTGTTTGAGCAGCCCCATTGGCAAATGAGGACTGTAGAGTTGCTTAAAATTGCCAGAGGGACCGCCGAATGTGTCAGATATGGCACTACCGAATTCAAATCCGCTATCTCTGTCGGATCAATTCCGGTTTTGGGCTGTTTGAGTCCGAAGATCCTCGCGTTTGTTTGTTTCAATCCATATAGATGAATTACCCAGTCTAGGGATGTTTGGGACACATGAAAATCATGAAACAACGATGTTGGCCTGCTTCAATTCTCCATACTCGCCGGAAAAGAACTTTCCAGGCTAGGGCCCTGGAAAATTGCGACTGAAAATCGGGTTTCCCCAAATCTCACCACAAACAAAGTCAATCTTGTGTTCTCTAATCCATTGCGAGACATCCATTCGTCCACAAGGCCCTTCATCTTTGAGCGCGAGAATGTGCTGATCATTCGCATCCGCATTGGCGTAACCTTGCGGAGTCCCGAGATTGAGACAGAGGTGCCATGGCTCGCTGGGGTGGCTGGATTTTCATGGCAAAAAACATCATGTGAAGGATTTAAACCTATTATGTTAATTCTAACTATTAAATGTTCTACCAAATAATGAGTTTAAATTCACATAGGGGGACAAAAATGATTTGACCATGTTTTAGGTCTAGATTTTCTACATGATTCCATGGGAAATCATTTTACCTGGATATTTTATGGGATAAAGATGGCCAACATTTGGGTAGATCGGGATGGCCACCATGAATAAAGGTGTGACCTTCTCCCGGTTGTTCCACGAGGCAACGACGATGAGAAGCTGGAAACTAGCGTGTTTTCGAAAGAACTTTGGGGGAAAAATATGAAAAAATCACTTGCCAGGGGGAAAACACCTTGAACTACTGTAGGCCACTGTAGGCATTTTCTGTTCTGGCACCCTTGTTTCCTACAGCATCACCAGAATGGGTTTCACTACGTCAGGGAAGTTTTGACTATAGTTAGTATTCTGATTTCGAGACATGTTCAGGGGCCACATTGATGAAATAGAGTTCACATCTAGATCCCTGTAAGCGTGTATAGGACAAGGCTCTGCCTGCCGGCTGCTGACATTGAAATTTGAGGATGACGTGGAGGTTGAAACAGTCTCATCACTGGTCTTTGCTGGGGATATTTTCCCAGTACTCCCCAGCGATGTTGGGCTTTCAAAAACTAGATATCTTGACTCACTCCATGGTCACGGCTTCCGGTGGCTCATGCTGCCAGTGAACTACAAGTGGGCTCGTTTCAAATCTGTTTGCTTTGCCAATTCGGGGAAGAACCCCGGTCGAGAAGCGTGACAAAACTTGCTGTTCGGGTGTCTCAACCCCCAACCAAAGTATCAATCATGATTGAACAATCACCAAGAATCTTTAACATGGTCATAAAACATCATATAACATCATATTGAATCATCCAAGCCCATGTTAGGTGTACATATCCCTATTCTATCCCCTTTTTTAGCCTGGTTTGATGGGTATTTCAGCCACTGGGGAAGTTTCATGTGTCGAGGTGCAGGACAATGAGACAGAGGGCGCAGAGGCTATGAAGTTCCTGGGACCGTGGCTATCCAGGCGTGAGTTACTCTGGTGGCTATGTAAGTTATAAGTGACCAATAGTACTCTGGTTAATGATGGTTAATGATGGTTAATAATGGTTAATAATGTCTGGTTGGTGGTTTGGAACATGAATTTTATGACTTTCCATTCAGTTGGGAATGTCATCATCCCAACTGACGAACTCCATCATTTTTCAGAGGGGTTGAAACCACCAACTAGTACTATATTGGTATATTGGTGCTATTACCAATACTAATCTTAGGTGATCTTCATAGGGAGCAATAAGGATTTTCATATATTTTCATAGAGAGATTTTTAGGGATTAAGCCAACCATATATTCTGGGATTATTCTGGGTAAATTATTTTTCTCTCCCACTGGAATCATGGTTTATATATAGGAAATCATCCCCTTTTATGGTCGAACTATTCAAGTTAGTGAAATATTATAATTTTCCCAGATAAGTGACCAATGGTACTAGTTTGTTATATTTACAGCTATATAAATGTTGATAGTATCATATAATTTACTTAAATAACTTATAATCATAGTTACAAGTTACAGGATGTGTTAAGTTGTATATATGAACAATCATCCCAAGTAACTAGTCAGTAACTATATACGTATATCATAGTATATCATCTAAGTAGCTTATAACTTATAGTCATATAGCTACTAATCATATCGCAACTTGTGACGATGGACTCCTTGGGGCAGAAGAATCAAGCCATTTTCATACAGGGCCCCCAGTGATCTTAGTTAGCTTACATGATCTAGTAACTGTAGATATATCATAATCTATCTACAATACACCCTAGTTATTGGAGTTATGACACCACTTTTTTTTTGCGAACGGTTTTTGGCACCACCCTGTAGGAATTTATATTCATATATATTATATATACCATCTGGTAATTTGTAACATAGCTATTGAAAATGACCCATAGAAATAGTTGATTTACCTATTAAAGATTGTGATTTTCCAGTTCGCTATGTAAACGTTTACCAGGCCGGGTATATATAAAATATATTAAATATGATCTTTGGATTCCCATGGCATGGGACTGAATGGATGAGCTCGCAAGGGGATGATCTTTAAACAAAAATCCCGTCATGCTTGGTGAATGGCCGACATCCCATGGAAATTTCAGAAAAAATCTCCCAAGTTTCCCTCGTGAAATCACCATTTTCCCTAGTTAAATCATGTTACATGCCCTATTTTCCCCAGTGAAATGCCATGAAATGCCCATGTTCCCTGGCAATTTTCTCACATTCCCACGGTACCATGACCCTGTCGCCATGTTTCACAAACCGCCGAGGACGTTGCTTCGTCCCATGGTGCAGATCTTTCTGCCGCCCGACTACTCCTGCAGCGTCCTGGGCAACGGCACGGCAGATCCCGGTAATGAGTCGGACCTCTTCGTGTCCTGTCGAAAAAAGTGCGTTGGATCCGATTTCTGACTGGTTGGAAGTGTGGTGTATTGTTACTGTAAGGCGATTTTTGTTTTGTTTATGGTGTGTTGATGGGATGTGAAAACGATGCTACAATGGTGTTATGGTGAAGATTTACTTGAGTTTGAAGGATTTTAGCGAGGTTTGATTGGTTAAATGGGGTGAACCTTGACGAAGGATTTAACCAGCAACATGGTTTCACGGCTTAACCGTTAGATATGGGGGAACCTTGAACAAGTACGTTTAAAGGTGGCGATGGCGGCCGAGAACTACAGGTACCACCAGTGGACCACCAGCAACAATTCAGTCCCAAGACACCATGGTTCCAAGATGTCATGGTTTTGGAGATGGATGAACATCCGTTTATCAGCTATTAATCAGCTATTTGGGGTTCAGCAGGGTACCAGGGTTTTGACGAAAATAACCATATGGACCAGGTCCTACCTTTTGTCTAATCGGTTTCACCGATGTTCTGCGGGCCCAAAGGCCCCCTCCTGTCCCGCGGCATCAGGTCAGAGACTTGAATGGTGATGGATATGTGGATAATCCTATGGGCACTGTTCTTTCAGGACCGCAGGGTGGGCGACATGGCGGAGTTTGGCGGAGTTCCAGTGGTCTCACCAAGTGCCGGGTCAAATTTGGGTAGCAGAACTTCGAGGCTTTGCTACCAGGATACCTTCTATCAATCTTTCACTTAGGGAGGTTGGCTGCAGTCCAGGACTTTGGTCTCATGATGGGCCCATTTGCACATACACCTTGCAGACCTCAGCCAGCGTCTTCTGACCGAAATTCAGTGCTTTGCTGCCTTTGGATTTTCGGAATTTATCGGAAAAGGTAAACATCGAAACACAGCATTGCAATGAGGAGTCCACTTGGTGGCTCATCCCACTTAGTAAATGGGTTATAACCCCAATTATAAGTGGATTAACCCTACTTATCCCATTTATAACTGGGGTTATAACCCATTTACTAAGTGGGATGAGCCACCAAGCAGTAATCAAAGAATGCCTGTGTATCAACCAGGGCCAAGACTGAAACTGATCTTTATTCTGATCATTGGTGTTCGTGCAAAGTATTCTTGACCACATATTTAGAGGCATTTCTGGGTGTACCCACTTGATGTCTTTTGTTTTCAACAAAATCGACCAGTGAAATAGAAGTCAATCTCGTGGGTTTCAAGGACCTCTAAGGTGCGTGTCTGAAAATTTAGCCCCAGAAAATGGCAATTCAGGGCTCACTGTAAAATATAATTTATATAAAACATAATATCATATAACATAACATAATAATATAGTATAATACAATATGTTATAATATGATATAATACAATATGTTATAATATGATATAATATAATATAATATACTATAATATAATATAATATACTATAATATAATATATAATCATATATAATCATATATAATCATATATAATCATATATAATCATATATAATCATATATAATCATATATAATCATATATAATCATATATAATCATACATAATCATATATAATCATATATAATCACATATAATCATATTATATAATCATATATACATCCCATTTTTAATGGGACAGGGTCACCCTGACAGTCGATCGTTCAAACGTTTCAAGACCACGGTCTTTTCTCAGGTCTTTGCCCAGCAGATCTTCTACGTCCGGCTTTCGGTGAACAATCCACGTCAGGCTACATGACCTGTGGTCGAATGGTCCCAAACCTTACACCAATTACAAGTGGATTAGATTGGATCAACTAATATGATCAACTAATACAAGTGGATTGGATTAGATTCGATTGACATTATATGATCAACTAATTATTTAATTATATCTGTTGATCATTATTGACAGATATATGATATATGCACAATATTTTACAGATATGATCAACAGACATTATGTGTGCATATGATTGCATATGCAATCCCATCCCCCGTTGAAAGTCCCACTTGTCATGAGGCCCACAAAAGGAATAGGTCCAATAAACAAATCAGAATTCCAGGTTTTTGATTGGGGAATTTATATCTTGGGGCTAATGGAATACGCTGACCAATAGGGGATTGGAGGAAGACACACTTATAGACCATGGTAAAAAAACAAAAAAAAGTGTCAACGTCGTTCATCAGAGGGTTTTCAGCCTGCGGCCAGTGGCTTCTTCAAATCTTGTGGCTCTCAGATTCACTTTTGGACAGTGGCAACGCTTGTGCTTATTTGTGGTACCATCTGGTAATTTAATAGGTAAACCATCTATAAATGGGCCATTTTCCATGGCTATGTTAAATAACCAGACGGTAATCATACTGACTTACAGTGGAGATCGTAAGCAGTCTCCTCCAGTTGGACGTGGAAATGCATTGATCATGTAATGTCGCGAAGATTAAGGCATCTGCAGCATCCTAGTTCATATGTGCATGGCGAGAACAGGACACACTCGGAGCTTGTTGACTTTTCAGAAAAGGTACCTCCATGTACCCCCAATTCTCCTCAATTCTCGATCCTAAATGATTTCAGCATTTGCTCAATTCGCTTGGAAAAAACCTGCTTCATCTGACACAGTTTCCACTCATTGAACCCAGCGTAACCCAGGCGTTGCTGCGTACGGATCCAAGCAACGTTTGGCGCATCCGAGTGGCAGGTGTGAACAGCGCCTGGGCGGTCGCTGGGGATGGTTTGTCGTTTGAATGGTTGTTGGTTATGGTTTTCTTTCGATGTTGCAAGATACATGTATAATATTCTATAATCATATATCATATATATATATATATTATATATAATACATATATAATACATATATCAACGTACATAATTACATATATAATATATAGATCTAGAATTATCTATTATATCTTCAACATCTATCAGGATATGTTTGAGTTGTATGTCTCATTAGGGAATGGGTTTTGCCCTGTCAAATATAGGGTTTCCTGTAAATTGTCCCGGAAAAAAACAATGTAAATATCCTAAAAATTACCTGGTAAATGAAGATAGACCCTCTATGTCTCACCCCATTTCTAGTGGTTGTCATGTCAAAAGTGGGTTGTCATGTAAATCATCATTTGGGTATGGATCAATACCTATTAATACCATTTTTAGGGGAATGAACATCCATTTACCAGCTATTTTGATGTTCACCAGTTGCCATTTAGAAACTAGATAGACCATATTTATCAACCCATCTTCCAAGCCTCTGCCAGGGTTGTCATGTAAAAACTGGCTCGGGTTCGATATCGAGGCACGGAGCTTGGAGAGTTGGTGAACTTCATCTCCTTGGAAGAGGCGAGAAAAACACTTTCTGTGCCGTGGATCTGAAATAAATTTTTGGGGATGCTGTTAGACCAAGAAATAGCATGGAAAATAGCTATAAGTATATATTATAAATAATATAGATGTATATTATATTAGTTCTAGTTTTAGAGAACACTGTTCGTCCTCAAACGTCGAGAATTCATCCCCTTGGGCCAACGGAGATTCAGACATTGGTAGACCGTGAGATTCAACAGGCTTTCAAGCGCTGCTGCAGGGTCCAAGAAGTGGAGAAGATTCGAAGCGGCCAGAATTGGGCGCCCAACTGGTGTGTTTTTTTTAAATGAATTTACTGAAAATGAATGGTTGGTGGTTTCAAACATGAATTTTATAATTTTTTATTTTCCATGATTTTTCATGATATATGGGATAATCATCCCAACTGACTTTCATATTTTTCAGAGGGGTTGAAGCCACCAACCAGATGATGTTTTGCACAAGGGGAAAACTCCAACCATGTTTTTTCGCAAACATGACCATGTGACCATGACCTGGGGCGAGCTAAATCGCTGCAGGAGCCCAATTTGCCGGGATGGGCTGGCACCGAAGCTGCATGAAGTTTGGTGAATTTTCTGAGGTAAGTTTGGGATTCTGCAAAGCAACCAGTTTAAAAAGGTGTGAATGGAAGTAAAATCGCAAATAGTTCTCAATATGTTTTTTCTATCTTCTTGGGTTCTACTAGATCATGGCTAAACACTATTGAAACATATTGAGTCATGCTAAATGATGGTAAGTATACCGGACATCAAGTTTGGGTCCGCATGATGCGGGGATGGGTTGAACAAGTTTACCGTATGAACCGATGAGCATCCGGGTATACCAGCTATTTTGATGTGACCTACGGGCTACCTATCTGGGTGCATCCCAATTAGCGGGTAGTCCATGTGTGCGTGAACTACAAGTAGTTTCGAACATTTATAAGCCATATACAAGCCATAGACCTGAAGATATGTTTACAACTGGATTCTTTCCTAGTAAAACCCATGGTAAAAGCCACCAGGAAGTCTCCAAGCTCCGCCAAGCTCCGCCAAGCTCAGGAAATCTGGCTGTGTTGACGCCATTGGAGGGCGAATCGCTGCAACCGTCCAACCTCTCCGCGGGAGCCACGAATTATCTCAACGTCTTCTTCCAGGCTCGGCAACAGGCCATACAGGTCCCTGTTGTGGCTGTTGTAGAGTACCCTCTGGTAATGACTACCTGTTTGCTATTGAAAATGGTGATTTTTATAGTGGATTTAGCCATGAACAATGGTGATTTTCCATGATTTTCCATGGTTATGTTAGTTTACTGGAGGGTAAATCATCCCCAGAATCTCTTTTTCCAATGTCATCAATGTCATAAATAAACCATCTGAATCTAAATCCCATAAATTGCATACCATAAATCTCATACATTGCAGGGTGGCAATGGCAAAAAAGGCGCTCCCAGCGAATTGTAGCGAATCCCCAGCGAATCCGCGATCTGATCATCCCATGGTCCCAGATTGATCATCTCTTTGGATAATCTCAACACATTCATAGTACTGCTTGGTGGGAGTAATAATTGGGGAACGTACTTTTGGGAACATCTGGATCATCTCTTTTTTTGGAACATCTCTTTTTTTGGAACATCATGGATAATTTTCCATGTATTGGGAGTAATAATTAGTAATAATCCCAACTGACGAACTCATATTTTTCGGAGGGGTAGGTCAACCACCAACCAGTAATATGGTTTATTGAGATAATATCAGATCATATATATATATATATATGTCAATTGGGAAATAAACGATAAAACATTGGGGATGATAACAAACTATAACGATGATATTTATCTGATATTGAGCAAAAACTGGATTCTATCAATTGACTATTGGGATGATAATTGGATACTGTCAACACCAGTTTATGTCAGGTTATCATTGTGAACCCGACGAAAGAAACCTGGTCTCCCATGAGACTACTGAGGCCAGTCTTCTCCCAGGAAAAAAAACACATCTGCCTGGGTGATTATCGTATAAGTGTCCCTCAAATCAAGCCACCTTCTCCAAGCCAAAGGGTGAGACGGTTTCCACCAGATGTCCCTACAATGTGGGGCCCCCCAGTTATGTTAGTTGGTTTATAAACCCCATGAATACTAGCTCGTTATTTGCGTATCATAAACCATAGTGAAATTGGAGGCACATATTTGCACCAACTGAACGTTATCATCAATCCCATTAAACCATATTAAACCACCATTTTTCTTTGTTGAATCACCATTTTCCTATGGTTTCTCTATGGTTTCCCATCGTTTATCGTTTCCCCCCTCCAAAAAAAAGGTCATCCACGCGATGCCGGAGTTCTCCTACATCTTGCTGGATTCCCCGGATGGTTTCGACTTCACGGACAACTGCAGCGCTCCTTGGGAAAACGAACATGGGCATCTGGACCCTCCAAATAGCCATAGAAAATTGTGCATATATCTGTCAATAATGATCAACAGATATAATGTCTGTCGATCATATAATGTCAATCCAATCTAATCCACTTGGCAGTGTGTCAAAACCAATAGTACCCCTGTAGTTCACCTCAAAATAGCTGGGATTTATGGATGTGAATAACCCCCTGAAAATGGTATTAATAGGTATTGATCCATAGAAAATTGGTAAAAGTCGTAAAAGAATGGGTACGGTACCACATTTTTCTACTTGGAGGGTCCAGGTAGGTGGTGGATAGTTTATAAGTGTAAAACTAATTCAGTAGATCAACCCCAGGAATTAGTCTAGAACATTGTGCATGCCATCCCAACAAATGGAGAATGGCATAGATTTTGTACAGTAAGAAGAGTGGCGCCTGTGGCCTTATTTTGACCCATATCTGGAGATGTTTGGACATATTTTTTTTTATTGGACATGTTTTTTAATGATGACCCCCAATGACCAACAGCTTGGCATGAAACACTGGCAACCAAGTGTCCTTTTGCTCGCACCTAGGATGCCATATGATGGGCAATGGGAGACCCAAGAATCATCCAACCTGTTCATTTCTATCAAAAGGATCGAAAAAGGGTGAAGCAATGGTTTTGGCAATGGTCTTGGGTCCTCCAATTTATGAAATCATGAGACCTACATATAACCTACAAAAACAACCTGCATATAACCTACATATAACCTACATATCATCCAAAGATTGCTGAGATCATCAGTCCAGTCAGGTTGGGGCGTTGGAGGACTTCTACTACCACGACTGGGAAGGCAGCGTCTGTGGTCCGTCCCAAGAGTTGGAAGGGTTATTTACCCTCTGGTTATGACTAACAGTTTGCCATGGTTAAGCCATGGCCCATAGAAATTTAGATGGTAAAAACCGAACTGAATAGCATGGTGGATCTTTCCATGGCGAACTGTTGAATCACCAAATGGTAGTTCATGTATGATATATGTATGATATATGTATGATATATGTATGATATGTCTATGTCTATATGTTGGTTTAGCTGCTTGATTAATAGATCTAGAATGATATAGAATGATATAGACTTCTGTTGACCGATTCTTGGCTGATTCTTATCATCGTCTCTTCGACTTGACATTTGAATGGTGATACCATCAACTAGCCAAAATGTCATCCACGTGACATGAATATTCATGCTACCACTCAATGAATCGTGGTTTTCATGATGGTTTGATCAAGTTTGATCATTTCCGAAAGAGTTCATTTCAAGCAAAATTCACTGTTTGGATCAGGTGAACCATCATCAATCAATGACCAGCTCGTCATTCATCACCAATTGATCAAATCCATGACTGACGGAGACTAATAGATAGTGCAACTATTGTATACCAACCAGGACATATTTAACTGGTTGGTGGTTTAGAACATTCAGTTGGGAAAAATGTTGGGAAAAATCATCCCAACTGACGTTCATATTTTTCAGAGGGGTTCAAACCACCAACCAGATATTTAACTAATCACTTGGAAAAAAAATAAGTAATGAAAATCAGCCGTTATCATTTGATTTATCGTAACTCACAAGTGATGTTACACATGCGTTTCATCATCTTCACTTGGAAAATTACACGATGGTGTAGAATCATCATCTCACAATTACCCTCTGGTAATTTAACATAGCTATGGAAAATCACCATTTTTAATGGGAAAATCCACTATTTCTATGGCCATTTTCAATAGCTATGTTAATTTACCAGAGGGTAATCATAATTCATCATTCTCATCATTCTCATCATTTTCACTTTTCAACTCACAAATGATGCTCAAGTCTATAATCTCATTCAAGTCCCATGAAAATCCCATGAACATCCCATTCAAGTCCCTTTGAAGTCACATGAACATGCCATTAAAATCCCATTAAAGTCCCATGAACATTGTATAGAAATCCCATTCAATCAGAATTTTGCTGGTAACTTCTACCCAACAAATCCTGCCACTGAAAACATGGAGCCTTTGCCTTCGCCTTCAGGACTTCCATGGGGTGAGACGGTGAGCGGCCCGAGGGCACTGACCAGCTCGCTGGGGAACGATGTGTGTCTTGGTGCAATCGGACTCGGACTGCTTGGTGGTGCCCCGTTGTGAAGGAAATTGGAATAGATTTGACCCACGAAATGGCAATGGAAATTGGGATTTGAATGGGTTTAATTAAAAGGATTTGCTGGGATATGAATCAATGGGAAATTCAGGATCCTAAAATGGAGGTACTGTACCATATAAGGCCATATTTTGTGGGGATATTCCCTTACATAGCCCTTACATAGGCCTTAATTATATATGGTAGGTACCTCCAATTTAGGTTTCTGAGATGGCCAGTGAATTAATGGGACTTTTGTGATTTAATGGGACATTTAATAGGACTTCACTGGATTTTTTTTTAGCTCAGCTGAGTTGGTTTATAACCAGGTAAACAAGGGTTTGTGGTAGATATATCTGTACAAACCAATGGGGTTTCGAAATTAAACCAGTCCGACATTTGGTGTTCCAGCTACAACTGCAGAGTCCTCCTACCCGCCCTACTGGATTGAGTGGGTTGAAATGACCTCCTTACTGTGAGGTCAATCTTGGATCGGTATTTTAAACATAGCCATGGTATAGATGGCCCATAGAAATAGATGGTTTACCTATTAATAGCATGGTGATTTTCCATGGCTATGTTAAATAACCAGATGGTACATGGGTACAAACTAATCCAAACTCGTCTTTTGGTATCAATGGAATTATCTACGTTCACCATCTAAGATTTTTTCATTAATTTTTTGCAGGGTATCTGGCTGATTGGCCATGACTGGGATGAACCACCAAGTCACTAGGTGATACGTTGACTGTTTGGATGCCCAGATGAAACGTTGCAAGGAATTGCACCACTGACAACTGGACACTTGGCAGCGAGAGGGATTTATCGTGATCGACATGATGATTTAAGGATTGCAAGATACACTTCTGCCAGACTAGGCCTTATACAATCTTATACACTCATTCTTAGAAATCAAGTTCCACAAGATGTCATTTTCCAAACGACTGGTTTTGACAATGTGGTTTTCTGGCTCCGGCACACAATGCAACATGCAGTTTCGTAGCTGCACTTATCTCCCGGCCCTAAGCACGCGAGGCAAGCTTGGAGCTTGCAACGCCATTCTGTCAACCCTTGTCTTATTTAGATTTGTTCAACTTTGCTGACATTGTTAGGACCATCACCTTTTTGTTGCTTTTCGCTGATCTTTTTGGCAGCCAACATATATAATATATGAGCAATTGCATCACGCATATTCCCAAACCGAAAAACGATCCAGGTTTCTCTCCGAAGTCGTATTGTCCATGGGAGGATCTATGTAGAATTGGGGTGCTGCCCCTGTTGTCTCATGGTTACTTTCAGAACTATCACTCGTAGCATTTTGATCATGGCTATAGACACAAAAATAATTAGGTCATAATAATAACTTGCAATCCTTCCACTCGGACGATATTTCTTCGTACCAGTAGTCTTAAGATAAACAATGATCATTACGGCTTTTTCCCATAATGACTATTTTTCCGTTCAGTTGGGAATGTCATAATCCCAACTGACTATAATATCCCATATGCTCCATGTATGGAATATTTACCAACATTTACCCCATAAATCACCCAGTCATGTAGGTAAATATACGATACATGGAGCATTGGGGTATGGTTATTCCAGATATGGCCATATTTATTCCAGTCGTCTTGCGGCCGATCGGCAGGAAACGGAGCGTTTTGTCACCTCCGCCAACTCAAGACTTCACCCGAGCGAAGGCACTGCCGAGCGGCCGACAGGTTGATTCAGAGCACGTACCCAGCTTGGTAAACGTTAACAAAAATCTATGGAAAATCACCCTTTTTAATGGGTAAATTCACTATTTCTATGGCCATTTTCAATAGCAAACTGTTAGTTTACCAGAGGGTATTCTCACCGTGCTCGGACCAAGCATTTTTCGCTTCCAGATTTTGTAAAAGACATGTCCTAAGCTTTGAGTCAAAATTAGTTTTTTTTTCCGTCAAAATTTCAAAATCTTTGGTTCCTTGGTATTCAAGGGCATGCCCTGCAGAAGAAAATTTGCTGCCCAATGGATCAGCGCTGTGAGGTAAGGGTTGGCCGCGCCATGCTGGCCAATAAGCACTCTGGATGCAGCGCAAGATGCGCTCTTGCGCAGCCAGAGCAAACCATTTACCTGGGAAAAAATGTGTTCACCCATCAACAAAATGAGGATTTAGTGGGATTTAATGGCTTTCTACGGTTTCTACCTGCTGGCAAATGAACAGTTTGCTATGGAACATCAGTTGTTTTGCATAGACTTCCATCGGGGCACCTCAGGTACTATGCCTTTCGAATCCGCATCCGAAATGCTGCTCGCCACAGTGGCGCAAACAGGTGATGTGAAAACGGATGAAAATCGAAACCATTAAAAATGGTGATTTTCCCATAAAAAATTGTGATGTTCCATCGTTATATGGGATAATAGTACTGTATATAATCTGGTTGGTGGTTTGGAACCATGGAATTTTATGACTTTCCATTCAGTTGGGAATGTCATCATCCCAACATATCCCAACTGACAAACTCCATCATTTTTTAGAGGGGTAGGGCTCAACCACCAACCAGATGATGAACGATGTTTCCAAAGAATTGAATATTCAGGGACCATTTTCAGGACCATCCGGATGCATTTTATTTCTTTAACATGGAAAAACCTATACTGAGGGGTATATACCAGGTATATATTGCCACCCCCTAGGTATATAAGCCCTACCACCTTGGGCAGGAACCAGAAAAATTCCTTGAACCGAGCTGAGGCCTTAACATGGGACGCTGCTCACCACGATGATTGGCGACTTTGGGTCCAAAGCCCTGAAGGATATACCGCTGCTCGGCTCGCCGGCTCGCCACTTTTCCATGCCATGAGGTCGCCAGAAATGATGCTTAAGCCTAGTTATAGCCTAGTTATAGCTGGTTAAAATAGAATCATCCATAATCATCAATGGCCCAATTCTTAGAGTCTTACAAGGCAGGCATCTTTATCATCTTTTAGCCTTGTAGCACCATTTCTCAGCATTTAGATAGAAAAAAATGTCCCATACCCATGACGGATCCATGGTGCTGGTATATTAGTGCTAACAAAAAGGGGGTATATTGATGGGATCCATGGCACACCATATATATCCATATATAGCAGCACCATGGATCCGTCATGGGATAGATTTACCACCATTTCTCAGCATTTACATGAAACATCATAAAACATGTCCCATAGATGTCCGGACGTTTCTTAGGATCCATGTATGCTATATATGGTAACATTTACCATCAATTTACCATCAATGTACCATCAATATACCATTTACTATCAATATCCATCTTAGGATCCTTAGGTAATTTCTAACATTTACCATCAATATACCCCCAAGGATAGCCATCAACCAACTATTGGATCCATATTGGATGGGAAATTTCTTAGGTTGATGGCTCGAAGTACACCATCCAATTCAACGCTCGGCGCATCGATACCTTGCCGGTGAACTACTGGGAGCCTTGGGAGAACGACCCTGGGGAGAACTGTCCTGGCCCACAACAAAAATGCCAAGTAAAGGCCAAAAGATGGAGAGAAACTGGGATGATTATTGATTATATGATATTATATGATTTATAAATATATATAATATGTTTTTATAGATGATGTTGCGACCACCTGACACAATTGAATCAGGGGTACAGCAACGGCAATCATTCAAAATGATCTATCCTGATGGACAATTTTTTGGCCCCGAAATGATGTCAGAGGAAGTGCGCCTGGTATTTTCTGAAGCTTTTGTGACCCATATTGTGATGATGCATGATGTCACACTTCCCAGATCGGCTCATTATTGCTTTATGAAACCCTTTCAGCTAATCAAAAGCTGACATGGGCATTCAAGTCATTTGCAAAGGGTCAAGACTGGCGTCAGCCAAAGTCACTTCAAGTGCGGGGCATATTGGGACGGCCCGCCTTCGATGTACACCATGGGGTCTGCTTGTTCTACCACGCAGTTGGGCTCTGGCAAGTCAGCATTCTGTGTGGAAACCTTGTGATTCACATCCCGAGAAGGGAAAAGTGTCCACCTTCAGCTGTCATTTTGACATCCGAGATCATATGTCATATGGGTCCAGGTGATGTTACTAAATTGCCCTGTTGTTTCCTGATTCACGGATTTGGGACAGCGTGAAAAATACCTTTGATGGTTCCATTCTCGCAGATTCTTGCAGATGTTTGATCATGTACCAGAATTAGTACTTAAGAAAATCTACATAAAGTTTGCCAGTATATTTTTCATTCTGGGACAAAAACCATGGTGTCAAACATTATTTTTTTAAAAACACGTAAGACACCAATCCATTGGGAGAACCTCCGCTGCCAGGACAGAAGTTGGGGAATCTACCAGGAGAAGTCGACGAAGTCTGTGGTGGCAAAGCGTTGTTTTTTAATCATAGATGTACCAAGCAAAATATACAGGGCTTATTTGAACAGAGATGAAGTCTGGCAGATGTCCATTAAAAGTTGTCATGGTCGATGAAGTCTTTCACTCCGAGATGGAAGAGTGGTCGAAATCATTTCCCCTCTGGTAACATAGCTTTGGAAAATGGACCATTTATAGTGGATTTACCCATTCAAAAATGGATAAACATCGTGATTTTCCATAGATTTTTGTTAACGTTTACCAGAGGGTACTGCTGCCCAGCTGGGTCCACTGTTTTCGCCAAGATTTTGATCTGTCCAACTCGAACGGCCGGAAAGGATTGGCTGCGATTGCCATTGACCTTGAACTTTGGAGAGGCCGTGACCACCTTGATGGGACCGAGGATCAGCTGGGCAGACCTTCGGAACTGACATCCACCAACTGGATGACTGGATGCTATAGTTTAATCCTGTTTTTTTTGCTGTAAATGAAGAATAGCCATAACCAGCAAACGATGATTTTTTTGTGGACTAGCAAAGATTGACTATAAAATCTTGGATTTCCGTGGGGGTTCCTACATTTTCGGACAAGCCGCCCATGCCCCTGTGGCATCTTTGCGAGGCATCCCTACTGCCAAGTTCCGTCTTCGACATGAGCACGGCAACTTCGACTGCACCTACGTGAGCACATTGTTCTCCTGTGTAAATCCACACACGCAGAGTATGCAAAAAACATGTGAGTGTCGCAGTCCGTGACTAAACCAACCAGAACTTCCAAAATAATGTGGTTAAAACAATCATAAACCATCCCCAAAATCACCATTTTTATGGGTGGTTTGGAAACCATCCAAAAAGTTTCCAGGGTTTACTATTGTTTTAACCACATTAATGATAACCAAGCACGTTTTGATATGGTTTTCCTATTCACCATCGGCCCGAGCGACACAGACAGCCCTAAGGTCCTGACGATTTTCCCGCTCACGCCCAGCGCCGACGGGTCTTTGATCAACATGAGAGTTGCTGGGCAGAACTCACTGGTGCTAAACGTAGGGAATGGATGGGTTGCTGGGGGTTGCTGGGATGATTATATATTGGTAGTTAGCCAGTGGATCATTCCCGAAAATTACCTGCGTTTAGCACCAGTAAGATGAAAGTATTGGGAAAAGTTGGGGATTTGACATGATTTGACTAACTGGCTTTAAAGACGTGAACGTTTAACAGTGAAACGATGGAAACACAGATGTATCCTTTTGGTGGGAATATCCACTCTACAAAATGGGTATGTAAATGTATTTGCAAACATGAACCATCGATTGAGAATCAACGTCTTGAAACATGGGGAATGTAACCAATATAGAAGTGTAGGTAATAGATGGATAATATGAGTATAATATACAAACGATTTCAATTGGATATTTGATATTGATCTATATTGATCTGATATAGCGGAGAGAAACAACACTGATTCCGAAGATTGCCTTAGAATGGACATAAAAAACCAGATTTCTGAAAACTCCATGTTTTTATTGTTGATCGCATCATAGGAGTCACCAACATCCACCGTTTCCAGAACACAGGTTTTGGCGCCCGTGGGATATGTTTGGGTTCCACATGAAGCTGGTGGATGGCTGGGGGAGGCACGGCTATGGCTTGGAGGAGTTGTTTTTCATGGGGTACCCTCTGGTAATGACTAACATAGCTATTGAAAATGGCCATTTATAGTTGATTTACCCATTAAAAATTGTGATTTTCCATAGTAATGTTAGTTTGCCAGTTTGCCAGAGGGTAATGAGCAAATTCCAAGCGATTTGAAATGGATGTTCACCATATGTTCACCATTTCAATAGCAATGATATGTTTTTTTTGTGATGCCCCACTTTTGGACGGATGCCTTCAAGCGTTTTCCACTTGAAAAGATGGAAGCTTCTGAGTTTGGAACACGTGAAACTGGTGGATTCTTCAATGTGCCAAGCATCTGAGGCTCATGATTTTCTGGGTTAATTTCATATTACCGTGCAGCAATCAGTCACATGGCAGTGGACAATCCACCATTTGTCCGGCGGCTCTTCCATTGGAAGTCCCCTCAGTTCTGGATTTCCCGGCCATGTTTGATTATGTTTGATTCGCCGAGCGGCATAACTGGCATAAACTCGTATTCCAGCAATATCCCATTAACAATTGTGTGGGAATCCCCCATTAATATATCCATTAATTAACTTAATCCCCCATATTCCACCAATATCCACCGAGCGGCATATACATGAGCATTGTGTCTCCATATGGCCCAAGCGTTTTGTGGATCCTCCCAAGAATCGTAAGTGGATTTTTCAGCCTGGTGATCGGATTCGTCCCCTTTCTTCGTGGATTATCCCATCTATACATGGGTTATATATCATTCTGGGTAAATTATAACGACCTCACTACGACCCCACTGGAATCATGGTTAGTAAGGGAAATCATCCCCAAATGGCCTTAATTCAGGTTAGTGAATTATTATAATTTACCCAGATATATCCCCAATGACTAACCAATGACGAACTGAGATGATCCTCCAAGTAATTAGTTCGAATGTAAAAAAACCATAGATTCTATCATAGAAAAAATATCTCATAATAATCCTACTTGTTGCCATACATAGATGGGTTTCAACCCCAGTTGACTTAACCGTGTATTACGAAAGCTAGCTTGTGCTAGCTGAAGTTGCTCTTGCTTTAGCAAGGAATTGGCAGGCACCAGGACCGTTGGAAACCCGGAAACTTTCCAGTTAGATTCCCCCCTGGCAGGCCCGGTTTCAATCTCCCCTGGTCCCCCCTGGGCCATTGGTTTCCTGCAGGTATAGGGTCGTCCTCTTCAGTATTTCATCTTCAGGACGTCATGTTCAGTACATCAACCATCAACTCTAAAAGCACCAAATGATCATCATTATCTTCCTCTTCCTCCTCCTCCTCGTCATCCTCCTCCTCCTCATCATCATCATCATCATCATCATAGCTATGTTGCATTTCCTTGAACATCTTGCGTACGCCTAATGCAGATTCGGGCTTCCATTTGGGGGGCGTTTTTTTTGATCTTGTCTTTCTTTTGCTCAAAAAAATTGGCGAGAGACGATTGCTGCATTGGGGGGTTCTCGCTTGCTGGACCCAATGGATATTGAAACCCTACAACAGCCCTGCTAGCTTTGGTACCCCGACCCTGGTGGTCCTGGCCTCAAGTTTAAAATTATCCTATTAGTGGACGGTATTCAAAAATTACGTAGATGATATCAAAATATATCAAAATATATCAAATAATGAATATTAATTATCCTATTAATCATAGATATATCATAGATAATCATGTGGACAGCAATCCGGATGCAAAGCGTTGAAATTGTTTGGAGGTCCCGGGCCAAAGCTGCGAGTTTTGCCAACTGATCGTCGTCCCGGAGGCGTTCTTTCAAGGGATGTTGAGATGAACTGTGGACGAAGTGGTGGCTAGTACAACTTATGAACGTAAAATAGATATGGCTATGGATCAATACCTATGAAAATACAATTTTTAGTGGGTTATTCACATCCATAAATCCCAGCTATTTTGGGGTGAACAGAAGGGGTACTATTGGTTTTGACACACTGCCATATCTGGTTGGTGGTTCCAAACATTTTTTATTTTCCAGAATATATGGGATAATCCTTCCCATTGACTAATATTGTTCAGAGGGGTTGAAACCACCAACCAGATATAATAGAAATGTATAAACATTATAATAGTGATTATGATATGTGATTAGTAGATATAATAGTACCAACTTATATTAGAAATATGATAAGTGAATTATAACCGTGGGTATAACTTACATGTTTTCTATAATATGATGATAATTACCCTCTGGGATTTAACGTAGCTAGTTGGGCAATCACCATTTTTATTTTTTAATAGGTAAACCATCTATTCCAAGGGCCATATTTTCCATGGCTATGTTAAATAACCAGAGGGTAGTCAATATATTGCCTTCTGTTCGTATGTGCTGCCAATTTTTTATCCTCAAGTCACAAGACATTGGTACCTAGTATGACTTTTGTAAATGGGGAGTATGCGCTAGTTGAGCAGCTAAACCAACATGGTCATTATCTAAAATTTTCCAAAGGAATATTTGGCAGCAGTGGTAAGTTGTTTGCTTCTGAATTTCTGGTTGTTGGACAATCAACTGGCAAGTAGGTATTGATAGGTCCTGGATGTGCAATGCATGTCCGAATAGATTGATTCAACAGAAAAAACATCCGCTTTTAATATGTTTCTCCGTCAAATATCAATTCGGAGCACATCATTACAGTGACAAAGTATTAATGATGGCTATTGGTATTTGTTGTGCATGGTCCATCATGGTCCCAGATCATATTTTCAAGGCGGCTGGCTGGGAACTGGCTGGGAGCTCCCACAAAATTTTTTGGGAAACACCATCGAAGCAAATGGCTGGGCTTTTCCAGCACAGAAATGATTTCCGGAGAGAATTTCAACACTGATTTAGCAGGGGTTGGTAACTGTCCCATTTTGGGAATATTGGACATCACCTTATAGTAGCCATTATAGACCATATACCTAATGGTTGGGTGATGTTCAATGGGGACATTTAATGACCCATGTTTAGGAATCCTCGTTATAGCATCTTCCTTCTATCAAACGTCGTCGTCATTCATAGCAACCTACCCCCTGGCAATAAGCGATGTCAATGGGAAAAGCTGTAGGAAAATCATCCATGAATGAAAGCAATGTTTCCACCAGCTTTCATTTACAAAGTACTGTATATACACTGGTAATCAGACATGGCATGCTGAAAATTTATTCATTAGTATATATGTATATATGTATATTAATATATAGTTTGTTTCCTAGCTAGACATACCATGTATATTTCAATTGCCATGTTTGATGACCGTAGATGAAACAGGTGTTTTTGTTCATTGACGTTCAATCACCCAGAGACTTTGTAGCGAACGCAGAACAGCAGCTCCGCAAGGTGCAGCAGCAAAATGAGTTGATCCTACCGAACTTGGTGACTCGTGCGTTGGGTCTGTGCGTTGGGTCTGTGCGTTGGGACAGTGCGCGACATGGAGAATAAACAGAGGATCTAGATTGATGATCATTTCATGATGACTTTTGGCAATAATCATTATGTGATCATATAATCATATATCTCGTTGGTGGTTTGGAACATCTTTATTGTTCCATATATTGGGACTAATAATCCCAACTGACTAATAATTTTCAGAGGGGTAGGTATACCACCAACCAGATATGCATTATTCCACAATGATGATCATCTGGAAATCCACCCCAATGAACATCACCAAGCTGCTTGCGCGCGTCCCGACTGCTTGAAACTGGACTACTGTAGTGCTCAACCCCCCAACAAAGATAGAAAAGTGTTTCCAAGATGGTATAGTATAGATCCCATGACGGATCCCATCAACAAAAACCCCCTATGAATGTTAGCATTAATATACCAGCACCATGGATCCGTCATGGGATCTATATGTGTTCCCCATATATTTTCCAGGATTCCAACTTTTCGATGTGCCCAGTTTCCATGGGCGAACTGGAAGCAGGACACGATTTTTTCAAGTTGGCAGTGCAGATCCATAAAGTCACGGGATATCTAGTTAGCTGCAGTTTTTACTATCATAAACTGTATAATGTTAGTTTTATCAACCAACAAACATAATCAAAGATACAAGGATTGTAGATTTTGTTAGTTCCACATATGATCTAACATAAATATGTCATTTGGGATAAATGTCCCAAGGTGACTTTTGCTGTTGCCGAACCAAGCCAGTCACCGGATTCCAGCAGTACCAGCAGCCAGGTGATGCGCATGGGCGAACGCTATGGCTTCCAGGCCCCTGGATTGAAGTTTTTCATGGTGGTTTCCCAAGTCATGGGGGTAGCCCTAGTCATCCATTGAAATAGATTTTTGTATAGGATATTAGATCAGATTTTCCAGGCATTTTTTACCATCCAGCCATTGGGGTACCCCGGTACATCATTGATTTGATGGGATTTTCGAGCCATTATCCCATTGAAATCCCCTCCTGCAGCAGTTCATAACTATTGGTAGCCTCAAACGTTCACAAAAAACGATGGAAAATCACCACGCTATTGGTAAATCAACGAACTTTCTATGGCCATGGCTTCAAGTTTGCAAACTGTAAACGTTTACCAGAGGGTAACTATAAAACACTGCAACTAATGGCAATATCGCCGGATGAGAAACCCATCGACCAACTGCTGCAGGATATCGCTGGCCCATCCACAGTAGCTATGTAGCTATGATGGCATTAGATGGCCATGTATAGCTCGGACTGTCTTCAGTTGCTGCACACGGCCAAGCAGTGCGGCAGCAACGGTCCTGGGTTCATGGCGCGGGTCGCGCCAAGTCTTGCGCGTTTCGCACTGCTCTCTTAGCAGTGAAAGACTGCACATGTGATCTCATGAGGCTCCACAGCTGATCTGGCAATGTCATGTGCGTGCCAGCAAACTTTGTGTATACACCCAGTGTTGGGTTTGGTAGCGGAGGAGTTCTGATCACAAAAGGAAACATGCGATGAATGCATTTCATGGCAATTTGTACAGGTCTAAGCATCATCGCCAGTGTTGGCCGCTGAAACATAAATTCAGGCGTGCGCAATTGCAATGTCCGCGTGCCATCCACTGAAAAAGGAAACAAAAACTCCTTATCAAGGAGCAATGCAAAAACTAATTCAAAATCGCTAACCACTCTCACTCGGCCATCCATGTGCTCAGCCACACATATCCAGTCAATGATGGAAACCAAAAAAGAACCAGGGACTTTGTGATCTCCGTGAAGGCACTGCATTTTCCATGAGATCGGAAGGTGATCCGTCCATGGTAACCAAAGTATGTCATTCTCTTCATCAGACGAATGCACATCCACTGGTACTGCTGCATCTTCCGTGCTCTGAACTTCCAGATCAGCAACTTGAAAGTAGAACTGCCGCAATTGCCGCAATCGTTGCACCCATCCATCCAGAGTTCCTTTGGCCGCGCTGTAGCAGCGCCGAAGGTCCAGTGGTCTGGCACCGTTCGTATAGACAGCCAGCCTGTCAGCTGCATCGTTCCATCGAATGACCCAATCCTCAAAAGGATCTTCACCAGCATCATGTGACAGATGTGACGGAATCCAGCGCACATCAGTAGCCAGTCCAGCACGATCTTGTAGAAGTTGGTGCACTTCTGTCCAAAGGTCGGCATTCTCGATCCCATCTGGTACTGCCCCATGCTTAAGCACATATTCCATGGTGTGAACCGTGGAGAGAGAATCAGACCACAAGCATAAGCCAAGCTCTGTGCCATCCGCCCACTGCAAGCTAGCCAGTAATGCAGAAAGCTCAGCGCGGTCGATGGTCTGAGTAATGCCACATAGATGCGCTGCTGCCAAAGGTTCCCCAAGTGTTGCGTTCACCACTCCCCAAGCAGCTAGATTCAGCATTGGGTATTCATCATTAGTACAAGATCCATCCAAAAACAAGTGGTGATAACCCTGTTGGGGGGGAGAAACAAGAAAAACGTTTGCCGGGCTACTAAGTCCACAAAGGTGCTTTCTCCAATGGACCAGGCATTGCTGTTTCGGCACCAGCAAGTGATTCAAAGTGCACTTCGGAAGCTCCAGATTATCAGCGCACCAGTCAGGAATGTTGTTGCGCAGGTGCTGAAAACGTGGACAGCGCAGCCAATGCTCCTTGTCGTCCTCACAATGACAGAGTATGCACATAGGCGATTTCTCCACATCAAACTTGGAGTGCTCATATGAAGTCATGAAGGCACCAGAGTGAAGTGCAGAGACCCGCGCGCGATGTAAAGCTGACATGTGCTTGCAATCCAGCTTAGTCAGATATCCATCTAAACCAGTTAGATCCATCATAGTGCGATGCTTGGTTTGTGAAGCCACATACTGAAGCCATGCATCTTCCAGCAGAAATGTGAGTGTCTTCCGATCCACCGTTGCAAGATTCCAGTAATGACCTTCATGATCCATGAAAAAAGGAGGTGCTTCAATGGCCCATCCCAGCAGTGAAAGGCAGTGAATGAGCCTAGAAAAAGGTCCAGGCAACAGCTGGCCGCCATATCTGGTCATCCATGTTTGCCACATCTGTAAAAGGTCAGGACTTTTGTGCAGCATACGTCGAAATGTAGCCAAACAAAGTTGCACCTGAAAGAAACCTGGATCCGCCTTCATGTCATCAGCCAGAGAAAGCCGAAGCAGTGGATTAGATCCTGCACCATTCAAATGTAGGGCTTTGACTGCCTCTCTCCGCAAGCTCTGAGCATAAGAGTCTGCAATGAGGCAACTAGCAGAACCATGAAATGCCTGAGGCCAAAAAATCTTGGAAAGCATGGAGATTTTCTGTGGTCCAGGGGCAAAAGACCGTCGCAGTTTTTGCCAGCGTGGGCCCAGACTTTTCCCTCGCTGGCGCAAAATTCTGGTCCGTCTAGACATCCCAAAAGTCATAGCTCCACCAAGCTCACTAGCATCACTGAGACAAGGAAAACCCAAAAGTTGCAGGCTAGCACGTGTCGTCCTAGTCAATGCCCAAACATAGGTCTTGTCATCATCTGTCATCAGTCCAAAGAGCTTGCATATTGCCTGAAGCGCAAAAAAGGCCTGGGCTAGCTGATCAGCTTCTCTGGCTGCTAGCGTCAAGTTGTCAACAAACGAATATGAGCAGACCCGAGGGCAGAAGGCTCTCATATAGACATGGTAGCACCAATTGACTGTCAGCATTGCAACAATGGAAAGCGGACATCCCTCAGGAAATCCGGAGGAGGATGGAATCTCCTCTCCCAAGCTGCCATGAATGTCAAATCGCCGTACGAATGTCCGCAGGAATTTTTGCCAGGGCAAAAGCAGTGAAGAAGGCATGCCAATGCGCTCTGCAATCATGAAAACTTGAGAGCGTCCAATATGGTTAAAGGCACGCTTCAAGTCTGTTGACAATCCTGCATAGTCCTGCTGGAATTGAAGCATGAGCTCAATGTGAGCTTGCAATATGAGCCATACTTCCGTGGTTTCTCTGTGTGGCAGGAATCCCAAGGCCTCTGGTGGCATCAGTTGAGCCAACTGACGAATCATGTCTTTGGTGCGCAACCTTGACCATGTTCGATAAATGGTAGAGAACAGAGTAATCGGCCTAAAATGGGCCTCTTCGTGTGCATGCTCAATTTTGCTAAGGCCGATCACTGTCCCAAACGCTAGTTGGCGAGGCCACTCAGCCTCTGTGGTCTCCACTGCGTGCAGCATCTCAAGCAATGCTGATGTAAAACTTGGAGGCATCTGTTGAAGATCATCCTTGGAAAATCCATCTGGACCTCTGGCAGCGTTGCGCTTGAACTTCCTCACAACTCTCTGCCAGTTCGTGATTTCCAAGGGCTCCCAAGTGAAGGCATGTGTGGGCATGTAGTGCTGTGCAAAGCCCACTATTCTTTGCCAATCTTCATCAGAAACTGTCGCCATCATGCTCCATCTGGGCTTCCAGTGGTCAGCAAAAGCCTTGAGGATATCGTTGGTATCAGTCATGAAAAAACGTTGTACAATTTCATCACCGGGTGCAAGATTGATTGTAGACAGGACTGTGCAAATGTCCCCAGTGACGGCAGTGATAGCCAATGAGTGATCCTCATGAAACCAAACAGAATCAAATTCAAGCTGTACATTTCTATCCAGATGGATTTGGTTGCCCTGGTAGTCTACATCCAAAATGGTGTAGACTTGCTCCTTCCAGAGGTGACTAACACCTGGTCTGGGGTCTTTGCGCATATCCATGTAGACTGCTTCCAATGAACCCACATACTTCATCTTCAAACTACTGGAACGCTCATTGAGGTGCCAAGCCTCAAACTTTCTGAAGTGAAGAAGGAAACAATCGTAAATGGCAGTGGCAATGACCGATTCTTCTGGGACTGTCAAGGGAAGTGTCTGTGGCACTCCTTGAATTTCATGATCTCTCGTGCTCCACCATGTAGAGAAGTCAGGTTCAAAACCTGTGGATGACTTGATTGCTTCCCAAAGCTCCACCCGATAGGTAATGGCAGCCGGTGATTGTTTGGCTGCATGCACTGCATGCTTCAAACTTTGCAACCTTCGTAGCTGTTTGAACCAAGTGCTAGTAGCATGGCCCACCATAGAGTTTCGGGCTTGAACTTCACCTTCACGGCTGGGCTTGCAAGTTGGTGTAGAAAGCTCTTGCCTCTGTGGTTTGAGCCGCTGTGCTCTGCCTCTGCATCGTGGAGGTAGATGAAGAGCAGATGAACTTTCAGCCCGTGCAAAAACTGCATCCTCAAAATCACCAGCCCATTGGGTCATGAATACCGTGGTGTCAGCATTGGGTTCAAAGCAGCTAGAGCATGTTGGATCCCATTTTTGCACATCAAACTCCTGCCATGGTATCTTGGCCGGACGTGGCCATTTTTGAACAACAACAGTTCGTGGAGGAATTGCTAACTGAATGGCCACTGTGGAGTGATCCATGAAAATGTCCTCCACCCATAGCCCACGCAAGAGCTGAATGGCTTCAGGTGATAGCCAAATTTGATCACGTTCAGTACTGCCCTTACATGTTGGAACTGGCTGATGTTGAAAAAGTTCAGCAGCGACCTGTTGTGCATTTCGCCAGCCATGTTGTTGCCAAATGATTTGTTGAGTCAATTGGCCTGGCTCTTGGTTGAAGTCGCCCATCATCAGTCTGACTCCAGCCATGCCCAAAATCAACTCGGTAGTAAAAGTCTCCAGCAGCTGATCACTCAGTTGTCTGGCCCGCGGCCAAGTTGGTCCTTGTGCAAAGCCATAAAATGTGCCAATGGTGATAGGCAGCTGATTCATCCAATGCCTTGCTAACATGACTCTACCACTATCCCAATGTTCTGCTGGCCATGGAACATCCAGCCGTGAGGCTGGAACATCTGATAGTGCTGCGACGCCAGTCCAGCGTCCAGCCCAAGTAGAACCACTGCGCAATGGGGCAGGTGCTCCACCAAGAAGGCGAACTTCTCGATTCATCGCTCTGGCTTGTGCTCTCAAAACGCCAGAGCAGGACTTGAAAGTAGTTGCCGAAAGCTGTGTTTCGGCAAGCCCCCAAATACCGGGGCCCAATCCCAAAAGAAGGTCCTCTTTCTGTCTCAGACCACTGGGGTTACTGACACCCACAGTCAGTGTTTGATCCCCGTGAGGCCCAGGGTGTTGAGCTTCACCATATCGTATTGTACCACCGCCAAGTGGTCCATGAAACTGTAAGGAGGCACCAAGAGGAAATGAGCCCTGACTACTTGAAAGCCCATGAGCGGGAACATGACAGTCACAATCCCCCGACCCAAATCCTCGGTCAACTTTCGTTGCCGAGCTGTGGAGGTAGAACCGGGCAAAGGGATGACTGTGCTGGAGGGCTTCAATGGGCATGAAGAACATCAATATCAGGCAAATGAGCCTACCAAAGGAAAAGCCGGATCGTCCATGTGTTTTCGGCCTCTGGCCAGATCCGCAGCCAGAACCGAGGTGCCCTAGTCAGGCATTTCTTTGCTTCTTCTCAAGCAGCGCTTCCAACCTGCTCAGCTGCTTGTTGAAGGATTCATTCATCTCTGTTGAGAGATCTTCTTTGACTGTCTTCATCGTCGACTGGAAAGTGGATCCCAGGGCATGAAGCTCATGTTGATGTGAGTTCAGCGTCTGCTGCATCGCGCCCATGGTGTTCTCAGTCTGTTGAAGACGTTCTCCTGCTTGTTGGAACCATTGTTTGAACTGGACATTGTGGCCCTTCAATTCTTGCAGACCAACTTCCAATGCCTGGATTCTGCTTTCTTGTTGTCCTGCCGTGGCATGTGAAGAGGCTGCAGCTGCCTTGACTGCCGCTTGTGCTTGATCTGTGATGTCCTTGCTCAGCTTATCCTGGAGCTCATGTAAGCGTGTCCTGCCTTCATTTGGCTGCAGATGGCCATGTATAGTTCGTTGATTTACATTGAAAATTGTGATTTTCCATATGTTATAGTTTTACCAGAAGGTATATCTGTGGGGAAAAACATGGGATGCTATGGGATATTATGGGATACTAATGATATAGTACTTAGTGGTTCACCCCACGAGCCGTTTTTTGAGTGTTTGTAGGATTAGTTCACCCAATAGATAGATACTGGTTGGTGCTTTGGAACATTTGGATTATTTTTCCGTATATTGGGAATGTCATAATCCCAACTGGCGAACTCATATTTTTCAGAGGGGTTGAAACCACCAACCAGGATAGCATAAGTCAATTATTAGCCAGCGATCATGGGATGATCCTCCAGCCGCGCTGCTGAGCCTCCATGGTTTCTGGAGGTCCACATCCCTGGCTTTGCCAGTGTGGTTTCATTACCCTCTGGTAATTTAACATAGCTATTGAACATGGCCATTTATAGTGAGTTTTCCCATTAAAAATGATGATTTTCCATAGTTATGTTAGTTTACCAGAGGGTATAAAAGTTGATGTTTGGATGAATAGAATTCAACGCAGAAACAGGTCAGGTGCCATGTATTGTACAGCATGTTTGATGATCCCAATTCACGGGCATAATTTTCAGGGAAGATTAAAACCACCAAGCAATTTTGGGATGATTTGGGTAGTTGTATCGCACGGAATACCCTAGTATTGCATCCTGGGCAACTTGCACGTCACCCAAACCAGGTCATAGAATAATTTTGGTGGAGTCTATACATGGCAACCTGCACTTTGGATGGCTACTTTAATCCTTTGCTTTAAATTTTAGGAATTTTTTTTTAGGTCACTAACATTGGCCACGGCAAGGGTCGGAGAATTTAGCTCCAGGTGCGCGTGCGAATTCCTGAGCGGCCACCCACGCGCTCCACCAACAGCTTCTACTTGGAGATGGGATTTGATCCAGGAATCTTCAACTTGGATCGTATGCAGGCAGGGATGGTGATGGATGGAGATGGATGTGATGGATCATTGGCCTGGCCGATAAAAACACCTATGATTCTATGATGTTCAACATGGGGATGTTGCTTCGAATAGGATGGGATTTCTTCCTTTAGATCTAAAAAGCTGGTTCGATACTTTTTTGGTGCATGGCTAAAGGGGAAACTGATGATAACACATGGGAGTTCATTGGTTGGTTCCCAAAATTTGTAGACAGACTCCTTGTGAAACAATCTTTTTGCCTTGATTTTAAGTGGCTGAGATTCTATGGGATGTATACCTCGGAGAATCTATCCCATTGTCCCGTAACAAAAAATGCTGGTTTTATCCATATTTCTGGGTATGATTTATGGTTTGTATATGGGGAATCATCCCCTTTTATGGCCGCAAGATTCAGATTAATTAGTGAAATATTATATAATATTTAGTGAAATATTATAATATCTATTAATATCTATAATTTACTTAATGGATTGGTTTGTTGGGGGAAATCTTCACCGGAAACCATGGATTTTCCCATGAAATTTACTCAGATATTTGATCCATCCAATTTGTCCCGCGGGGAAGCCCTGGTGAGCTTCATCCCCGGCTTCATCAATAGCGAACAGCGAACTATGGGTTATTCTCACCACTTACCGTTGGTTCTTAACCAGTTAATTACTAACTATTGGTTATAACTGTTATAACTGTTATGACAAATTCACCACTTATCAACCACTGACCTGTATTAGCCACTTATTAGCCACTTCTTATCCACTTATCGACCGCATTATCACCACTTCACTTACTCCACTTACGAACCCGTGTAGCACGACAGGCCGTAGGTCTTCCGGCACCACCTCTACGTGTGATCTCTCAAGCCAAGGCATGCAAAGAGGGCGTTGCCTTTTCGAGAAAGATAGAATTTTTGTATATGGGGATATTCTATCCATTAACCAAACTAATGGTTATAATATGTTATAATTAATGGTTGTAGTCAACCATGGATTAATAGACTATATTGGATACATATAAGTATATAATAGTGTTTTTGTAAGTTTAGACATGGTTTATCCTATGGTTTACCATGGTTTAACCATCATGATATTTTGATACAATATAACTTACTGGTGCTAAACATAGGGAATTGATGGGTTGCTGGGGGTTGCTGGGGGTTGCTGGGATGATTATTACTAGTGATTATGGATCATTCCCAAAAATTCCCTGCGTTTAGCACCAGTAAGAAAATATCTATAGTATATGTTTTTTTGATGTTGAATCATAGGAGTGATCTCTTTTGCCTTATCTTCTTTCAACTATGAAAAACATAGGGGAACCCTGATAATATCTATATAATATATTATAATATATATATAGAGTTTATGGTTCGATATTGTAAACATTATAATCCCCATTAAATCTACATATTCCCCAGGATACTGAACTACTTATGAAACATGTCTTTTGTGGATCTCCAGCCATGTCTGATGCCATTCAAATATGAATGGTCATATGGTAAGATTTGGGGAATCCGTAATGAGGCAACACGGCACCTGTGATGCGAAGCCAGGTTTTTCACCGTGCGCCAATTTTTCAGATTCGTCAGTTCCTATGGTTTCCATCCAAGCGCTAGGCTGCGGATGGACACTCTTACTTAGATTTTATTTGCGAGTCTTCGAAAGCACACGGAAAAAAAACAGGCAGAAAGTCTCCACCAAAAGTATTTCATGGTATTTCCATTCTTTTCCATCATTTTCCATCTGTATGTCCATACATTTTCCCAAAACTATGCCCCCTCCCTGCCCAGATCGATTCATTGTGCAACCTCGCTGGCTTCACAGAGAACGTCATGGAGTTCCACGTGCACATCGCATCAGCACTGGAGGCGGCTCCAAAACGTGGATGGTGATGGTGTTGATATGATCATGCTGATGATTTTGAATCAATGATAAACAATGATAATCACATATACTGGTTGGTGGTTTGGAACATTTTTTTTTCTCCATATATTGGGAATAATAATCCCAGCTGACCAATATTTTTCAGAGGGGTTGAAACCACCAACCAGTAAAAGTGGTGATTATCCTTGATAACCATGATTATGAATTGATGATCAATGATTATTCACATCACCAATCCTTGATCTTTGAAAATCTTTGACTTTTATGCGACAGGAACTCCCCCGTTGAATTTTATGGGACACTCCCAGCTCTGCCACAGCCATCACAGCCATGAGCCATGAGCCGAGCTGCAGGTGAATGCTGGCTTCTTCTTCGGGGGCTCGGAACTAACACGTGGCACCCTGCTGCGCTGCTGGCCAGAGACCCTCACGGAGGCCCTTGGAGTCCGTCGGATTCGTCGGATCAGTCGGATCAGTCGGATCTTTGTAAAATACCATCTGGTTATGACTAACAGTTCGCCATGGTTAAGCCATCGCCCATGAAAATAGAGGTTTACCTATATTAAGTTCGCATGGTGGATCTTTCCATGGCGAACTGTTAAATGACCAGATGGATTTTGAGAAATTCTGGTCTAATTTCACATATGGCTATATTGAAGATGGCACATTGATAATTAGTTGATTTACCTTTTAAGTTCGCATTTTGTGATTTTCCGGTTCGCTAGCCGCTACGCGAGTTGACCAGATGGGGCACCAATGGAATCACTGGGTCATTCGGCCCAAAATCAGGGATCCACCGGGATCCACCATCCCACTTAGTAAGTAGGTTATAACCCCAGTTATAAGTGGATTAACCCTACTTATCCCATTTATAACTGGGGTTATAACCTACTTTAACTCGCCGTGGGTAGTTCGCCAGCAAGCTGGGATCTGACAGGCCAAGCTCAACTCTGACAACGGCTACTGCGAGGCTGGGCTTTTTGGGACATTTTGGGACATTTTTGGACCCCTGGACCCATGATGAATCAACCCCTAGGCCGAACACGGCTGTTTTTTATATGGGGGGATACCATAAAAAAGTATCAGATGAAATGACTATTGGAGGAGTACCCCCCAAATTGTCATGAACCATGGTTTAGCAAAATCCGGGGTTGACATTCATTGTGAAACTGAGGAATTTATGGCAGAATATGGGAGAGATGAATATGATTTGAGGAGATATGATGGGGATATAACCAACATTAACCAACAATATTCCTTCAGAAAGATAAATAATTGGGAATTCGCGCCAAAGTTATGTATGTTTTAATGACTTAAGATCATTGGAATCCATTCGGTTTTAGGCTTGCCCTATTTTCAGACAAACTTCATGTGCTGTTCATACCATGGGGATAAAGAGGTTGCAACCCTTCGCTAGGACTTGCTACGCAAGACTTGCTTTGGTCAAGGGTGCCATATCCAAGTCAAACCCAGATGGGTTGGCCAGAAAATAGGCTACCCGAATGGTATGGTAGCCCTTGGTAGCCCTGAAAATGTGAGGTTGGAGAATCATGAATTATGAAAATGGCATAGTGAATCATGATTCATGGATATTCATGGCATAGTCAATCATCACTTTCTCATCTTTTCCTCACCTGGCAGGTTGGAGAAAATGTGGTGACGGGCTTGTCACTGGGATGTGGCAGTTTTTATCTTTTTGTCGCTTTAGTGATGATCCTCATATCCTCCGCCAGGCAAATGTGGCTGGCTGGAAAATCCCATGTAAATGGAGGGTTTAAGGGGAAAATCACTGCGCTGAATGATGGAGGTTCCATTGCCACTTTTGATTATAACGGAGGGGGGTTATTATTGTGTTTTGTTTTGGGGGGAATTACAATGATCTGGTTATCTGAAGAAGCAAGCGTTAAACAGTGGTGTTTTTGGTCGTTTCTGCTTCCAAATCACGTCATCTTAATGGCTTGTGTTCCCGGAGCCGGATGAATTTCTTCAGCTGTGTTTCCAGTCAGATGGAGCTATGGCAGTCCAACAAGGGGAGAATCACAGAGTTCTACCGGAGTTGTTCTACCGGAAGTAACCACAACTACAAACAGTACATGTGCAGAGTACAGACCAATATCTTCAACATCTAAACCATGCCCCCAGACCCTCCAACAGTACCAGTACCATCCAGTACCCATAAAGAAAAGGCGTTTTACCCTAATTTTTTTGTACTTTACAGTTTTACCAGTTTTGGAGGGATTTGGTGGGTCTCGGTAGATGTTTTTTCGCTGAGGCCTGAACTGAAGATGTATGTGCTTCGCGGAACATTTCCATCAGGTCATCTCCGCCCAGACTTGCGAAATCAAGCGAAACACGGTTTTCGGAGAGTCTTCACCCATGAAATCGTCGTGACGTTTGATGCCTAAATCATCTCAAAAATCCACCAATGTTTCCCGGTGAAAAACGCCAAAAAAAACGCGCAAACCGTGCAGCGCTTGCCGCAAGCTGTGCTCCGGCGCCGTGGCCGTTCCAGGTCTTCACATCTTCCGCTTCCGTCGCGTTCGGAATCCGCTGCAGCCCACTGATGCCATGGGACATTTCAGTCGCTTGGCATTTTCTACAAACAAAGCAGCATAGTTGGTACCCCATAGTTAGCTAAGTTGGTTTATAAGTCCAATAACTATGGTTTATAGGTGTTATATCTATATAGTTAATGGGATTATAACCTACCAATTCTGTCAATGGCCATGACTAAAAGGAACCGATTGATTGGAGGTACCGATTCCATATGTAAGGATATGTAAGGCCTATTTTTTAGGCCTAAATTTCAGTGGATATAGCCCCAAAATATGGCCAGAAATATGGTACAGTAATGTGCAATGGCTGGCTTCGGGTACCACTCAACCGCAAAAATCTTTTGGAGCGATAATTTTGAACCAGTGGAACATAGTGGAAACTGGTACCCCGGCCCCCCCGTCCATAATAAGCACCTCTGGTAGTTTTGATTATTAGGGGGTATAAAAATTATTAGGGTTCCCCCTAATACGAAATTGAAAACCCTAATAATAATATAAACAAAAACAATGTTTTCCTATTTCGAAATCGATTATAGATTTCCTTTTAAAATATAATTAAAATATTGCCAAAAATTAGATTTCGAAGCTTTCCCCTAATATTAAGTTTAAAACCTTAATATAACTAGCATACATGTTTTTTTCGACCTTAAAGGACGGACCCTAATAAAAAACACCCCGGGATTGACTAGTTTTTATTATTAGAGGGTGAAACCCTGAAATGGTAGCTTCATTTTCAAATTGTTTTCTAAAGGGGATCAATTAAAATCAAATTGGCCAACCTCAAATTTTCCAAAATTAGAGACGGACCCTAGTTTTTATTGTTTGGGGGGTTAGCAATAGGGGGAAGGGGTTAATTAGCCCTCAAGTCGGATTGCTGGATCGCCGATCACGTCATTGTCATCGTCATAATGTTCCCATTGTGATTCTCCTTTTCCTTTTCAGATGCTGGTCAACATCGTCGTAATACAGAAGTGTACCCTCTGGTAATGACTAACATAGCTATTGAAAATCACCATTTATAGTGGATTTTCTCATTGAAAATGGTGATTTTCCATAGTTATGTTAGTTTACCAGAGGGTAATGTCCCTTGAAGCGAAATGGACATGACAGGGCACTGTGGCGGCCAAGGTTTTGGAACCTACACAGACCTGCAGCTTGGCTGAGGGATGCATGGCCATGGTCACGGTGGTCACGGTGGTCACGGCCTTGTTGTGCTGTTTTGTTGGGAGACGCCAGGCATCAATATCCCAAGCACAAAGTCTTGGACAAAAGCAAGGAGATACCTGCGCCTTGGACTGGGAAATCTGGGAAGATTTTGCGGAAGGTCTTTCCGCAGTGAAGATGGTGTGTACCCTGGATTAATAAACCCCTAGATCCCCTAGGCTGTTTAATTGGGAGGGTACCATAAAAAAGTATCAGATGAAATGACTATTGGAGGAGTACCCCCCCTAATTGTCATAAATCATGGTTTATTAATCGGAAACCATGAGAAATCCATGGAGAAATCCATGGATGGTAGCTAATTTATTAAACAACCCCAAAAGCAGAATGGTGATGGTCCATGATGACTGCTTCAGAAATGATGAAATTGCAGGGAAAGCACCAAGAAGTCATATTTTTTCATGGTCTTAGCTTTCCACTGCGTAGTGCTTGCGGACCCAAGGATCTCACCATATGTTGAATGACCCATCCATGATCCCAATTTGAAGCTGCTTGCTGCACATGATGATCTGTGAATTTGGGTTGTTTTCAGTCAATTTCGATAAAGTGAGTCCAACTATAACTATACTGGGAAGATCCCTGACATTGCTAGATGGTTGGTAAGTGGCTCACTTCCCAATATGTCCCAGTTGTAAAGGCTTTTACAACCATTGACAACCATTTGTTGAACCATTTTATAACAATGTCAAACGATGTTAAAACCATGTTACGATCATTTTATTTTTTACTATCATTAATGTTATTTAAAAATATGTATAAAACATATAACAATTCTATCATCGTTTCCCAATCATAAAGTGCAGCTCACCGGCATCTCGAAGACTCGAAGTCGTGTTACAGGTGCCGCGTGTTCTTCAGCTGCTGCCTCTCACGGGTTTGGTGCAAGCTCCGGACTACGAACGTCCCAGCTATGGGTCACTGGGCGGGACACGTGTGGCGGCACGCTGAGATAGACAGATTTCAATGGGAGGAGTTTATATAATGAGTATATGGATAGTATATGGATAGTATATGGATAGTATATGTCTATATTCTATATGGTGAGTATATGGTGAATATATATGGTAAATGTGTATATATATATATATTAATATGGTAATTAGGATGGTGATTATGTGATGATCATATGATGATTATAATATTATGACTTGATTATATGATGATTATATTATGGCTATATGATTTTTATATGATGATTATATTCTGATTATATGCATATGTGATGATTAATATCGACTTAAATTGATACAGGTACTACGGGGAATCCGAATAAGGGGAATCCAATATATGGAAATACTGAGAATATATGGAAATTGACCATGAATCACACAAATTTAACCATCAACAAGAGGGATTCAACCTATGAACAGTGGATATGGAAAGACCATCAGTGATATGGGTTGCATTCTATGGGGATGCAATTGGACCTAGTAGGAGGCTACGGGATAATACGATGGTTTTTACATGTTTTGACCACCACCAATGAATCATGGATATGGGTGTGCCTGAAAATCGCTATCATCTTCCCCTATAGATTCTATATTAGCCATTTTAAGAGGACACATGATGTGTTAAACCGCTGGAGGGCACTGTTTTCCAACAAACCCACATGGTGAATTTGCTGAGGCGAAACGATGCGCCATTGCGGCTGAATTTGATGACTTTCTACTTCCAGGCACTCCTCATTCCGCTCTGCTTCACAGATGGGGAACAAGATGAACAAGATGGAAATACAAAATTTTAATGGCATCGTATGGCATCCATTCTGTGTGTCGTTCCACCAAAATTTCAACTCATCCGACCCGACTCCTCTCAGCTTTCCTTGTGGCCCCGTGTAGGTGGGACCACACCCTGAACAGCCAGACAGTGTGACTTGGCACAGTTGGAACCGTGGGAGCAGAACTCTTTGCAAAGCCTCGCTTTGATTCTCGGAATGCTGATTTCTCGTGTTTGAGTTGTATATCCTCCAGTGGATCAACATCGATAACGATTAATTAGAATGGATTAGCTACAGATCATTTTCCTTTGGTTTCCCGTTGTCCATATGGAGGTTTCCTAAAATCGGGGTACCCTCAGTTATCATCCATCTTCAATCCGGATTTTCCATGAAATAAACCAACCATAAAATGGTGTACCCCCAGTCATCATCCATCTTAAATCCCGATTTTCCATGAAATAAACCATCCAGCGAGCTTGGGGTACCCCCATGACTTAGGCAACCCTCATATTTCCACATCCTGTCCCAGATTTTCATCATCGTCATCCAAGGTCCCCTACCTCTACATCTCCATCCGCGGTCCTGCGGGATTCTACTTTGAGGAGGATTGCATGGAGAATATGCAGGCGCCCCCCTGTGCTGAAGATTCGTTCGGATACCAGAGATTTTTCACATGGATTTAAGGATACGATAAGTAGGATACGTAGGGATTAAATGGACTATTAAATGGACTGTAATGGATATCATGGACAATGATGGGATGGATCAATATCCAATTGATACAATGGAATATGGGTGTGTCTGAACAATGGTTTGGATATCTCAACCATTTCCATTTGATGATGATGATGATGATGATGATGATGATATGCTGGAGAGAGTTGCCTTTTCGAGTCCCAAGTCTGGGACTGGTCAGTGGAAGATTGGAGACAGGTGAATCCCAGGGTTCCGGGAATTCTGGTTGAAGCCCTCCACATGTGACATTTCTCAGATTCCATGGTTTCAACATGTTGAAAAACCGCGAAAAAAGAGATGAAATCTGATGATCCCTAAGAAACCAATTCAGTGAGTGGAAAAACATGAAGATAGCGACAATGAAGTTTCGTGTATTTTCCCAAAATGGTGTCCCTCCATGTTTTTTCTGGTCGCAGGTCTTGAACTCGAGTCTGGAGACTTCGCAGTTTCCTTGCAGCACTTCCAATCCTCAGGCCTGGGAGTATGGAGGTTTCTGTAAATGGGGCTACCCCTAAATCATCTATAAAGCATTGTTAACATAAGGGGGTATCCCCATTATTATATGATGATGAAGATCATATTCCATCTATGATGATGATCTTTATTGGGATTTTCCATGAAATAGACCAAGCATAAAATGGTAGCACACTCCCATTTACAGAGGCCAGAAATTGGAGGGAACTCCGCCATTTTCGGATCCTGGCCTTGCTTCAGGCATGGTGCCCTGGCGTCATCACATCTTGGCCACAGAATTTGGAACCTGAGGCGTCCGGCTTTTGCGATTTCTCAGTTCCACGAGGGAATCGAAATGCAAAACGATTTTCTGGTGCTTCAAAGGTCGGAGATCAAACGACAGAGTTCATTGTTCTTCGATTCAAAACGCTTCACAGAGAATTTGAACTTGATTTTTCTGATTTGATTCAAAACTGGTTTTCAAACACAGGTCACTAAACAAAGATTCGAAGGTTGAAAAGGACGTCACATCATCAGCCCAACTGATCATCATTGGCAACCCCTAATAGGAGCAGCTTTGACCCCGACGGCCCACGACAGGAGTGCTTGGGCATCGGCCATTCGGCACGGGTCTCGGTGCCCAACCCTCTGGCGCGCATCTGGCCGAATGGTGTGATGCCTAATTTCCTGGACAACAACATGCAACTTGGAGAAGTCTTATGGTGGCTATATGGTGGCTATATGGTGATGAAATAGTGATTGTATTCTGGTGAATATGTGGTGATTGCATGATGATATATGATTATGTGGTGATTATATGATGATTGCATGGAAATGATTGGATAATAAGGGGAATCCAACAGAAAGTTAGTGTTGGGAAAACTGGAATATATGCGAATTGATCGTGAAAAACAAACAGATTAACATAGATAAACCATCAACAATAGGCATTCAACCAATGAACAGTAGAAAACTGGAAAGACCACCAGTGATATGGGTTGCATGGTCGGTTGCATTCTATGGGATTTAACCATTTAACACCAAATCATAGGGGGGGTGTCGAAAGATGGAGATGATATGTTTGAAAACTGTTTGAAAATTGTGATTTTGCGACTGCTTTTCGGGCAGGACTATAGCAAGGAATATGACTCTTGGATTTTTTTAAATATTGTTATATGATGTTATATGACGTTAATCCTGGATATGTATGTCAGACATGGTTGGTGGTTTGGAACCATGGCATTTTATGAGTTTCGCATCATATTGGGAATGTCATCATCCCAACTGACGAAGTCCATCATTTTTCAGAGGGCTAGGTTGAAACCACCAACCAGATAGTCATAAGTATCATAAACCATAGTTATGTTATGATGTTATATGATGTTATATGACGTTATATGGATACTGATTGGTGGTTTGGAACATTTTTTATTTTCCATAATATATGGGAATAATAATCCCAACTGACTAATATTTTTCAGAAGGGGTTGAAACCACCAACCAGGATATGTATGTTATGATTTCTTTTTTTTGTGAACTTTCGAAGATTGTGAAGATATGGCCTCCAAGGTATGCCTTCAAGATCCAAGTCCGGCAGCTTGTCGAAGTCGACGTCGGTCGACGTGGAGAAATGGCTCGGGTTGTTAGCCATTTAAAGGAAGGCCATGGTACGTGGGACCATTGGGAACATGATGATTTTATATACCCTCTGGTTATGTTAAACGTAGCTATTGAAAATGGCCATAGAAATAGTGGATTTTCCCATTAAAAATGGTGATTTTCCATAGTTATGTTAAATTACCAGAGGGTATATATATATATATGTATTTGGATAGCTTCCCCTAAGTTTTTCGAACTTAAACCACCCCCATCCACTTTGTCTTGAAGCTGCAGAGGCTTGATTTTACCGGTGAGTTTTCATTGGGGAGTGAAGAGATCTGACTCTGATCAGGTCCATGTGATGGCTGCTGTGATTCCTTTGAATTGGTCCTTCTACTTGGGTGTCTTGTGTTGCCACATATTCAGATGCAGGGTGTCCACTTAGGAACCCAGAGCTGCAGATTGAAGACGGGAGTCAATGGGTTCCTCGATGGCAGAGAATTTTTCCACGTCGAACATCCAAGATCCAAATCTGAAATGAACCCATTGGACCGTTGGATTGTCGGATGTTTTTTTAATACTCCATGTCAAAATACCTTTCATATTAACATACATTAACATATATTAACATATATTAACATATATTATATTATAACATATACCTTTCATATTAACACATATTAACATATTATATTAACTCTATTTACTATGAACCCAATATGATTCCAAGATTTTTTCGCCAACATTAAGCCACTTAAGCCGCCCTGGCGCCGGCGGCGCCAATCGCTTGCTTTTTAGGCGTTGGATTTCGTGGACTTCGGAGGGCGACCCTTCAAGTCTCTGCGCCTGGACGAAAGCTGGCGATGTCTCAATGGAGTGGTTGGTTTGTTGGGGGAAATCTTCACCGGAAACCATAGATATTCCCATGAAATATGGACGTTTCCTGTAAATTGTCCCAATATAATTATCATTAATTATCTTACTGGTGCTTAGTGGGGAATTTTCGGGAATGATCCACAATCACTAGTAATAATCATCCCATGCCCCCAAAAACCCATCCATTCCCTACGTTTAGCACCAGTAAGTGATATTATATCAAAATTTCATGATGGTTAAACCATGGTAAACCATAGGATAAACCATGTCTAAACTAAAAACCACTATTATACTTATATGTATACCAATATAGTCTATTAATCCATGGTTGACTACAACCATTAATTATAACATATTATAACCATTAGTTTGGTTAATGGATAAAACTATAGCCATGCATAGATGTCCTTTTCCCATTGGTTGGTTGATGCATAGAGGGCTTTGAAGAAATCCCTTTAACAGGTAAATGATGATAGATGGATAACGGTATACCAAACCAGCCCCTCTATTTTTACCAAAAGGACATGATTGTGCCTGGCTTCCTGGAAATTCCAATTTGAAATATAGGCATGGCAGTCAGTGAAACCAGGAAATGTGATTCGAATCCCTACCTGACAAATGCTTGGAAGTGTGGAAGGTCAAAATTGGGATACTGTACCAACCGACCACCAAAAATGCTTGAGTTTAGTTGTTTATATGTGTTTTAACAATCCATTTTTTCCTGCGAATCTTATGACGTCGAGAGACCTTCATTCATTGGAAAATTGAAAATCATTAATATCAAAACAAAATAGAAAACAAACAAAAAAAAATATGAAAAAGCAAACAAAAAAATAACAAACCAAAAAAGCAAACAAAAAACAATAAAACACAATAAACAAAACAACAAACAAACAAAAAAACAATAAACAGCGCACGGTTTGAAACTCAGAGAGACTTTGTGCTTCTACCTAATCGCCGCAGCTTGTTGATACATGTTGATACCACTCTCAAAGTCCACAGTCTGCGTTGCTGCCATTTTGACCCATACGCATCTGAGAGTAGTGGAAAGATGATTGATATGATTCAAAATACCCTCTGGTAAACGTTTACATAACTATGGAAAATCACCATGTTTAATGGGAAAATCCACTATTTCTATGGCCATTTTCAATAGCAAACTGTTAGTTTACCAGAGGGTACATTCAAGTCTTTTAAAGCAATGGTCCATGGATGTTCACATTCACCCTGAGGGTTGGAGCTGCCCACCCTCTGGGTCAGAAGCTCCATCCACGACATACCGAGCAGTTTTTTATGTTGCAGATTTCAATGCGTTGTAGCTCCCCAAAGGTTTGGTGCTTGCCCCAGCTTTAGCAGCTTGCAGAATGTGGCAGAGTTGTAGTAGTTTCATGTAGATTCGCAGTTTAGATTCTACCAGCGCATCGTTCCGCATGGCAAGGTTGGTCAGGACCTTTGGTGCAGAGGAGCAGAACTATGGAGAAAGAGACTTGTGAACTGTTCATCAAAGTTTATCAATGGCACATGTTCTCAATCACTTTAATCTGCAGATGAAATTGGCTGGGGAGTATTGGCACTTCTGGCACTTCATCCTGACTTCCTTTTTTTTCTGAATGAAATTGCTCACCTAGCTTGCGCCCCCTTCTTGATGTACATAATATAATAATAATAATAATAACAATAATGATAATAATAATATATATATATATACATTCATATTACCCATATGCTCCATGTATGGAATATTTACCAACATTTACCCCATAAATCACCCAGTCATGTAGGTAAATATACCATACATGGAGCATTGGGGTTATGTACATATATGTAAGGATCCTATGATCCTTTGGCTCGCAGCCTTGCAGCTGCAGGTGATTTTTTGGCAGCTTGGGATTCATCCAGTGGTGCACCTGGGGTGATCCTGGATGGATGTTGATTCCACCACTTGGGGAGTATTTGTTTATTCTAAAATCCGAGTTTTACATGTCACATCATGTCACATTGTGTATATATATATATATATATATATATCATATGGTATCATATCCCCATCATATCCCCATCATTTATTGCCATACCATGGTAGACCATCAAGCCAAGTGGACTCTCCTTTCGTGGCGAAGCGGTCGAGGAGACGCAATTGCTCCTGGCCTCGCCGTTGATCATACAGCCCTTTCTGCAAACGACGGATCAGCAGTACATGACCTTCCGTTGCCCGGTTAGTTTGGGGTGGCTACAACGTGGCCAACAAAACCCATTCTGAGTGCACCTGGTTGATAGGTTGGGATATGATATAACTTAACTGATCAGAATAACTACCGTGATATATTCATTATGACTGGAACTGCACCCGCAAGTGTTGTGTAGTTACTTCATCAGCAAAGGGACATACTGCTAGCCCTTTTGACGTGCACGGTCCCATGTTGGAATGTCCTTATTTTTCTGCTATAGCCACGTCACTCATTGCTTTCCCAAACCCAAATATAGCCACCTAGTTGATCGGTTCGCAATCATTAGTAACTATTGGTAAATCATGCTATATAATCAAACATGGAACTTCCCAAATTTCATCTAAGGCATTTGCATTTCTGGAGGATGTTCCATTTGCCAGGTTTGAATACTGAAGGGTCAGTTTCGATCAGAAAAACACAATGATACTACCACTATATAGTTAGTTTTGATTTTCAATCTTTTTTGAGCTAAAGAATTCACAATCGAATACCGCAAAACAGAACCTGCATTCTACAAATCAATGTTTTTGGCACCGCATTTTCCATGAAGAATCCGGTGCCCCCTAGTGATGTTTCTTGGAAAAAATAACCCCATCCAACCAGTTCGATAGATCCCCCATAAATCCAGTCGTTCGCCTTCCCAATGATTTGCTTGGTGGGTAATTCGCCTGAGTTTTTTCATCGTTTAAGCCAGTTTAATTCCTGTTCAGGTAAATGTAGTTTATTGGGTGCTTCCTTATTCATGATTTTTGATGCTTAACCCATGAGTATTCTATTCTTATCCCATCCATTTTCCAAAGGATTTTCCCATTTTCCCATGGATCCTCCCCTACTTTCCCATGATTTTCCCATGAATTTCCCGTGAGGTTTAGACTTCATGCCCTACACCACCATCCCTTCGCCCCGTATGGGCTCCACGACCGACACGGTGAAGCGGCGCCTGCAACAAGCTTTGGCGCCACTGGCGCCGGATGCGGAGGCGGATCGGACCAGGTCAAAAGATGGATTGATGATTTGTACAAGAAAAGAATATGGGATTTCACATGATTTCACATGATTTCACCCATTTTTTCGGATTTGTGTCTGGTTGAAAACATGGGCTTGACCGGCAAAAAATATGGCGATTTGAAGAGGAAATGATGATTAGCCGGTTCATGAAATGAGGCACCCCTCATACGCGCCTATTTCAATCATCAAAAACGGAGTTGGAGTTAGGGTTATAACCTTGGAAATGGTGAGTCAAGCTAAATATGATTGAAAACATCAAGCATGGTGGTATAGTTGGGATTCCAATCATCAAACATGGGGAGTTACAATAAACTTAAAACATTGGTTTTGAAGGTCTAAAACCCACCATTTTGTGGGAATGCAATGTGATATAAGAGGATACTAAATATGATTTTGCTTGATCCAAAACTTATGGTCGTGGGAAAACCAGAACAGGGAACCAAGACCCATCAAGACCCCGAGACATCGCAGGAGGGAAGCTTGGTGCTCATTACCCCTGCCGGCTTTGGCTTCCGTGTGGGTGATTTTGAAGGATGCCCCTTGGCAGTCAATCATCATTTTGTGCCTCCTGAGGGTAGCTTAAGTGAAGCCAAGAGCGTCATTTGTCAAATGTGTCTACCTCTACTAAGAGATTCAACAGGCCCAATCGCGCGGTCAAAGATGCCGCTCTCAAGCTATACCAAGAGGTTATATAATCTACTATAATATATTATAATATATATTATATATTATATTATATACACTACAATATTCTATAGTATACTATAGTATGCTGCATCCTATAGTATACTATAACATACTATAATATACTATATTATACTATAATGTACTTTAATATGCATACTATACTATGCACGCTATCCTATACTATACTATACGATACTATACTATACTATACTAATACTATACTATAATATACTATATATTTATATACACCATAATCGGTAATCTCGAATTAGTTTGTCTAAAATAGGGTACTCCATGGAGGCTCAAGGCATCACTTTCATTTGCGTTGGAAGGGTAATGGGCAACCTCACATTTGACATGAACGTGGCAAGCACCAGTTCTGGGACTCAAGTTCATTTATCATGCTATAAACAAGTAATTACCAAAAAAAATCATACATAATATATATATATATATATTATTATGTAAATATTATATTATTATAAATATTATTGTATATGTTATTATTATTATAATAAATTATTATAAATATTATTATATGTAGTATTATATATTATTATATATAAATATATTGTAACTGTATTATAAATATATATATATATATGTTAATGTATATATATATATATATGTTAATTATATATTGATTATTTTATATATTATTGTCTAGATTATTTATTTATATATTATTATATATATATTATTATATATCTTATTATATATATAGTGTTTTAAATTACTATATATTATTATATATTATTATATACTATTATATATTATTATATATTATTATTTATTATTGTATATCATTGTATATTATTGTATATTATTTTATATTATGGTACATTATTTTTATATTTTTATATATTATTATATATTATTATACTTATATTATTATCATATATTATTATATATTATTATATATTATTATATATTATTATATATTATTATATATTGTTATATATTATTATATATTAGTATATATTATTATATATTATCATATATTATCAATATAATTATATTTATATATTGTTATATATTTATTATTATATATTATTATATGTTATTATATAGCTATTTGATTCGTTGTTCCTCTTAGACGTTCATGTTCATTGCTTTCATTCTTTGTAAGGGAGGAAAAGTCTCGAGCGTTTCGAGGCCTAGAAAGCACATTGGAACGGAAGGACTTTGGCGACGATGAGGGGATGAGGCTACTCCCAGTTCAAATTGGATTGGTCCAAAAATGGTGATATGTCTGATATGTAATATGTATATGATGGAATTTATATAACCATAGATTCTATAGATAACCAGAAATGATGATTCATGAGAGTGGCCGTTTTTAAGGTGCAAACGTTACGATCCAAGAGTTTATTACTGTTTTCCATGTTGAAGTGTCCATTTTGGTCTATACTTTAGCACATTTCCCTTAGTTTTGTCATTTGGCTTGTCATCAGATTTTGCCCAGAGATTCTGATCCAAGTTGGTCAATCAGGGCTGCAATTCCGAATCAATTTCCGAATTTGAACTAATCCCCTAATTTTATGTTGAATCGATTCATCCATTATTTGTTTTTCCTATTGGCTATCTATTACATCCCCATTTCATGATGGTTAAGCCATGGTAAACCATAGGATAAACCACGTCTGACATAAACTACCATGTCTAACATAAACACTATTATAGTTATATATACCAATATAGTCTATTTATCCATGGTTAACTACAACCATGAATTATACACATTAACTATAACCTTAATTTGGTTATCCATTTACTATAGTTATTATACCAAAGTTATCATAGTTACTATAACTGTTATATCCTATCACAATATTATAGCTATAGTTATATTTGCTATAGTCATTAGTTTGGTTGTCATAGTGAAACTATAACCATTGACTATAATCTTTAACTATAACCATTAACTCCCCTATAGTTATAATCTTTAACATAAACACTATTATAGTTATATATATATACCAATATAGTCTATTTATCCATGGTTATATCTATTTATCCATGAATTATATATAACCATTAACTATAACCATTGAAAACTATAGCCATGTCTCCCCTCGTTTTCACTTCCGTGCCAGGACCGGCTGTTGTGGGACGATGAATTCTTCCCATCCACTGAAGCGACCTGCACGGTCACGGGGACGAACTTCAATGTCCTGACGCCTCTCGGACGCGAACGCGTTTTGCGAAGATATGTAGATCTTGAAGACTCGAAGATCCTCTGGAAATAGGTATTACCCTCTGGTAAACTAACAGTTTGCTATTGAAAATGGCCATAGAAATAGTGGATTTTCCCATTAAAAATGGTGATTTTCCATAGTTATGTTAGTTTACCAGAGGGTACCAATACTCATATAGGTGATGTTCATGGGGAAGGATTTTCATAGGCAGGGATTAAACCAACCATATATCTAGGATGATCTGCGTAAATTATGTACCTCACTATGACCTCACTGGAAACATGGCTTTTATATGGGGGAATCATCCCAAAATGGCCGCAAGTTTCAGGTCAGTGAATAAAAAAATAATGTGTACAGATAAGATGGGTAAAAGTACTGTGGATGGGCCAGCGAAATCCGAAGCACCAGTTGATGGATGGGCAAAATCCCATTTCTATTCTAAGGTTCCAACCATCCGTTTGGTGGTGCAGGATTTCGCTGGCCCATCCACAGTATGAAGACCTGCTGTTATTGTTTTTTTTTTTGCAGGGTTTGAGAAAACTTGGTGGTTGAGGGCTGTTTGTGTGGGGAGACGGATTTTGAGAAGAACTGCTGGTTTTTTCTTGCAAGTTTTCAAGATTTTAGTGCCTTTGCATGTTGGAGATATTGAAGATGGCTTCTGCACATGCTTGGGGGGATAGCAGTGAGATGTATGTGGTGCTTGCACACAACAACACAGGTATTAAAAGACATCCCGGAGTCAAAATCCTTCAAAAAATGGATTCCAATATTTGTCTGTTTTCGCGTTTTACCACAGCAACAGCTCATTTTCATCAGAGCATTTCGGTGCATCCTGAAAACAAGCTTTTGTTTCCTGGAAGTTGTTACCAAAGGTGGTCACGTAGTTGGAAGGTGTTATACTATATACAAGAGTTGATAACGTAGTTGGAAGTTGTTGCAAGAGTTAGCAACGTGTAATCAAGAACGTAGTTGCAATTTTTGATGCAATAATTACTTGTGTAGTTGGAAGTTGTTGGAGAAGATAGCAACGTAGTTGGCAAGTTGTTATACAAAAGGTAGTAGGGTAGTTGGAAGTTGTTACAAAAGCTAGTAACGTATTATCAAGAACGCAGTTGCCATTTGTGATACACAGTTTCTTGGACATGTTAGTAACTTAGTTGGAACTTGTTAGGACCAAGGACGTTAGTAGCCAACCCCACCCCACCCCACCCCACCCCAAAAACGGTAGTTTTACAAGCACGGCTTTCGGTCCGCAGGCTAAAACATGACAGACAGATCCCGAACCGAATTTCAAACCACACTATAGCTGGACACCCTTCTCAATTTTTTTCACTGCCCAGAATTTTGACCCTGTTCTCATGTTCTCGTTCGAGGTATACGCTGATCAATCAGAAGGCATTGCTTCAGAGGGTCACCTACTCCATTTTCTCCAGCGTGAAAAATCCGGACGTGCCCTCCTGGCCTTCTTCTGATGACACCTGGCTGCTATATGCTGCTAGGAATTCAGGTTTTAAGTATTGATCCGATTTTTCGGATGCATGAAAGGGATTGAAAGGGGGGTTTGAACATGTTTGAACCGCATTCTACAATGGTTGCTTGTGATTTTTTTGCATTTGAATCATCCTACAATGATTGCTCATGATGCAGATATTACAGTACATAATATATACATATATATATAATATAATAATATATATATATGTATAATATATGAGGATGATGTTATATACATATATAATGTGGATGGTTGCGACATCCTGCGCCACCAAACGGATGGTTGAAAACCCATAAATAATGAGATGTTTGCCACCTATCACTTTTTCCTCAAATTATTTGGTGTTTCCGTTGATGTCCCTGGATTTGCGGGAAAACATTAACCAACAACATAATCACACCCTCATTGGATTGGTTTAAGGGAAAATCTTCACCGGAAAGCCTTTTTGTTGGTGGTAAAATCCATGTCCAGTTTCGATTTTCCGTGTAACCACACCATAGAGAGCGCCACGGCGCAAAATTCGGAGAATGCCGTTGACCTCTGGACGCCACCAGGAATGGTTGCTGGAGTCCTTCAAAAAATTCATTGCCACAGAACAAACCATCAGATTGGATAGCTATTTGGCTCCTCGGCAAACGTCTGCTGACACTGGGATCACCCTCTTGGGGCCCCAGTGGTGCTGCAGTGTAGATGGACCTGCCATGATCTTTCAAAGCGGTTGTAGCTGACTCGGAGTAAGACCTGAACAACGAATCAGATAATTATATAATTATATAGTCTCAATTGAACCGCAGTTCCAACTGAATCTGCTAAACTATTGGATGGATTATAGCCAGATATAGCCACCCCTTTGATTTTTATTATGTGTGTGAGATTGTTGTAGATGGGTTTATTAACGTTATATTTACGTTTATCTCCCACTTTTAAAGTCATTTTTTTCCCGGATCAACATCATCAACGAATTCTGACATGTTTTGGACCTGTGGATTCCACGGCCCAGAAATGCCATGGAGAAAAAACCCACATGGTTTCATCGCCTTTCGGTAGGTGCCGGGGATTCCGATGATTACTCCATCCAAATACTTTGATGTGACCAACATCGCCCTAGAGTACACTGCTGGACGCTTGGCAAAACGCGCTTGGCGATGAGAAAAAGGATGATATTGAAATGGGCGGAATCTGGCTGAATTCTGGCGATTTTTTTTCTGCCACTTTTTGATGGAATTCTGAAAGATGTTGGAAGTCAACGATCATTGGTTTGGTTGAGAGAAGTTAGCGGACCCAATCTTGTTTCATGTTATTTTTGGGCATGGAAACTCACATGCTTTCCATGGCTTTCCCCCGTAGATTTTCGGGATCCATCCTCCAGGCGTACTGGTGCCCGAGATGAATGTGAGCTTCCGCCTCCGGGCGCCACTGCGAAATGGAGATCAGATTCGATTGGTGGCACCACCAGGTGGGCTGAGCCGGGGAATCCTGGTGAAGCCGAAGAGATCGTCAGGCTGTCAGGCTGTCAGGCTGTTTATCAAAGTTGATCAAAGCCCTGAAAAAGCCATGGTATAAACTTTGTTACCAATAATATTCTAATTTCAGGGTATGTATGTCTAATATTTTTGGGAACACCGATTTTCTAGCCAGACAAAGGCATGTATGTTATAGTGATTGTATTTTTTTTGATTTGATTCACCAATTATCAATAAGTATCCTATTCATCGAAATTTTAGTTTCCAACTGTCATACCTATATAATTTGATTTTATTCAACAATTAGCATGTCTGAAATATGATGTTCTGGTTAGTGATTTGGAACAGTTTTTATTTTCCATATATTGGGAATTAGCATCCCAACTGACGAACTCATATTTTTCGGAGGGGTAGGTATACCACCAACCAGTTGTATATGGTGATTTTATTCACGATTTTGAGCTTATCCGCCATGACGTTGTTGTTTTTCGAGTGGGGAAGGTGGAAGACAAAAGCCACAAATCACCACGGCCAGGCTTCAGCTTGGGAACCAATGGAGAGTGCCAGAACTTCGATTGGTTCCTTGGGGGAAATGAGATTTAGCCCATCATTGGCCCCGTTTATTGATGTTTAGCCATGACTTACATATTGAAAAATGGGAATGTATTGGAATTTAACTTTGAATTTGGGGATTGATATCCTCTGGTAAACAAACAAAACTATGGAACATCACCATGCTATATAGCTGGGTAGTCATCAACGAACTAAATAGCCATATTTTCCAGTTCGCAAACTGTAAATGTTTACCAGAGGGCATACCCCCATATATCATCATAATATCACTATTAATCATAATAATCACCATTAATCACCATATAATCACTATGTTTGTTTACCAGGCCGGGTATATCATTCACCGAAAATTTTTGACACACCACCTGAGGACCTGGCCACCTGAGGTCCGGCACCTATCGGCCCTTGGTGTATTCCCCGCCACCCCTGTGCAACTGCAGTGGCTGGGATGTTTGTTCAACGGGTCAACGGGAATTCTATGGGAAAAATGGTGTAAAATTGGGTTTCCCAACAATGAGAAGGAAAAAACAATGGAAAAACACAACGAGACAATCAGGTCGTAATGTTTTTCATCCTCGATTTATATCGATTTATCAACTGAAACAAAGTCTGTGGTGTGAAATCACCAGGGAAGTCTGTAGTGTGTAGTATGTCATCTGGTTGGTGGTGACTGGAACATGAATGTTATGACTTTCCATTCAGTTGGGAATGTCATAATCCCAACTGACGAACTCATATTTTTCATATATATATACAATTATATATATATATATATATTATATATATAATTATATATATAATATATATAATTATATATATATATATTATATATAATTATATATATATTATATATATATATATATATAATATAATTATATATATAATATATATAATTATATATATATATATAATTATATATATAATTATACATATATATATATATATAATCCTATTATACCACATTTTTTGATTGATTTGAGGGGATGAACATCCATTCACCCGCCATGGATTCCAGCAGACTCTTCTTTTCACCAGCCATATTAGTAGCCCATGCACCAGATGTTGGGGATCAAGGTCTTCAAAAAAACCACTGGACTACGATCACTACGATCTCCCGCTGGCATTTCATGGTCTAGGGGATATTTCCATGGAAACCTGGAATCACTGGGAATTTCAGGATCCTATATAAGGCCTATGTAAGGGGACATCCCCCCAAAATATGGCCTTATATGGTACTAACGTACCTCCATTTTAGGTACAGTACCTCCATTTTAGGATCCTGGAATTCCCATTGATGGAATATATGACCAAGTGAATGATGGCTTAGTTGTGTCTGAAAATCCAGGATTTCAATGGATTTCACCCATCAAAGTCGGGAGTCAAGCGAAAGTTGGTGGATTCAACTTTCGAACATTTTTTCCGCTGAGTTGAATCGGGATAGAAAATTACAGCTGGATTCAATTTTTGATGTACAAAAATGGGAATTTATAGGTGGTTATCAACAAATAACTGAAATAGGTGGATATTATAATGGATGTTTCTATATAATCTAACTGAAATTTATAGGTGATGTAGAAAATTGGGAATTTCTTCGATGACTCGTGGACTTTATGAGCCGATATTTTCCTGCATGTTTGCATTGGTTCATCCGCCAGAAATGAGGTTAATATGTTTCATTTTTAATGGCTGCCAAAAGCAAATCCAAATATTGAATGGCAGCTAGGGGATTGAATTCGTGAAAAATACGAAACGACAACAAGTGATAGTGACAGTCGTGACATACTGCAGATGATCGTCTTTTTTTTTGCATGAAAACCCATATATGTAACTTCATATAACTGTGGTCTCTGATTCGCTGAAGATGCTGTCACTATCATCCATCATATCAGTTCTAAATTCGAATTAATTCCCCATGACATGTCTCATGATTTGAGGTTAATACCCGATAGATATATCCCGTGAGATAGTCATTATATCTCCATATTTGCCTGTTCCACAGCTCCAGGTAACACCAGTTCCACGGCTCAACTCTGCACGTTGGTGCTGATGGTCTCTGAAAGCAATGTCTGGAGAGCGGAGGCGCTAGCGTGCGCTATGCAGCGCTATGCATGGCGTGCCCTTTTTGTGCCTACACGGTGGTGCCCCAGGTTGTTTGCCCCCAGGGTTTAGGGTGATTATTAATGAGAGCTCCAGTTAGTTGGGTCAATCAACCAACCTCTCACAGGGGGCAGAAGGAGGAATTCAACGTGAACAAGACCACCTCCAAACTCTCAACTAAGATAAATACCGAAATCCATGAGGAAACCCGTAAGGACCATGATCTACAGTCATGGTGGCTTGTACATGTCTTTTTTCGTGAATTTGCTCCATTTACTGGGTGTCATGGTTGGTTTTTGTGTGTCATGAACAAATATCTGATCAGCATATTACTATTTCATCTAAGTATGATCAGCATATCAGTAATATGCTGATTCATAAAGGTCCTTTTCCCATTGGTTGTCTGATTAATAGAGGGTTTGAAGAAACCCCTTTAACAACAGGCAAATGATGATAGATGGTATACCAGCTCCCGGCCCCTCTGTTTTTACCAAAAGGACCTTATTGAATGCTGCTAAAATCAGTAATCTGTCCAGCGAAGTTCGAAGATTCCGGGCATCGCTGTCAGGTGGTAGCATCGGAAATTCCCATGTCCTTCAAGATGAGTGTCATCAATCCGCAGCTTGGAGATGAGACGTGGACATGTTGCAATCTTTAAAGAAAGTACCTTTAGACCCTCCGACATTGTACCTGTAAAAATTGTGTCTTTAGATGTGTTGACCATATAACATCAAATACACTTTCACATTTTTTTTGGGGGGTATTTGGGGGGTCTAGGTAATCATATTTACATGTTTACATGTTTTTTCACCTGTCAAAATGTGGCAGAACATTTTCATGTCAGCCGGTGGGGATCCGATGAGAGACATGCCGCCTAAAGTGCCAGCAGTTTCGGGCTCCTACTTGAATTGTCATTTGGGTATGTCTGAAAATGGGGTATACCCCCAATTATAGCCATTTAGTAGGGATAATGATCAGCAAAACCATTGGGTAAATGGGGTACACTATTTTCAGACAAACCCATTTTACTCATCAAAGAAGTCGGATACTTGCAAGCGCCAGGCTTGTCTGAAGATAGGCTACCCATGGCTATCCATGAGGTGATCATGGGGGATCCACCATGGAGATGGCGCTTTTCTTGGGGATCCAGCATTCTCAAAGACGTCAGACCCATAGTTTTTCATGTTGAAGCCCTAGTGTTTGAAGCCTAATTCCAAGTTTGTGGTTACCCAACCCAATTTGGCACATGGCCATGAAAAACCTGTTTTTCCCACCCACAAACCTCACTGTCAGCTCAATGTCAGCTCCAGCCGAGGCTGTTACTGCCAGCTGTGGTAGAGAACTTTTGGCGCATGGAATTCTGGGCGAACCAAGTCCTGTACAGCGGCAGCGTGGTTGCCTGTCTGATTGGCGAAGTGCCAGATGTGCCAGTGACTGGCGGAGGGGCTGGAAGATGTACTTGCAGAATCTTGCATACCAACCTTCCATTAGCCAACTATTGATGACATCCATGAGTTTGCCCGGAAATTATCTCTACAAGTGGTGGATTTCCTATCTATTTTAGTACTGAAGGGTAGATTCACTTCCACTTTTTTGGGGGGGAAACAGATCTCAGCCCATCCGGAAGGCAACTTCAATCCACAATTTTCTCATGTCAAGGTGGGTGAAGTTGGTCCAACTAATAGGACTAATGTGGGTAAAACAATGTCATAAGCCACCCATTTGTGAATGGTTTCCAAACCACCCATTTGTGGTGATTTGGGGATGGTTGATGGCATTGTTTTAACATGTTTTAACGATATAAAAGAGGACAGCAGCCATGCAGCCGAGGTGTCAAGCTGGCCAGTCTATGGCCTCTTTCAGAATCTGAGCATTGCTCTGGTGGGCACCGAGCAACGGGCTGGAGCTATGAGCGATTTGCTCTTTGACTTCACTCCGAGACACTCAGCCGAAAATTCACGAGGGATATCAGGATATATGTGGAGAACATAGTAGCAAAACCCCCTTTAAGGTATAGACTAACATAGCCATCAGGAATCACCATGGAATAATTTAGGTAAGTCAAAAAAATAAATTAAATGGCAATTTTCAATAGTTATGTGAATTACCAGCAGGTTACTTAAGTGAATGAGTATTAAACAACCTTGTGGCAACTAGAAGATTCGGAGATTCTCCTCTTGAAGTGCTGGGATAGGGCAGGCCTCAGGTTTTTTTCATGGGCGCAACAACGGTATTACAACCCCCATCAGTTGGGATATAACATGATATAACCCGCATAGCTATGGTGAAATCTATCCACGTGGTTTTTTTTCATGGACTAGCCATGAAGCCTGGAGCCTCATGTTGAAAGAGGCTTGTTGCAAGATCTGAGATGCAGAGTCTATGGGCTTGTGATGTGATAGAAGATCCATGCAAATACCTCCGGTTATTGGAGAAATAGCAGTTGCAGCAATGTTTGAATCACTTCTTTTCGTGGCTCCAAATAACGGAAAACCGTACAACCAATTTACCAACCAGTGTAGGGAGTGCCTGTGATTTTCAAACCACTTGGGCATTTGGGCCGAGTCTCCGAGGTGTGTTTGGCACCACTTTGGACATTCGGATTCACGAACCCCTGGGCTTTGACTTCCAGGCCTGTTAATTCCCCGAATGGGGTCGCCTAGCGCTCCAGGTACTGCTAATGGAACTCCTCGATGTTCCGAAAAAAGATCCTCTTCTCGCACTATAAGCTACAATCATCTCCATGAACATGTGCTATTTTCATATCCCTCGGTCAGGTTCATACCTAGCCGCTAGCCAGAATTCTTGGAATCGTTTCTGACATGAATCATTTCTGTAGCCCTTTCTTACACATCTCTTAATTTCTAAGTTCCATTTTCCATATTTCTCCTGTTTCAAAACCCACAATTCTGACGGGAATTCCCCATGGTTATGCCATGCTACCCAAGTGGGCCCAATGCGAGCGCTCGCACAGGTGGCTCGTGTGAATGCTCCCTGGGTGCGGAGCGACCTGACCTCCGGGAATCGTTTGCTTTTGATCGGCACCTTGGAGATGACCGAAAAAAACGATGGGATTTTTTGCGGGAAATCCTGGATGAAAAAAGTGGGATAATTCTGGGATAATTAATATGGATCAATATGGATTTCATTGGACTATGCAATTGTGGGATATTTTGGGGGAAGGGGCTGGAAAATGTCCTAATTAAACATCACCGAACTATTGGGATATGATCTCCAACTTATATACCTGATATTACTTGATGGTGATGTGAATATGATTCCCAACAAGAGATATTTACCACCCCCTGTTAGATACCCCGCCAAACGAAGCCCTGGTTTAGTTTGGAGTGCTCTTCATTTAGGGCATGAAGATAAATGGCATACAGTTACTTCAGTTGTTGAGAAAACAATTTCAAAAGTCGGGAAGGTCCAAAGATGAAATCATTGAAGCAGAGTGGGCCAACTGCATTAAGTAGTTGTTCAGTTTTCCGAAGGTCAGGGCATTGAGTTGTATTGATTTTGGTGCTTTCAGATGCTTTCAGTCAATTACCCTCTGGTAAACATACAAAAAACTATGGAAAATCACCATTTTCAATGGGAAAATCCACTATTTATAGCTATGTTAGTCATAACCAGGCCGGGTAGGTGGGCTGGAGCTTCTTGGAGAAGTCGCCTCATTTTTTTTGTTGCAAACACGCTGCAGAGTTGGGTACAGACACGAGGAAAAACCTGTCACAATTTTTTCGTGCAAGTTTTGTGGCTATTCGGCTATTCTTTGCGGAATAATATGATTTGCTGTTTTTCATCATATAGTTGGTGACAATTGGTGATATATCCACATATATAATAGGTAATGACAATGATAGTAACGATAGTGATGATCGTAATAGCAGTTAGAACATAATACAATAATGACAATGGTAATAATGAGAATGATTCTAGCAATATGAATGTATATAAATATATACATGTGACAGTAATATCAATATTATATTTACGGTATTGATATTTATACTAGCAATGATATATATATATATATGCACATACTATATTAAAGAGATGAATAGACTATTCATCTTATTATTGGACTAGGAATACAACGATCCTATGCTATATCCAAGCTTGTCTCCCCAGGCGGTCGACTCATCCCGGGCGAAGCCATACAGGTGACGTTATCCTTAGCGCCTCAGTCATGGTGGGACGGGTAGCAGCGTAGCAAGAAAAATCGCCAGAGAATGGATGGATTCTCAGCACAGCACAAGGAGTTTGAGTAGAATTCATTGGGGCTGATCATCATTTACCATGAATAGCTTCGAATATATCATATTGGAATACATCAATATACATTATATACTTTTAAATGATCAAATCTGTATGATACGATAAAATCATCACCTTAACATACGTAACATGTATCATAAAACATTAAAACATGATACGTGATCTCGCTGAATCCTTAACCAACTATGGGCTTGACCATCAAACATATGGGGTTTCCTGCAAAAACATCCCACCAATTCAATCACTACGATCCATCATAACCAACTAATCATTTATATTGTGTGCTACACCATAGTACACCAATTCAGGGAATAGAGGTGACAACTAATCTCTTGTATATAAAATCATCATTCATATTATACCCTTTGGTAATTCAACATAGCTATGGAAAATCACGATGTTGAATGGGTAATTCATCCAAAAAATGGGCCATGACTTCCATAGCTTTGTTGAATTGTCGGAAAGTATCTTTGTGATATCATTGACCATATCATGTGTATTGGTCAGCAAACTTATGTGTATATATATATACACATGTATTATACATAAAGTAGTTATTCAGACTATTCTGATATTATGATGTTGGTAAAACCTCTTTTTTTCTCGGCAACACCTTTATTTTTCGTTCGTAAAACCTTGATTTTTTGGTAACACCTCCATCTTTTTTTGGTAACACGGTAAAACCTATCTTTTTGGTGGACAAAACCCTCCATTTTTCTCGGTAACTCCATTTTTGTTGGACAAAACCCATCCATTTTCCGGTGATCAAAGCTCTTTTTTGCTCGGGGCGCGGCGAGGTTCGTTTGGGTGAAGGTGGCGGCCCCACGAGGATCAGTCTGAGTGCCTATGCGGATGCCTCCATGAGCCAAGAAACGGCCAGGACGGGGACAACGGCCAGGTTGTCATAGTCACTACTTGGTGGCTCATCCCACTTAGTAAGTAGGTTATAACCCCAGTTATAAGTGGATTAACCCTACTTATCCCACTTATAACTGGGGTTATAACCTACTTGCTAAGTGGGATGAGCCACCAAGTATATCCCATAGGATCCATGGTGCTGCTATATATGGCAACATGGATCCCATCAATATACCCCCTTTATGTTAGCATATATACCAGCACCATGGATCCTATGGGTATGGGGTTTTCCTAAATTGGGGGTACCCCAAAATGGTTGGCAAAAAAGGGAAAGCCTACTAAAATGGATGATGACTGGGGGTACCCCCATTTCAGCAAACCTCCATATATGTTTTGGATGGTGACAGATTATGAAATATCATGTGTGGTTATGTAAGTCAATGAATTTTTGTTTGATGGTTACATTAGTAAGTCAATGAATTTTTGTTTGATGGTTACATTAGTAAGTCAATGAATCTTTGTTTGATGGTTACATTAGTAAGTCAATGAATTTTTGTTTGATGGTTACATTAGTAAGTCAATGAATTTTTGTTTGATGGTTACATTAGTAAGTCAATGAATTTTTGTTTGATGGTTACATTAGTAAGTCAATGAATTTTTGTTTGATGGTTACATTAGTAAGTCAATGAATTTTTGTTTGATGGTTACATTAGTAAGTCAATGAATTTTTGTTTGATGGTTACATTAGTAAGTCAATGAATTTTTGTTTGATGGTTACATTAGTAAGTCAATGAATTTTTGTTTGATGGTTACATTAGTAAGTCAATGAATTTTTGTTTGATGGTTACATTAGTAAGTCAATGAATTTTTGTTTGATGGTTACATTAGTAAGTCAATGAATTTTTGTTTGATGGTTACATTAGTAAGTCAATGAATTTTTGTTTGATGGTTACATTAGTAAGTCAATGAATTTTTGTTTGATGGTTACATTAGTAAGTCAATGAATTTTTGTTTGATGGTTACACTAGTAAGTCAATGAATTTTTGTTTGATGGTTACATTAGTAAGTCAATGAATTTTTGTTTGATGGTTACATTAGTAAGTCAATGAATTTTTGTTTGATGGTTACATTAGTAAGTCAATGAATTTTTGTTTGATGGTTACATTAGTAAGTCAATGAATTTTTGTTTGATGGTTACATTAGTAAGTCAATGAATTTTTGTTTGATGGTTACATTAGTAAGTCAATGAATTTTTGTTTGATGGTTACATTAGTAAGTCAATGAATTTTTGTTTGATGGTTACATTAGTAAGTCAATGAATTTTTGTTTGATGGTTACATTAGTAAGTCAATGAATTTTTGTTTGACGGTTACATTAGTAAGTCAATGAATTTTTGTTTGACGGTTACATTAGTAAGTCAATGAATTTTTGTTTGACGGTTACATTAGTAAGTCAATGAATTTGTGTTTGACGGTTACATTAGTAAGTCAATGAATTTTTGTTTGATGGTTACATTAGTAAGTCAATGAATTTTTGTTTGATGGTTACATTAGTAAGTCAATGAATTTTTGTTTGATGGTTACATTAGTAAGTCAATGAATTTTTGTTTGATGGTTACATTAGTAAGTCAATGAATTTTTGTTTGATGGTTACATTAGTAAGTCAATGAATTTTTGTTTGATGGTTACATTAGTAAGTCAATGAATTTTTGTTTGATGGTTACATTAGTAAGTCAATGAATTTTTGTTTGATGGTTACATTAGTAAGTCAATGAATTTTTGTTTGATGGTTACATTAGTAAGTCAATGAATTTTTGTTTGATGGTTACATTAGTAAGTCAATGAATTTTTGTTTGATGGTTACATTAGTAAGTCAATGAATTTTTGTTTGATGGTTACATTAGTAAGTCAATGAATTTTTGTTTGATGGTTACATTAGTAAGTCAATGAATTTTTGTTTGATGGTTACACTAGTAAGTCAATGAATTTTTGTTTGATGGTTACATTAGTAAGTCAATGAATTTTTGTTTGATGGTTACATTAGTAAGTCAATGAATTTTTGTTTGATGGTTACATTAGTAAGTCAATGAATTTTTGTTTGATGGTTACATTAGTAAGTCAATGAATTTTTGTTTGATGGTTACATTAGTAAGTCAATGAATTTTTGTTTGATGGTTACATTAGTAAGTCAATGAATTTTTGTTTGATGGTTACATTAGTAAGTCAATGAATTTTTGTTTGATGGTTACATTAGTAAGTCAATGAATTTTTGTTTGATGGTTACATTAGTAAGTCAATGAATTTTTGTTTGATGGTTACATTAGTAAGTCAATGAATTTTTGTTTGATGGTTACATTAGTAAGTCAATGAATTTTTGTTTGATGGTTACATTAGTAAGTCAATGAATTTTTGTTTGATGGTTACATTAGTAAGTCAATGAATTTTTGTTTGATGGTTACATTAGTAAGTCAATGAATTTTTGTTTGATGGTTACATTAGTAAGTCAATGAATTTTTGTTTGATGGTTACATTAGTAAGTCAATGAATTTTTGTTTGATGGTTACATTAGTAAGTCAATGAATTTTTGTTTGATGGTTACATTGCAATTGTTAGTATACCAATTTATGTTTGATGGTTATGTAAATTAGTCAAATCCCCTATGAGTAAATGGGGATGAATTGGATCATCGGGAGAAAAAAACATGAATTTTACGGTATTGGATAGTAAGTATGTTAGCATAGTATATCCCATAGGATCCATGGTGCTGCTATATATGGCAACATGGATCCCATCAATATACCCCCTTTATGTTAGCATATATACCAGCACCATGGATCCTATGGGTATGGGGTTTTCCTAAATTGGGGGTACCCCAAAATGGTTGGTAAAAAAAGGGAAAACCTACTAAAATGGATGAAGACTGGGGGTACCCCCATTTCAGCAAACCTCCATATATGTTTTGGATGGTGACAGATTATGAAATATCATGTGTGGTTATGTAAGTCAATGAATTTTTTGTTTGATGGTTACATTTGACTTACAAACAATGTTTAGATATGGTTACAATCATTGTTTGTTACATCAATTCATAATTGTTGTTTGATGGTTACATTTGAATTGTTAGTATACCAATTTATGTTTGATGGTTATGTAAATTAGTCAAATCTCCTATGAGTAAATGGGGATGAATTGGATCATTTTTGGAGAATTTACATGAATTTTGCGGTATTGGATAGTAAGTCATTCCCCGATATTCAGAATCTATTATATATGGATAAGAAAATTCCCCAACAGTTCTATAGATTTTAAATTACATGGATAATCTATGAGTAATCTATAATCCCATTCCCCCCATTCATATCAAATACTCCCATGGTCAATGGTTCTCCAAATATATCTAAATATGTGATATCATCCCCTGTTAGATGATGGTTTCTGGAAGCATTTAATATGAACGGGGAGTCTTGAATATGAATGGGGGAGGTATTTAACCATCCAATATCTGTTTTTTTCCAACAACACATTTGGAATTATATAATTATAGAACATGAATTATCAATTAAAATGGGAGTTGAACATTTTGGTAGTTTAGTCTAGCTTCATCATTTGCCATTTTGAGGCCCTGGGAATCACTGACTGGTCATTTTGGTGGTTAAATGAAGTCCTAAGAGTCCATAGGAGTCCGTGCTGACATCTGAAGATTTACTGTGACGACCCTATGTCGACCCTACCCATAGGATCCATGTATGCTATATATGGTAACATGGATCCCATCAATATACACATTTACCATCAATATACCCCCAATGTTAGCATATATACTATACATGGATCCTATGGGCTATGTCGACCCTGTTTCGAGAGGACCCAATCAACACCCTGATTTTCCCTGAGACCCGAGAGCTCTCTCAGCTTCCGCCAGGAGAATCAACTTTCTTCAGGGATTCCGTTTGCCGGGCGCTGCTCCTTGGCTCAGGGGTGGAGATCAACCATAAATCATCATAAATCCAATGGTTGGCCTAGCAAGAAGCCAGTTTACCTATCATAAATCAATTGTATCAACTGAATTTTCCTCATGTTTGCGGGTGAAATGATTGCTGGTTATATCTGGTTATATCAGCTTTGTACCTTATGTAGCGCCTTTGGAGAGCCTTTTTGTTGCCGCTGTAGGCAATGGCAAACAACCTGCAGCTGTGGAGCGAACGCGTGGTGGAACATTGGAGCCGTGACAGTACCAGCTGTGGTTTAGCTTGGCTGTGGGGATAGATCCAAATCTTGCAGTTTTATCGATGTAATGGATGATGTGGTTTTAATATCCAATGTGGTTTTAATATCTAATGTGGTTTTATTATCCAAATCCAATGTGGTTTTAATATCTAATCACTTATTATGTGGTTTTGATATGGATGTAATACATTGTAATACTTTATATTTGTCTAAAAAAGTAGTTTATGTCAATATAAATAATATGCAACTTCATATACTTACTCTCCGAACAACATCAAACGTGGCAATGGAAGATCATTAGGAAGATTCCACTTGCCACGTCTGATTTCCGCAGGGTGTATATACATATCGGGTTACACTAGATACAAATTGCATACTATATACTGGTATGATTCAAAACATATGATTCATATATGATTGTCCCATCTATATACCCTCTGGTAAACTAATACAACTACGGAAAATCACCATGTTTCATGGGAAAATCAACTATTTCTATGGTCATTTTCCATATGTAAACAAATTACCAGAGGGTAAATGGCAACATCCAGAAAACCAGGGTGAACTGACCAGTAATGTGACGGACCCGGTCGCTTAAAAATCATCGATCTTTGGTCGTCATGAAAATTGCGACCCGCGAGTTGCCAATGATTAGCGGAAAACATCAGGATTCCACTGACTTATCTAACTTTTATCATCACCAAACCCAAACACAACTCGCTATTCGCTACGCACCACTTGCCTCAAGGATGGGCGTACAACTCGACTCCGTGAGCCCGTTGCTGCCATGCCATACCAACACGCCGCCTGGCGGAATTCGATGTGGGAAAAACATGGCAATTTGCCTCTGGTAATTTGACATCGCAAATGAACACATGTTTTTTTTGTGTAGTATAGATGCTTTTCGTCAATATCGTTCAGAACCAATATATATATATATAAATATCGTTGAATTTGGAACTTGAGATGTGTTACTAGCTGTGTTGCCGTCAAACAAAGTCTGACCCGGTAGTCTGCACCTGCCACGCTATTTTTTGCGCAAAGGTTGGCAAGATTCGAGATCTTTGTGAAGGTCACAAGGCTCCTCAACAGCAGTGATTTTTTGAAACCAAGAACGGGACTGGACTTCAGGGCTACAGTAAGTTGTTTTATTGGGATGAAGTGCTGGTGTTTGCCTGGTGATGTTCTGCAGTTTACCAACCCTTCGGCAAAATCACACAACTGGCAATGGAAAATCCGCAAAAATTCTTCGCCAGGTGTTTCCACTAAAAATATCCCCATTCACAGCGGATTTCTCGTTGCTGTATTTGATCACCCAAGGGTATCTTAGTTGGTTGGTGGTTTAGAACATTTTTATTTTTTTTCCATATATTGGGAATAATAATCCCAACTGACTATATAATATGTTTCAGAGGGGTTGAAACCACCAACCAGTTAGTTGATAGTCTTATAGTAGTCCGCCAGCTTGCCGTGATGCAATGTACGGCTCAGTTGATGAAACCCAAACGAGTTTCAGGAAGGCTCTGGCTAAGACAAGGAATGATAAAATGATGCGATAAGTGGGTTCGGTTCAAATTAGGATACCCGGGTACCCCTTGACAACTTGATCCCCTGGTTATATAGTCATGATTTTGATATATTTTTTGATATGCTGATTCAACTTTGGTCATTCAAATGTCATATTTTGATATATGGTGTCTACCATTGCCCCAGTTTCAGACACATGATGATGACATGTCCATAGTCCACCTCTACGTGTCCTTCAAGAATTTCTTCGCTTTTCTGAGGTTCATTCTGGAAGGCGATGCCATCATCTTCACGTGCCCTGGGTTAAAAACCTGATGGGAACATCATCATTCAAGAAATTTTCAGAAAGAGCTGATGTTGTTCAGGTCTAGTACCAAACCATCCATGCTGGTTGGTGCTTTCAAACAGGAATTTTATTTTCCATTTCATATATAATATATATATATGGGATAATCCTTCTCATTGACGAACTCATATTGTTCAAGATATTTCAAGATGGTTATTGCACCACCAACCAGATGGAAAATGGTCCATTTATAGATGATTTTCCCATTGAAACCTCCATTTTTTGGGGGATTTTCCATTCTTCGGCCGCGCCACGAACAAATCATCCGAGGAACAGTGTGCCGTTTGGCATGGCCCCGTGGGAGCCCTCCACGGAAGCGGGCTACGAGCCGGAGATGGTGATGTGCTTGGGAAATCACGGACAGCTTGGCAAAAAGGGCGGCTGGTGAAATTCTCGCATGACTAGGAAGCTTTTCGTGTTGTGGGTTTTTTCTCTGTGAAGAAAGATGTATGAGGATTCAGATGTAGGATGAGTACTTTTATTCCAGGATATGAAACAAATAAAAACAAATAATTGGTTGAATCGCGGTGTAGATGACCCTGGCGTAGCCACAACAAGTAATGTTGGCTTCTGGCAGCCGAGATGCGTCTCCAACACCAAAATCAGTTTCCTCTGCCACAAGTTACTCTGTGGCTTGGGGATTCTGAGCCTATTGAACGATATTCTGACTTTTATTGGATCATGGATTTTAGATGATTCTATCATGGCACCAGACTTTCCATCCTTTGGGACACCACTTCTATCCTGGGATCTCATGAGCATCAGGTGTTTATATATGTGTCCTTAAAAGTGCTGTTTCACTTGTTTTTTTTTTGTTTCGGACCCTTGCCGCGTCCTCATTGGTTCCTGGCCTTGGCCCGTTCCAGGAGGAGTGGCGGAGAATGGGACAAGGCTCTGCAGTGGAGATTTGCAACCCGTGAACGTCACCAGCCTGTCGGTGATTCGACCCTTGGTTGAGCCATTCCCTGCAACGGGATGCCCGAATCTATAGTGAAGTTGTATTCAAAAACAGAAAAACAAATTACTTTACTTCGTGTGATCCCCACCATGACATTTATACATTTTGTTACTGGCAAATCTTCTGGCATTCTATCTGACATATTTTCTGGCATTCGATCTGGCATTCTATCTGGCATATCTTCTGGCATTCTACCTGGCATATCTTCCGGCATTCCATCTGGCATTCTATCTGGCATATCTTCTGGCATATTATCTGGCAAATCTTCTGGCATTCCATCTGGCATTCTATCTAGCATATCTTCTGGCATATTATCTGGCAAATCTGCTGGCATTCTATCTGGAAAACATTCTGGCACTTTATCTGGCATATCTTCTGGCATTCTAGCTGACATTCTATCTGGCATTCTATCTGGCATACCTTCTGGCATTCTATCTGGCATATCTTCTAACATTTTATCTGGCATATCTTCTGGCACTCTATGTGGCATATCTTTTGGAGTGGATACTCGCGGTTGAGGTCCGGCAGGGGACACTGGGCGTGGATGGTCGTGGTTGAGGTCCGGCAGGGAACACTGGGCGGGGATACTCGCGGTTGAGGTCCGGCAGGGAACACTGGGCGTGGATGGTCGTGGTTGAGGTCCGGCAGGGAACACTGGGCGGGGATGGTCGTGGTTGAGGCCCGGCAGGGAACACTGGGCGTGGATGGTCGTGGTTGAGGTCCGACAGAGAACACTGTGCGTCGAGGGTCGCGGTTGAGCAGGAGGAGGAGGAGGAGAGGAGAGGAGGAGAGGAGAGGAGAGGAGAGGAGGAGAGGAGGAGAGGAGGAGAGGAGGAGAGGAGGAGGAGGACGAGGCAGGAGGCAGGAGGCAGGAGGAGGCAGGAGGAGGCAGGAGGAGGCAGGAGGAGGCAGGAGGAGGCAGGAGGAGGCAAGAGGAGGCAAGAGGAGGCAGGAGGAGGCAGGAGGAGGCAGGAGGAGGCAGGAGGAGGCAGGAGGAGGCAACTGACATAAAATCTAACAACCCTCACCTGGCAGGTGGGGAAAAAACAATAAAAAGGCTTGGAAAGCAGTGAAAATATGTGAGCATTCCATATTCACTCTGGGTTTACTAGTGAGTTTTACATGGTTTAACATGGTTTGGAATCAAAGTATTGAACATTCGCCGACCTCAAAGAGATGATTTTCAACTTGATTTCAGATAAGAGAAGCGGTGACGTTCCAGGAAAACGGAAAAAGACCAGGTGACCAGTGGTGACCAGGTCCTACAAAAATTGATGCACATCAGAAGATGCTGGTTGTTTTGGAGGATCTGTGCCATAGGAAAGCTTTCGACTTTGACTGGCGTCGCAAACCGCTTGGATTCGGTGATTTATCTTCGTTCAATGCGAATGGCCAGACGGCTAGACCAAACCATCTAGAATTTAAGTCAAAATTGCAATGTTATAGGGAATATCCGATATATTTCCCATTTCTGGGCAAAAATCTACCGGGTTCTCCATTGTCCGTGACCGATCCCCACACAATTTCCATGACCCAGTGGGGCCAGGAAACAGCGTGGGCATTGGCATCGGTGTGCAGTTGGTGCTGGGTTCCATGAGACCGGAGTTCGTGCTGTCGCAGGACCGCCGTGGCGCCGACGCTGGTCCCGGGATTGGATGAAGGTAGAGTAGGAGTAGTAGTAGTAGTCGTAGTCGTAGTCGTAGTCGTAGTCGTAGTCGTAGTCGTAGTCGTAGTAGTCGTAGCAGTCGTAGTAGTCGTAGTAGTCGTAGTAGTCGTAGGAGTGGGAGTGGGAGTGGGAGTGGGAGTGGGAGTGGGAGTAGGAGTAGGAGTAGGAGTAGGAGTAGTAGTAAATTCTACTGGAAAAAATAGGTGTAGCAGCAACATTTTTAATAATTAATGGGATGTCCTGTAAAAATGTTCCGTTGAAACAATCCAATGAGCATACAGTTATGAGATTGGTTTGGGCACAGTGTACCTGCGGGGTAGCTTATCTACTGCCAGGTTAGACAACGGATTTGACAACGGATCAATTAATCCACATTCGCTGCCTGAAAAGCGCTCTTGGGTCAACTTGTTTGATTTCATTTTGGGCCATAACTGATGAAGATTGGTGTGTTTGGTGCCCAACTTGTGGGCATAGAGTAGCGGGCCAGGTGGTACTGTGAGGCAGAATGCAACGCTGGCGGCTGGGTTTTGACTTAAAATGATAGACTTTTTTGATACCCACAAAAGATTCCTCTCCACTATCAGGACCCCTAGGGGTCTGCCAAAACAATTTTTTTGACAGCCTATGTGCCTGCAAGGATGTGCAATTACGGGTTCCTGATTTTGGAGAGGAGCATTTTGTAGATGGCTGAAACTGTAGGTTCCTCATTTTGGGGTTTGTCAACATTCAAATATGCAAATTATATTGGTTTTACAGGTTTCTCATTAGAGCAAAATGGTGGAACACTGGAATACATGTTTTCGACTTGCTTGCTCAACGCCCGCTCCTGTCGGAAATGTGGAACAGGAATTTCCCTCTACAAAAAATGGACTTTTGTACATTTCAGGGTTTTCAGGGGAGACCAAGGTTCTTTCACGTCACATCACCCCTCTACAAAAATGGACCTTTGTATTTTTGAGGGCTTGCTTTGTTGCAGGTAGCCATTCTGCTTATGTGTGCGCATGCCAGGTTCCCCACTTTCTAGAGGCCAGTGGTTCTTATAATCCTAAAAGTGCACCAAAAAAAGCGGGTTGGGTGCCCTGATTTTGTAGAGGCAACATCTTGCTACATTTTTGGCAGGTTCCTCATTCTGTAAGGGCCTGGGGCCCCCAAAAACAGATTTGGCTCTACAGAATGGGAACACCCAACCCCCCCAGTGCAATATTTGGGGGTATTTTTTTTGTGTCTTTTTTGATGTTAGATATCCACGGATATCCAAATATTTGATACAACTCCGTAAGCCGGATAATTCTAAAATGATATTTCCGATGGTAAGCCAGTATTTTGACTAATTTGACATAGCTCCTTGCAGATCATCTGTGCTCTACCCTCCGGTAATCAAGAGTAGTAATTGAACATATCCCATGTACAGCTGATGCTCCATGATTTTACCATTAAAAAGAACATTCATGTGTTATTTCCAATTGCCATGTTTGATGATACCGAAGGGTATATCCGAGTATATTTCATTAAATGTCGTGATATCCTTGTCATGGTTGATATGGTGGTTTCCATAAATGGGGGTACCCCCAGTCATCATCCTAATTTTAATAGGATGTTCCATTCTAAACCATCCATTTGGGGATAGCTCCATTTGTGAAAACACCCATGTATCCGATATTATCCCCAAATATCCCCAAATTATATTCCCATTATAACCCCAAGTAATCACCATTTCTGGTGGGTTTTTTCGAGCACAGGAGAGCTTGCTTCAAGTCTCAGGAGCTCTACAGCTCGAAGGTGAGCTTTGGATTTCCCCCATTTTGGTTTTGGATTTTGGATATAAAATATGCTGACTGACATCTCAGTCTAAATCATGTATATGTAATTTTTTTGTTTATGTATATGTATATATATATATATATGTCCATAAGTATATATATATATATACACATATACATGCATATGTATATATATATATATATATATATTATATAGATATCAAATTCATGGCTTAAGGCGGAAAAAACCATGGATCATCATGAGTGGATTTTTGTTTCGTGTCGCAAGGCGACTTGGGCTCGCGGGATTTGGCGATGGAAGCAAACCGAGACTACCGATTGCGTGGCTTGGCGATCGATTGGTGACTTGGGGATGAAAAAATGTCAGCCACAACTGCTTACCATCCCTCCAATTATCATACTTGCCGAACCAGGGGGTTGGAAAATTAGGGTCTATGTAAATTCACTGGGGGGTAAGTCGATCGACAGATACATATATATATATAATATATATATATATATATATGCTGGTTGGTGGTTTGGAACATGAATGTTATGACTTTCCATTCAGTTGGGAATGTCATCAATCCCATCTGACGAACTCATATTTTTCAGAAGGGTTGGTCAACCACCAACCAGATAAAGATGGTGATGACTTGGAGATGATGCACTTGGGTTTAGCATGGTTTACCACATTGCAATTGGATGCTTGGTGGGGTGGAATGATTCCAGGTGCCTTAGACTACAGATTGATGACGTGAACATGTTCGGCACATGCTTGTGATTGGATTGCGGTTGGACCACGGACCATGCCGTGACCTGAAGAGAAAATAATTAAATAGTTTTTTCATAGCCCTTTGTGGTAATTATGAGAAAAGACAAGTGTGATCCATGAATCCATCACTAGGTATCTCCATTCCGGGCCTCGCGTCCAATCAGAGATTAGCATGATATATGATGATATATGTACTTGCATGACCATCTGGATGAGATACCTCAATAGCTTCCCCCGTAAATTGTCGTACATATAATCACAACATGACCCAATGATACCTAATGTATATATACATATATATATATCTAATTATATCTATTTAATACATATATATATACACAATACATGTGTATATATATATGCATATCAACAATATGCACAAATATATATGTATATAATTATCCTATATTATCTCACAACATTATCTAAAAAATCCCTTTTTCAGTGGTGAAACTTGTGGAGTTTCCTTGGGCCAGGACTTTGGCTTCGTGCCTCTCCGGCTCCAACGCTGTGGACGATTCGCACCGAGGATGTGCCCCGGCCTGGCCTTGATTCTCCGGGGAGAATCACATGTGATATTCGCAGTATATTCCATACAATCTGGGTAAGTTATAACGACCTCACTACGACCTCACTGGAATCATGGTTAGTATGGGAAATCATCCCAAAACGGCCGAACTATTCAGGTTAGTGAAATATTATCATTTACCCAGATACAATGGATTAAGGGGATAATATTTATGGTTATATATTAATTGTGGGGATATTTTATACTCCATTGGTTTGGTTAATAGATAGAATTTTTGTATATGGTGATATTTTATCCATTAACCAAACTAATGGTAATAATATGTTATAATTAATGGTTCTAGTCAACCATGGATTAATAGACTGTATTGGTATACATATAAGTATAATTGTGTTTTTTAGTTTAGACATGGTTTATCCTATGGTTTACCATGGTTTAACCATCATGATTTTTTGATATAATATAACTTACTGGTGCTAAACGTAGGGAATGGATGGGTTGCTGGGGGTTGCTGGGGGTTGCTGGGGGTTGCTGGGGGTTGCTGGGGGTTGCTGGGATGATTATTAATTACCAGTGATTATGGATCATTCCCGAAAATTCCCTGCGTTTAGCACCAGTAAGATGAATGTTGGTAAAACATGGTAAAACAATAAACCATGGTAAACCCAATCAACAAGAATTTACCCACATTAATGGGAATATAAATTAATAGTAAACAATTTTTACCCAATCTTCATTTAATGGTGATGAAGCAGGAAAATGAATGAATCACCATTCATCACGGGAATTCCCTCACCATTTAAAGTATGGTGAATATGAATAACATTAACTGGTGATATTACCCACAGAATCGTAATATATTGTTCCCATTAATGTGGGTACAGCAATGTCATTTAAACCATCCCCCAAATCACCATTTTAATAGGTGGTATAAACCATTTCCAGTCATGGGTGGTTTATGACAATGAAATGGTGGTGATGAATGAGAATGGAATGGTAATTCAGGTCAGGGAATTACATGGAATTTCTATAATATACCAAAATTGGGGGGGGTAGCATCAACCCAAGATCAACCATAAATAGTGCTCTATGAATATCACTGATCATAATTATCAATCAGCAATACAATAATATCAACGAATATAAGCAAATCATAATCAGATAACAATCACGACAAAAATATCATTTATCTTGTGATATTATTTTCTCGTGTAAATAACCAAATACATTTATTTAATGGTCATCATAATTGGTATCAAACATAGTTTTCGAATTGTCAATTACCAACACATAATGTAACAAATGTTCATGACCAACAGAAACATATTTTCATGGATATTATATATATATATATTTATGTACCGCAAAGATTAAATATTATCATGGATCTATATTTATTGTGTGATCATATATTGTATAACCTTATATCATATAACTGACTGTCACCATCAAACATTATACGATATTATTTGATATTACATATGACGCAATATATCATATAATTAATCAATGTATTGTGTTATATACTATCAACTTGAAAATACTTGTTATACACCATGATCTTAAACATAACATAATATCCATTGACATATCATAAAATATATTTTGTTATACCATATACAACATATATGTTGATATATTACAAGGTTGAGAAAATGTCGTAACCATTTTCTTGCAATCTTATGACATTCAAATCGTAAAATTTTGATCATGTTACAACCATGAAACTTATGATACCTACTAAGGTTGATAGTTATGATCAACAATTGTACCCTCTGGTCATTTAACATAGCCATGGAAAATGGTTCATTTATAGATGGTTTACCTATTAAACATGGTGATTTTCCATGGCTATGTTAGTCATAACCAGATGGTAACTATCCTGCCATATCCGCAGGTCCGTGGTTTCCTGTCCAACACCAACGATGGGCTCTTGCCGGGCGTGCTGGCAGTGCCCGCAACGTGGCGGAAATGACGGGGAAGTGACCTGAAAACACGAGGAATCGCCTTCTGGTTATTTAACTTGGCTAAAATCACATTTTTTAATAGGTAGATCATCGTGTTAATCATCTATAAACTGGTTATTTTCCATAGCTATGTGAAATAGCTAGAGGGTACACCTCCATACATTGGGTTTTTTGCCGATTTAGCCACAAAAAACATTTTTTTTCTGTCAATTTATGAAAGGAAATACCATCTGGTTATTTAACAAAATTTAACATAGCCATGGAAAGATCCACAATTTTTCAGTTCGGTAAACCATCTATTTTTCAAATAACCATTTCCCATGGCTATGTTAAATAACCAGAGGGTAGGTTAAACAAAGAAATTTTGAACTTCATGATGTCATTGATTTCACCCAAGGGCGGGAGTTCAGACGTTTTTTCAGGTCCTGGGTCCGTGCAACTGGGGTGTAAAGAACCCATTGTACGACGTAGGTGGACATATAATTCATATTTAATTCATATAATGGGAATGTATAAGATATATGGCAGTGTGTCAAAACCAATAGTACCCCTTTTTGGTTCACATCAAAATTTAGCTGGGATGGTAAATGGATGTGTTCATAACCCACTAAAAATATGGTATTTTCATAGGTATTGATCCATAGGTATGTCCCTGTCGCTTAGGAGATGAGCATCACCGTGACAGCGTTGCCCCTTGGCATCCCATGGCATCCCTTTACCAAAATGACCCAGTGGAAATCGTTGATTTTCCCATGAAAAATGGTGATTTTCCAGTAAAAAATGGTGATTTTCCGTTATGTAAACGTTGACCAGGCCGGGTATCCTTGTCTTTTCTGCAAACTCGTCCCTGCGGTTCGCAGCGCGCGAGGCTCACACGAAGCCCACCAGAGTCGGCGGTCTGGGTGCGGATTCACATCCTGACAGGGCAGGAACAGCACTGCGGCTGCAGGGATTGGTCGAGTGGTTGAAACGATTTGGAGGGGATGAAGGTCCCAATAACCCCCAATGCTCCATGTATGGTATATTTACCTACATTTGGGTGATTTATGGGGTAAATCTTGGTAAATATTCCATACATGGAGCATATGGGAACGGCTATTTAAGCGTGGAAAGAGTATTGGGGTTTAGACTCAAACAGCATCCAGACAATGTCCGAAGATACAGATGAGTCAAAGATAGTCAAAGTCGTCCCCCAGGAACGGTGGGTTTATTCAGTGATTCCTTTCTGAACACGACCCGATTTTGTGGATCCATTTCGACCCGTCTCCAAAAGTGTAATTGGACGTGCACCTGAAAGGGGTTACTTTATGGTTACGACATGTTAGTTATCCCACTTTTAAAATCTTTTAAATGTGATGGGTTCTTATGACCACTTATGATCCTTAGGTTTCTATCACCATTGCCCAAAAAAAGGTCGCAGTTCAGCCGCCTTCAGCTGCTGATGCCCTTCGGCTTCTCTCCAGTGGGTGCAGAAGCTCAAGCTGGAAAACGTCTGATCGTTGAGCTCTCCCTGGAACAAGGACAAGGCGAAGCACCTTTTGCATGGCGTTTTTTGCGCTTTTTTTTTGATGACTTGGGGGTTGTCCTATGTGGAATAGCCACAATTTGTAGATCATTTTCCAGATGACACCAATCGGACACCATTTGGGTGAAACCACATCTACATTACCCCAGGATACCCCTGAAATGCTGTGGCATTTTGTTGATTTGGCCAAAGCGAATTGCCATGAATTGCCTGAAAATCCAGCATACGCAGTGGTTGTACAATCCCATTGAATGTGCAGACATGAAACATGTTCATATAGTTGATTCCTTGTTTCCTTGTGGACCATATTGAAATGGATACGACTTAGATCTTGTGGTACGTCTGTGCACATCTTCACTGAAAATAGGTGACAAAGATGAGCAGCAAAATCCCAATGATTTTTCTGAGGCGTAACGTGATTAGATCAGCCAGAAGATTCTTCGACCTGAACCACACTTGACAAACTGCTACAGATTGTTGCATTGAGAATTTGAATTTTCTGCAGGCATCCTGGATTCTGTCACTGGCATGACCTTTGATTTGTGGCTTGGCTTCAGCAATGTCAACAAATTCGCTGCATCACTGGGTGGTGTAGCTGGTAAAGTTAGAACATGTTAGAACCAAGCTGGTAAAGTTGTACTTTGGATTTCTTAAACATTATATAACATTATGATATGCTATGGATTGCTATGGTGAGTTCAAAACCAAGTTGCGATTTTGGCGATTTTGGCGTGATTCCATAGCTTTCAAAGTCCATAGCGTGTTCACTGGCTTGATAAAAGAATCTGCAGAATCAGATTTGGGGGTTTTTGAAACCCATCAACAACGGGATACTAACCTCAAGCAACAATAATCCAATCATATCTAATATGAATGGTTTGTGTAGGGAATATTGAGTGATTCTATTGCGCAATATGTATGAGTTGCAGGGATTTGTAGGACTTTGTAGGGACTGTCAAAAGGGATCTCCAGGAATTGTATAGGGAATATTGATTATGGCTTCATGAAAATCATTAACCTGGGAAATAGTACAAAATATTATAAGAGTATGTACAAGTGATAAACCTGAGAATATCCAAAAAAAGTGATCCATAGTGACCCATAGTGACCCATAGTGACCCCCAGGAAATATGTTGGGCTTAAGCATCACCAGGATACTGAAGAATTCCATCGACTGCAGGCGGATCCAAACCCCTGCAGCGAACGTGATGGATGCTCGATGGTTCGTACTGGCCAAGCAGGCGGGGAAAAATGTGGCTCCCCTGGAAGTTTGAGTTGTCAATATTTTTCCGATTCAAAATGCGAAGTAGTGACTTAGTGCAAGATCTTCACTTCCATCACTGTTTCAGTTTTTTATCCAAAGATCAGCAGGATGTCTGGATGCTAGCTTGAATTGACATCAATCATCATCAAGAAATGATTGTCATAAGATCAATCTGATATTCATAATCTATATTCCTTCATAATCTTTCAATATTTGATTCATGTATTTGCTATATTTTGCTATGATATCATGAATTATTGTTGTGTAATCATAATGTGATATTTGCTATATTTATATTTTGCTATGATATCATTCATGTGATATTTTGCTATGATATCAATATGTGATATCAATGCGCTATTTTGCTATCATATTGATCTCATTTTCTCCAGTCTTACCCATGTCTAACCCCTGGCAGGTAATCCAAGACGATGTCACTGGGCAGATCGAGGAACCGGTGAACGGCTGGGCCATGGTGGATGGCTTTGGTGTGTCGCCCTGCCCGGTGACGCTGATGTATGGCGCCTCGGGCAGGAATGGAAAACGCGTGTTGAAGATCTGGGCAGATGGAATTTGATGGAATTTTTAGGGTGATTTTTCCACTCCCAAATCACCATAAATCATAAATCATATAGGATAGGTGGTACAAAACCATTCCCAAATGGGTATATAAATGGGTGATTCATCATTGTTTTACCCACATTAGTTTCAAGATAATTCTTGATATCTTCTTGGGTGGTGAATTTTCGTGGATTTTTCACATGTCCAACTGGGCTAAGGATCTATTGCCGAGGCCACAGGCACGGCGGGGCGCATCAGCGCTTGGTCGCCAGGTGGCGTACGGTGGATGGTTGCGAAATCCAAATCACCAGTTGATAGGTTGTAAAAATTGCACTATTTACTGGGTTTCAGTTTCAACCATCCGTTTGGTGGTGCAGGATTTCGCAACCATCAACAGTGTAGATATTTCCTTGCGAGATTAGGCTCACTTGCTAGCAACATCAAACACAAGTCAGCACAGCCAGTTCGTCCAGTCTTTTTTGGATGTGAAAGGTCGAACCCACAGAACCAAAACATCGCGCATGCCCACATGAATTTGATCGACAGGTTGGCTTGCGATGTCCTTCTACGTACCCAGATCTGTCCAAGGCAGATGAAAGTGTTAGACATGTGCTCGGTGATCAGATTTTTCGATCTAGAATCTATAGATGAATCTATAGAACTTACGGCGAAAATGGGTGTGTCAAGGACCCACTTTTTCTTGGTAAGAGTCTCAATGTTATTCTCAAGTAAGTCTTTGATAGATTTGGAAATCCGGGTAGATGTTCAGACTCTTGACTAAGAAACCTTGGGTACAGTACAGTAGTGGTTCTTATGATTGAAGGTCAGTGGCCAGTGGTGCACAGTTAAGATGTAAATTTTCCACAAGTCGTCAATTCATACAGGGACATAACCCTCATTGAACAACAATTTTGATCCAACACAATCCAACATACTCGTAGGTAAATGATGACACTATTATGTGATTATATGTCAATGTACCGGAATATATATATATATATATATTATGTATATCAAATATGACTGATAAGTGGTATAAACAAATCAGCCCTGAACATCCCTGAACTAGTTGAGACATTTCAGAACATCAATGGCCATGCAACGCGCCCAGGACGCTTCGTGTTGATCACAGCACCGCAAGACTTTGAAGTCAAGTGCCCGCAGGTAGGGTGGGTTCCCCCCTGCTGGGATGCAGGCGGAGTCCGTAGTCGTAGCTTCCTGGATGATTCCAGATGTTCGGTTCCCGAAAAAAGCTTTGGAATGAATCTCAACAAAGCAAGCCATTGAATATTACATTTGTATATATTTGTTGATCATCTCCACTATAAAAAACGATGCAATAAATTGCAATAAGATATCCCCCATTGGTTTTACATCATGACCTCCCCATAAAATGCTGATGTCATAAACTGTCATAAGATATCCCACATACCCTCTGGTGAACTAACATAGCAATGGAAAATCACCATTGTGAGTTTGACCTGTCTAATGTATATTTTGTATAGCCAAGTGATCACATGCCCCCGTTGACATTTGGCTTTAGGGCCCTTGAGTCATACCGCGCTGCCGTGGTAAAAGTTGGGCATTTGACGATCCCGTTTCCAATTCATATTGGTAGCGGAGCGGGTGACGACCCGCATCCGGTGGTACGTCAGTGACCCAGGGAACCCTTTGTGAATTTGAGTCTGGTAACTTTGGGAATCAACTGAACTTCGAGTGTGTCGTGGTTCGGGAATCTGTCTGACCCTGACCAGGGCAGACACTTGTTAACGTTTTTCCTTGTTCGACTCCGAACGGAGCGAGCATCATGTCGATCAATGGCCTTCGTTTCAATCAGGAGCGCCATTCGTCGGCACCACTTGAGACGAAGAGTGGCTCATACATCTATGCAGGTGATGCGGCGAACTTTCATGATTGGCAGTTCAGGACTCTCCTTCGGATTCGTCTTTATGAGCAACAATTGGAGGAGGAGACAAGTAAGCCTGCGGATCCCGTTGGGACCACAGCAACAGAGCCTGCCGCAGAAGATGCAGATGAGTATGCTACTTTTCCAGATTTGTCGGGTGCTACTCAAGCAGCCCAGCCTACATCAGCAGTCTCGACTCCGAAGTCTGGAGCGAGCCGAAAATCCTCGAGGTCCGGCAAGCAGAAGACAGACATTGATCGTGGACCATTGGTTAACAAGGTGATTGAAGGACTGAGAGGAGATGCTTTCTCAATAGCTAGGGATCTTGGACTTGAAGTGTTGTCCAAACCTGGTGGCCTTGTGAAACTTGTGGGTGAGATCAAATCCCATGTGTTTCCAAGAGCCCGTGAGGAAGCCAAGGAATTATTTCGAGCAGGACAGAAGCAAGGTGGTCCTTTGTCTCGCCAACCAGGCGAACCCATGCTTTCCTATGTTCAGAGGAGACGACGTTGGTGGCACATGCTATGCGAGTTGGATGACACAATGGTGTTTTCGGACAGCTTGAGGACAGAGTTGATGTTAGAGTTGAGTGGGCTCAATCGACAGGAGATCCTCGTTGTGAAGGCCTGTGCAGACACTAAGGATTTTGAAGGTGTTGGCAAGGTGCTGATCGAGAACTACAGTGGCACTCACTTGCGAGAAGGGTCACGATCCTGGACAGGACGTGGTAATCCTCAACAGCATGGCAAGTCGTCAGGCAAAGGTTATGGCAAAGGCAAACCTTCTTCGAAGGGATCGTATTCCCAAGCAGCCTATGCAGCCTACCCCGATGATGGGGAGGAACATGCAGAATCTTGGGATGAAGCTGTGGATCAATCCTGGGAGGATGATTCATATGTTGGCATGCTTGGTGACATTGCAGAAGAGGAGCCAGGAAACCTAGAAGGTGACAACGAATTTGATTACTTTGACGACGTCGATGAGTACGAAGCAGTTGCATTGAACAGCTTGCTTGAAGTTGAAGGTGCAGAAGACGATCGACAAGCAGGAGACGCCATCCAGCTACAACTTGCTGCTTTCACCGCAATGGGGAAAGCAGGTGGCAAGGGCAAATCCTTCGGGAAGCCCAAAGGAAAGGGGAAAGGAAAGATCGTGAAGTCCAACCTCACGATCGATCAGAGAAGACGGAAGCTCACAGAGCTGAAGTCGAAGAGCAAATGTTTGAGATGCGGAGTCATAGGGCACTGGGCCGGTGACCCGGAATGTAAATTCCCGGGGTCGAAAGCCGGAGCCCCTGGAAAGTCAGCCCCAAAGCCCGCAGCTCACTTTGCCGACATGAGCGATTCTTCAGATGACGATGGTGTGACTTTGACGGCTTCACCTGATCGTGACAGAGATGGAGTTGCTATGATGGCAGTTCGACAAGCAAAGCCCAGCAGTCGACCTTCACGTGCAGCAGCGTCCAGCAGCAACGTTGGCTTGATTTCCCGGGATCTCGATGTTACAATGAGACCCGAGGATCATGGGTGCATCTTTCCTGTTGGACAATTCAGGGGTTTGTCGTTTTGGAATGTGTTGTTTGAACAGACAGGGTACTATCATCATGCCAAGAAACATACCCCCAAGAGTCCATACTATGTCACATGGTTGAATTGGGTTGACAAATACTTTGTGGTTGGTGCTGATGGGATTCACTTGCGCGAAGTCCCTGTTGAGCATGTCGAGCACCGAGATTTGTTGGTGGCTCGGGGAACTGGCAGAAAGAAACCCCCAAATCCTCCTTTGCCGAACAAGTGTCAGGAATGTCGTGAGTTTACAAAACAAGGTTCTACGGGGTACACCATCAGGAAGACCTGTCTTGTGTGCGGTCATTCCGAAACAACAAGGCGTGACATGGTACCGTTGATGTCCCCTGAGAATTGCCCTCATGATGACACCGATTTTAGGGGATCCAGCAAATCAACACACCGTACCTTCTGCAAGAAGTGTTGCACTTTCATTGATGAAGCTCCTATGCAGATTCGCAAGGAGCGTATTGCCATTGCCAAGAAGGTTGAAACAGCATCAGTTCGAACAGTCCCCATTGTTGAATCATTGGTTGAAGAATCGGATGGATTGAATCCAGTCCAGTTGGAAGAATTGTTGCCCCTGTTTGCCACTCTTGTTACCGAAACCTGTCAATCTGAGGTCATGACCCGTGCACGTCTACATGAACTACTCCATCAAGCCATCAATGACGTGACAGAGGAAGAGGACAGTTTTTCTCTTGTCAATGAAGATGGGCACGGCGACCCCTCGGGCAGGGAGTTAGCTGGGTACGTTGGCATTTGTTTGCATGGAAGTGACATTCAATACCCTCAAGACTTGGTTTACATGAACTTTGAAACTGTTGACATTGCCAGGTCATCCCATGTCTTTGCAGTGTTGGATGAAGGTTGCAACAGCACTTGTCATAGCAAAGCCTGGGCAGTCGATGCAGAAGCACGACTGGCCCGTTTGGGTTACAGCATGCCATTGAAGGATGACGGTTGTAAGAGTTTTGCTGGTCTGGGAAGTGGTAGTACCAAGACCGAAGGTGTGAGATCTATTCCTTTTTCGCTGCTGCTTCCAGACGGGAACATGAATGGGGAGTTGGATTCATATCAATTGTCAACAGGCAACAGCCCATTGCTTCTTTCATTGCATGCGCAAACCAAGTTAGGCCTAGTGAAGGACCTAGCAAAAGGGGTGATTTCCATCAAAGATCAACCATTGAATATCAAGAGATGTTCCAAATCAGGTTTACTTGTGATGAACTTGACTGAAGGATTGACCAACATCATCAACACACCACCAAATGAGCTTCCCAAAATTCCAAAGTGTCATAGAAAGTATAACTTGGCGTACACTGCATCGACAAGTGACTGCGCCATGGCCGATCACGATCAGACTGGTTTTCATTCAAGGGACTATGACGTCTTGCAATCGAAACTGAATGAAGAACAGCTTAGCAACAGACAGGTGATCATTGTGACTCGAGGTCGACGATTCCAACGACATGCCATGAGGTCCAATCGTGCCACCCTTTCCATCAACTGTGAAGACATTTACGATCCTGATCAGGACGTAAGTCTCAGAGCTCATGTGGGTTGGCACCATAGGATCCTCGAGACGTTGAGCAAGGTGGACAAGTTCAACGAGCATCTCAATAGCATCTTGGAGTTCGTCACCCAGCATCAGCAGGAAAGGATCTTGGTGGACCTGGAGTGCAAATCAGGCCGCCATAGATCGGTTGGTCAGGGCTTCGCAGCTTTCAGGTGCTTGAAGGCCTTGGGATACGACGTTGTCTTGATCCATTCGTCGTCTTGGATGTGGGGTGAAATGCGTTGTGGAGGAGTTTGCAACGACTGCAAGAATGTTGGGGCCAGTGTGGGACAGATCAGGCATCTGATCCCGAGGACACAGGCCGTGACGATGAGGCCTCGTGGCAGTGTAGCTGCCAGCCGTGCAGGCGTTGATGATGCTCCAGCCGATGGCGCTTCAGTGGAACATCCTACAACAGGTCAGCTCGAAGAGATCAGACGACTTGTGCAGGGTCTTGCATCTGACGTTGGGGGCCTGGCATCTGATGTGGGACATCTTCGCTCTGAGCAGAGGAAGATAGTTGCTGAAAGGAGATCCAGGAGCCCATTGCGACGAAGGCGTCTTCCTACACCTCCATCACCACCAAGACGCAGACGAAGCCCGAGCTACAGTCGCAAGCTGCCCCCATGGAGACACCCAAGATCATCCAGAGGGAGGAGCTTGGGAAGAGATCGAAGTCCATCCTCGAGACCAGCTCCATCAAGGCCAATTTCTTCGAGACCTGCCCCAAGGAGTCCAGATCACCCGCCTCCACATATTTCAGATGTGCCTGGGACCGATGAAGGATCCCGATCGACATTGCCACGACGTTCCAGAGAGCCACCAAATGATCGCGATGAGCTTGAGCGATTGGTTCGCAACAACTTGGCATTGGATGGGCCGTTCGACAACAAGAACATTTCAGTGACATCATTGGACGGTGAACTTCTTAGTGAGGTTGTGTCCTTCTGCGTTCGTGAGGGAAATCGTGACCGACTCTTTTGGATCTGTCGACCAGGAGTTGAAGACCCCCACAACAGTGGTGTCAGGATGAATGTCTTGATTCGAGATCACATCCGACCCAATCGAATCATCAAGGTTGCGAACAGCATCAAGCATTGGAAACGATCTACATGGTGCCGACCTCGCAATGGAGGCGGTTGGGAGCTCATCGAAGACAATGTCGATGGCAATACAATGGTGCGTTTGGAGAACTCGTGGATTGACGTGGTCGTGTTTCACCACCCACCAGGGGTGTTCGATGACTCCGGGAGGGGAGCATACATGAGCGTTCACGTCAAGTTGACCCCCAACAAGAAACTTCGGGACGTAAGGGATGATTTTGAAAAGTCTTTGAATCCAAAAGTTGAGATGAAATCCTCAGAACCCAAAAGGATGTATGCAGTGAAGTCGAAGCCCCAGCCAAAGGTCTTGACGCCCAAGTTGGAACAAGATGATTCCGATTCATATGAATATGACTATGAGTATTCTCCCACTGGTTTCATGGCTGTGCGTTTTGATTCCAACGTTGATTTGACAGTCCATCCTGATGAGAGGAGGACCATGAGCAAGAAACACAGGAAGATGGTGTTGGAAGGTATCAACAATCTCAACAACCATGACCGGGTAATGCAGTCCAGTCTTGGGATGCAGCCTCAAGTTTCCAATGGTACTTCAGGGGTTGCAGTCATCACGTCGCATCCGACTCTTTTCCAGGATTTTTTCGAGCACACCTATGACGTTGGCATGAATGCTGCGTACTTGGACGGTGATGCTGAGCAACACGGTTGGAAAGACATGTTCGAAGGTTGCACATTGGTCATTGTTGCAATTGAATACAAGTCAGAACATTATCCACTGTGTCATGGGGATCTTGTATTTGAGTTGGAAAGACATGTTCGAAGGTTGCACATTGGTCATTGTTGCAATTGAATACAAGTCAGAACATTATCCACTGTGTCATGGGGATCTTGTATTTGAGTTGGAACAGTATTGTGATGCCACAGGGTGTAGGTTTCTCATTGTTGATGTCGCACACACTGAACGATGGGAATCATTCAAAACACCACAGATACCATACATCAATGAAGTTGGTCTTGCTTTTGTGTCAAATGATGATGAACTCATTCAAGGTTTTCAAGATTGGTCTATGTATCGACAATTGGATGACGTTTTGAATTGGGAGTTTTGTCAATGGATTCGTGATTGGTCACTTGAACGTGAATTGGAGGAGCAGATGAGCGTTGCCTTTCCAGCAGAGATCATCGAAGAGGCTCAGGAACATGGTGGGAACTGGGATGCAGTCGATGGCCCAGAAGATGTTGCATTGCAGGATCCGGTTGAGGACCTGACACATGAAGAGACTCTTTTGGATGAAGTTGATATCCCTGGTTTGCCAGAGGATGAAACAGAAAGACGTAGGTCTTGGCGCAAACTTCCCCAGCGTGTCAGGATTGCTGTGCGTAGATTGCACAGGGCTTTTGGACATGTCCCCAAGTCGGTGATGGTCAATTTGGTGCGTGCTGCAAAGGTGAGTAAGGAGTTTGTTGATGCAGTGAAGTTGCATAGATGTGAAACATGTGAGAAAACATCAGCAAAGAAACCCACTCACAAAGTTACGCTTCCAAGTGATTATACATTCAACCATACTTTGGGGATTGATGTATTGGAGTTGACAGATGTAACTGGACAGAAGTATCAAGTTCTCAACATGGTTTGCATTGGTACTTGTTTTCAACAGGCTGAGGTTGTGAAGGTTGGAGCAGGTCAAGCTTCTTCGCGATCCTGTTTGGACGCACTCATTAAACGTTGGTTCAGTTGGGCAGGACATCCTGTTGCTATCATGTGTGACCGTGGTTTGCACAATCGTGGTGTCTTACAACAATACATGGATGAACATAACATTCAAGTGCACCATGTGCCCCTTGAGAGCCCGGAATCATTGGGCCGAGTAGAGAGGCATGGTGGTTTGTTGAAAGCTCTTTTCAGGCGAGTGTGTACAGAAGTTGGGGCTTGTACCAAAGAACAGGTTGAGTCGTGCATCACACAGGTGCTCAGTGTGAAGAACGACTCCGCGCGTGTTGGAGGATTTTCTCCATCTCAGTGGGTGCTCGGTCGAGCTCCCCGTGGTGTAGCTTCACTCATGTCAGAGGAAGACCATGCACAACTCGGAGCCATCCAGGCCCGACATGACCCTTCATCAATTTTTGCATTACAACATTTGGCCAGGATTGAGGCACAAAAGGCTTTTGTTCATCTTGATTGTTCAAGAAGAGTTCAACGAGCGTTGACACGCAATGCCAGTGTGTTTGATCGTGAATTCAACATTGGTGACCTCGTCACTTTCAGACGAGACAATCAGCGAGGAGGAACGTCCTGGTCACCAACATGTCGTGTGATCGGACACGAGAACCAGAAGAACATATGGTTACTGTGTGGTAACGTTCCAGTACTTGTAGCTTCTCACAACATACGCGTTGCTTCTCCTTCTGAAGCTCTTGCTCAATCAGTGTTGAATGGTGAACCTGTGATTCCATACAAGATCATCAATGATACAGGTCAACAAGCGTTTCTTGATGCAAGACAATCAGATGAGGTTGAAGTTGTTCGTGATGGTCCAGGACAAGCAGATGATGTTGAGGTTGTCCATGAAGGCAATGTGGATTCAGCACTCCCTCCTATACCAGAAGTATCTGAAGATGAATGGGATATACGGCCCGGTTTCTTTGAAGAAGATGAGGAGGAGGAAGATACAGGTCCAATGGAAGAAGACATCTTTTCACAGAGTAGAACCCCAGAAAGAAGAGTTGAAAGACCACATCCAGGAGATGGAGATCATGAACGCAATGTGAGACCTCGAGTAGAGTCTCACCTACAACCTGAGTCGGAGAGAGGCTCATCACTTGTGCCATCTCGGAGAGACTCCTTTGTGCCTGATTCTACTCCAAGTGGCTCCGTTTTGGGACCACTATCCTCGCCGTCAGCATCATCTTGGCCATTACGAAGAGAACTTTTGAATGACTTACCACATCAATTGCGAACACATCTTGAAAGAGCTCGTGAGAGAGACTCAGAACGAAGTCCTGAAGAACAACAAGAAGCACGAGCATTGTTTGCATCATTTTTGTCCCAGGAAGTTGAAGTCCCTGAGGACGAAGAGCAAGGTAAGAAAGTGTTGAAATCAATCCACTATGAATCAGCGTCACCTGATGTACAGAAGAACATCATGGATGCCAGAACCAAGGAGTGGAGCAAGTTCCTTGAGTTCGCTGCTGTTGTTGAAATCTCAAAAGAAGATGCTGAGAGGTTGATTGCTGAAGGACATCAATGTATTCCTAGCAAGTGGGTTGATGTTGACAAGAATCAGTTCATGAAAGGAAGATCAGATCAAGAATATGTGCCAAAGTTCAAGAGCCGGTTGGTATCATGCGGCAATTTCGAAGTCAGTGAAGGTTTGAGATCAGACAGTTCTACAGCAGATACGGAAGCTCACAACATTCTTTGCTGTTGGGCGGCGATCCAGGGCGCACAATTGCACAGTGCGGACGTCGCATCCGCATATTTCCAAGGTCGTCCTCTTGATAGAGTTCTCATTATGAGACAACCCCGAGGAGGTCTCCCGGGAGTTGATCCAGAGGTGTTTTTCCTTGTGCGGGTGCCTATATATGGATTGACTGACAGCGGTCGAGGTTTTTGGTTGAGGTTGGACGGAGATGCCCGATCCAGTGGCTTGAAACAATCCAAGTTTTACCCAGGATTGTATTTCCTTCCAGGAACCGACAAAGATTGCGTTGCACTTATGGCGACACATGTGGATGACATCTTGTACGCATACATTCCTGAGGGAAAGTCAGTGATCGACAGCTTCTTGGAGAAGTTCAACTTGGGATCAAGTGAATCAAATTCGTTTCGCTATTGTGGCAAGCAATTTGAGCGTACTGCAGATGGAACAATCACACAAGACACTTGCGACAACACCCGTCGCATCAAGCCGATCAAGATCGCGCCAGGAAGATCAGCGTCCGAGCCGTTGGGTAAGGATGATGTGACCCGATTACGGTCTGTAACGGGATCATTGGCATGGGTGGCAAGACAGACTAGACCCGATTTGGGTTATCGTGTGAGCCGCCTACAGTCCAGTATTTCTGGAGCGACAGTTGCTATTTTGCACGACGCAAATGCCGTAGTACAGCTGGCACAACAAAGCATTGAGAACAAGCTCATTTTTCCAGGTGGACATCTAACCTGGGGAGAGGTTGGTATCATTACAGTAACAGATGCTTCATTTTCAAACGAGAAGAACTACAAATCACAACAAGGACGTTTCCATTTTCTTGGAGACATCAATGAGATCAAAGACCCCAAGACTACATCCTACAGGGTGATGCCATTGGGATTTGCATCAAATACAATTCGGCGAGTATGCCGCAGCACTCTTCAATGCGAGGCTTATTCACTGCAGGCTGGACAAGAGAGCGGTGACAAGCTACGTGGAGCATTGGCCGAACTGATGGGCCAACTTGACTCGATGAAAACATGGTTGGATGACAGCCGCAGCTGTATTCCACAACTGATGCTTTCAGACTGCAGGTCTCTAACAGACCATCTTGCGAATGAGGTACTCGGCAGGGTCGCAGACAAACGACTCGGCATTGAGTTGCGGTCGATTCATGAGTCACTTTGGCAAGACGGCCGGAGGACCTGGGATATGCATCATGGCGGAGGAGACGTTGTTACCTGGATTGCTACAGGGACTATGGTCTCGGATGCTCTGACCAAGAGCATGCGCCCGGACCTCATTATCCGCGTCTTGAAGGAGTGCATTTATCGTGTACAGAAGAAGCCTTAGAGCCAACTTTTTCACTAGCATCATGTGATCCTTGAAGAACAGGTTGAGTGTGAGTTTGACCTGTCTAATGTATATTTTGTATAGCCAAGTGATCACATGCCCCCGTTGACATTTGGCTTTAGGGCCCTTGAGTCATACCGCGCTGCCGTGGTAAAAGTTGGGCATTTGACGATCCCGTTTCCAATTCATACCATTTTTAATGGGAAAATCCACTATAAATAGCCATTTTCCATTGCTATGTTAGTTCACCAGAGGGTAAGTCCTGCAGGCGGAGGAAACTGGGTTGGTCTTGGAATGCCAGGATTTTCGCCCCAGCGCTGAACCTTGCCGACTGTCCGGGAGATAGACCCGAAAAAATGGGATCATCTGGAGACAAGCCCATATGGATGTGGGTCAAAATGGAAGACCTAGGGGACCACAGATGTTAGTCTAGTTTAGTATTAACCATCCAATTATTGGGGTACCTAATTTTGACCCATACCCATATGTTGAACATTGCAAAAAAATGGTAACATAATATATACATAATGGTTCATGTCGGATGTATGATGAATACTGAATGAATACTCAATTCTTAGTCAGAATTTACTCAACTCTTCAACTATTCCAGGATGTTCATGGGATTTTCTGGGGATGTCTTCTTTTCCCATTGGTTTGAAACCAACGGGACGAAGTGACAGAAGTTTTCTCATGTCGTCTGAAAAGTACCAGGGTACCCTGTGAAGAAACATACCCAGTAGATCCTCGTGGTCCCATGGTTGGCCCTGTGTTTTCAGTAGAGCACTTCGTACATCACAGGTTTTCAATGGTGGCTACTCTGAATCACTTAAATCAACTGTATGTATATGCATATTATAAATATTTCTTATATTATAAATTATAGATCTGCATATAAATGAATCCTCAATTCACCCAACTGTTTTTGATGGTTGTTCATCCACCGGCCCAAAAACACGCCTCCTTTTGTCTCGCTCAGGAGACCCCACTGATGTTGCAGTCGCTCCAGCGAACGGTGAACGTCACCTTGCAGGGAGGTGCGATGTTGATGGACAAGGGACACCAGGGGCCGCTATGTGTGAAGGATAAGGCAAAATCCTGCCGTAGCTGGACATCGGGAGTTACTAATGTTACTATGAAAATAGATGATGATATCAAAATGTCTCCAGAGTTTATGAATGAAAATGAATGTTCATGTCTCCCGAGTTTGGGCAAACAAATCCTTAAACCTCTCAGTTTCCCGTCGATTTCCATCGAATTTTCACCACTTGCCAGGAACAGAGGAGGGGGACAACATGCTTTACATGTTTTTACTGAATGTCCTCACTCCTGCCCAAGAACCACTCTATGACGCATGGCTGCAGCAAACTCTGCAGAAATAAAAAGTGAAATTTCATCCCCCAGGCCCAAAGCCTCAATATTATCCGAAGGAAATTCGACGCTGCTGTGATCCTATCCCCCCAAATTTGAATAATTTCACTAGAAATCACAGTTTAGTATTGGATCTATTCGTGAGTCTATTCATGTTGGGGTCCTTCATTAATTAGCCTGTATTTGATATAAGCAGGATGGCAGTACAGTAGATGTCAAAGTAACATCATCCTGATACTCATGTGAATCTTGTAAATAGGTTTAACTGAAAACAGGGCACTGCATTCCATCCCACGATTTATCATCGTAATCCGCAGTACAATTGCCATGGATTTGAGGCAATTGCCGGTTCTTAGGGACAAACCCGAAATCATCCCCATCACATATCCCCATGATATCCCAATTATCCACAAAATTAATGGCTTCCTGTAGATTTTCCCTGGGAATTCCGTACTTTTGGAAGTACTTTTGGACCCCAGTCAGCTTGTCAACGAAGAATTGTTGATTCTATCCCCATGAAACATCATGAAAATCCGTATTTTTTTCACCAACATTGGCCTTGCGGGACAATCTTATGCTCCCATGCCTAAGGAAAGACCCTGAATCATGCCCATAGTGTTGGTTTATCCCAGAAAGATCCCACGAAATATCATGAAGGTGAAATCCCATCAGTCGGAGAGATTTTCTCATAAGGATTTGACTGAAAATAGGCTACACCATGGTACACCCAAATCCACTGGTTGATCATCATTATTTCATATGATTTCACTAAGATTGCCATTGGTATCCTCCATTTCCAGCCATCGTTTCCTAAGTCATGGGGGTACCCCCAAATCATGCAAGTCATTAGACCATTTTAGTATTGACAGGGGTTGGTAAATGTCCTGTTTGGGGAATTTTGAACATCACTTTCAAGTATTTGTTGGTGATTATATCAATTATATCCCCAATATTTGGGTGATGTTCAATTAGAACATTTACCAACCCCTGATTGAAACCAATGGTTTTGGGGATTGAAACGATCCCCAGGATCCATGGCAGCTACGAGTGCTGGACACGGCTTTCTACGTGGTCGATGCAGCCTTGAACATTCCACAGCCAGGCCCACCATGAAATGCAGACCGTGCTGGGGCCAATTCCAATGAAGCTTTTTTCATGGGGATATCATGAGACACCATATGACTGGTTGGTGGTTTGGAACATTTTTTTTGTTTTTCCATAATATATGGGATGTCATCCTTCCCATTCGCTGATATTTTTCAACATGGTTAAGTCACCACCAACCAGATGAGGATATAACCAACAGTGATATGGCTTTGGACCTGGGAATACCCATTCGAAATTCGTGTTTTTTTCATGATTTGATGGCAACCACTTGTGCTTAAATGCCCCACACCTACATACTGTATGTAAACGTTTACAATTATTTACATAAATAGATAGTTTTTGCAATTTCTGGTAGAATCAAATCGAGGATAGTGTTTCTGATCATGGACTACATCCTGTTGAATGCCTAGCCACGCCCTGCGTTGGTCCCGTTGGTGTTTGGGTTTTCCACGCCAGGTTTCGTCCCTGACTTGGAAATGGGAAATCCATCGCTGAGTTGGTTGGAACCACCACAGATGGGGGAGGCCTGCCCTGAATTTGGTGGACGGTTCTGAGATGGTTCAGATTGACCAAACCTGCGAAACCTGGAAGAAACTTGAGCCATATGAAAGCAGGATTCTTGGAATACGAATATATATATATAATACATATATATGTGCTCTATGGTGTGTGGATTAACCTGACGAAAAAGTTGGTTGCACTATTCAGATCCACATTGGAATCTCCCTCTCTCTCTCTCTCTCCCCTCGCTGGATCACTTTGAGTGACAGGGACAGGTCCATTTCGAATGCATTCAGCCCCAGAATTCAAACCATTACCCCATAGTTTGTGGCTGAATTCCCCATTACCACCGATTTGGAGGTGTCCAATCCATGGGGGTACCCCTAAGTCATCCATTTTATTTTTGGATTTTCCAACAGAAAAACCATCCAGCAAGCTTGACGTACCCCCATGACCATGGAAACCACCAAGATGATGACGGCTATAGAAAATCACCATTTTGAATAGGCAAATCAACTATAAATGGGGTATGTTCAATAGCAAACTGTTAAATTGCCAGAGGGTATATCACCACGAAAAAAAACACATCCCAGGAATATCCCATTAATATTCCCATTGATAGTCTCATTATGTACCACCATGATAATCCCGTTGTAGCTATATTAAATTACTATCTATCAGGTAGATAAACATATCTATATAGTGATAGATATTCCCATTGATTTCCATGTTATTCCCATTGATGTCCCATCTATGATAGATAAACCACCATGATAGATACTACCCATAATTAATGTAGATAATTACTAAATACCCATAATCATTGTATATACAGTAGTCCTATTAATATTCAGTCCATCTATGATAGATAACCCACTATTCCCATGGTATTCCCATTGAACAATGGGAATTTCAGGATCCTAAAATGGAGGTACGTAAACGTACCATATTTCTGGCCATATTTTCTGGGGATATTCCCTGAAATTTAGGCCTGAAAAATAGGCCTTATATATGGTAGGTACCTCCAATCAATCGGTTCCTATGCTACCCAACACCAACACCACGCGAGCTGTCGCCAGGTCTCCAACGTCCAGATCGAGGTGTCGTTCCTTCGCCGTGTGAAGCTGGGTCGGAGAGTTGTCATCGTCGTGTTGTTCTTTTTGGTCACCCAAGAATAGCTTGTTAAGTTTGTTTAACTTGTTTCTAAGTGTGTGTATATATATATATATACACACTCTCTCTACAACTAATCTATCTATCCATCTATCTATCCATCTATCTATCTATCCATCGATTGATCTATCTAACCTAATCTAAATCTACATCTACATCTAAATCTAAATCTACATCTAATCTAATCTAATCTAATTATCTATCTATCTATCCATCCTATCTATCCATCCTATCTATCTATCTATCGATCCATCCATCCATCCATCCATCCATCCTATCCATCCATCCATCCTATCTATTTATCTTTCTATTTATCTTTCTATTTATCCTATCTATCTATCTATCTGTCTATCTATCTATCTATCTATCTATCTATCTCTCTATCTCTCTATCTCTCTCTCTCTATCTCTATATATATATATATGTATATATGTGTATATTGATATATATTAGTATATATAGACACGCACTATCGATATCTATATCTATATCTCTATATCTCCATATATATATATATATAAATACACAAAACTGTATCTGTATGATAGTTTGTCTTCAACAATGTGTGTACAGCGGTGAGGTCTCAGGCTGAGTTCTCAGGGCTGCAAATGGAATCTCCGGCGGATTTGTTTTACATATAGTCGAAAAAACAAACAAACCAAATAATGTTATGGAGCCTTAAAATAAACAGATCAACAGCAGATAGCAGCAGCACCTACAACAAGAAAACGAAGTGGAAAATCAAAGAACACGTTCAAATCAAATCCAAGAAAACATGTTTTCCAGAATCAAAAAATCCAAGCAACCGTCCAAGCCTTGAGGAAAGATGTGAAGGCCGTCTTGGTATCGCTACCAGAGAAGTACCGTCACGATATCCAGCACAAGAACCAGTTACTTCGTATCGCAGCAGAGAAGGGCAAGCAATGGGAGGATTTCAATGTGGACGGCATACTTGGGGAACAACTATAAGTTAATTATAAACAATAGTGGTGTTTTAGGCAGCACAATTTTTTGGATGCAATTGATAGATGATGGTTGATTGGTGACTACATGTTGACGTGCATTCCAGTTTGTATCTGGGTAATAAGAAACATATTACAACCCAGTTATACAGCGTATATCTTGAATTCGGTGTTTATAAACCACTTACTAGTCGGGAGGCACATCCAAGTATGATGTTGTGGATACCCTTGTTGCTACTTTAAACGATATGCATTGTGATTCTAATTTGGTTTCCCATCGACTCATTTGTTCTCATAGGAATTGATTCACAAGTTTTGCAATCCCCCAAGAGAGAATCAAATAATAATTTGCCATTTGCTAGAGATTTTCTTTTTTTTTTTGATGGGATTATGCAGATTACTAATTTGTGGACGAGGCTGTTAGTTTTCTGCCGAGGCTGCGAAATGTGAACAAGCTGTTCCCGCTGACCATCGATGAGGAGTGGCGAATCTTTGATAATTTGAGGCGGGCAGAGACGTTTTTCCACTTCACTTTGTGCCCGGTTTGTGGAAAGCAAGGCGAGGATATGATGATATGGATATGAAAATATATGAAAATACATGAACATATATGAAAATGTTTGGAAGTTGCTACAGTGCACAATCACAGATACAGAGATGTCATGTTTCTTCTTTGAGTTTTCGCAATCCCGGGAAAACTTTGATCAAGATTTTGACAGATTCACCAACAAGTATCAAACATTAACCACCATTAACAGTTATTAACCACCATTAACCACCATTAACCACCATTAACATCCAAGCTGTCGTTTCACCTTGCGAGCCTTGAACAGGCACATCAAGGTTCTAGTGGAGGTGACCGAAAGCCACCTGGATGGAGACACATAAACACCCGGGGATGGGATCAGATGGACGCATAGCCATAGCCTACTTAGGGGTGTAGTTCCAGTTATAGGATGTTAGAAGTGGAATTAAGTATACATATATATATATATATTATTTTATTATATTATATTATAGTATATTACATTATATTACATTATATGTACATATATTTATATTTACATATATGTACATCTAAATATGTACATATATAATTACAGATGTATATACATATATATATATATATATATGTACATATATATATATACATGTACATATACATATATATATATATATACATCACTTAACTATACTTATAGGATCTTTTAGGGGCCCCATCCCAATGTCTTCCAGGTTTTTTTTTGGAATCCCATGGCCGCCGCTGCAGATCCTGAGGCAATCAGGCTCAGATCATCACCTCAGGTACCTACCAATGGCAATTCCCTGTGATGGTCGCTTGGCCATGGCAGGGCTTGGTTCATGTCCTAAGTCCTAAGTCCAATTTTTCTATGGTTTATAGGTGATATATCTATAGTTTCTGAAGATTATAAACCAATTTAGAACTGGGGGCGCCGGGGGGGCACCACCTTGTAACTGTTCACATCACCCAACTATTTTTTAAGGGGAATTCTTGGGGAGAGATTCAGTAGGATCTCCGACTGATTGAATGTGAGGTTCAAAATCCGGACAATGGGAGGTTTACCAAGCTCTGTTTGATTTGGGGTTTCTTAGATGGCTGGTTTACCAAGCTGGTATGGATCGCGTGCATGTAGATGTTGCGAATGTTTTGTTTGAAAAAAATGGTTGTACAATATTCAGCTATTTTAGGGAAATAGATCAGAATTCTGGTAATTACCGGGATTTCAATCTACTTCTCTTTTTCGGAGTGTGCTTGATGGCAGCCATACCAGCTTAATCCCAAGCTGCACCCATCACAGCTGCCACAGGTCCCGCTGATCGAACCTTTCGCCTCTGAATGGTATGCAACTAGGCATGAGCTGGATGTGGGTCATGTAGCTTTACGGTATAGCATTTTTTCTAGTGGTGTCCATTCCGAAAAATGGAGGGCCAGGCTCACAAAACTACTAAGCTATTGAGTATTTCTATGTAGTTAGTTCTTCACTAACATATTGTTGGAAACTTTCAGCACCAGGATATGTATGGCTTAAATCATTTACATACATCTTAATAGCACCAGGATTGCCCCCAGCCTGGTTATCATGGTGGTCCAAGATAATTGAATGCTTAAAACAGACAATGTGGCTATACCCTCAAACAGCCATTTTTATAGGAGTTTCTTTTCTAAAGCATTGGATGGAATGGGGGTTTCCTGATTTTTTCAGGATTTATTACTTGCCAAAACCAAATAGGATGAATGAGGTAGCCTAATTTCAGACAAAACCATGTGAGCAGTGGCTGGTAGGTTTTGATTATACCAGTGGATTGTGACATTACACTATCATCTGGTTGGTGGTTTGGAACATGAATGACATTTTTTGTCCATTCAGTTGGGAATAATCATCCCAACTGACGAACTCATATTTTTCAGTTGAAACCACCATTATACTATCATTATATTGGGGATTGTCATCATCCATTATGGGAGTCCCGTTCTTAAGCAAGTTACTGAGGAAATGAATCTTATCCCCTTGGAATTCACCCATGAAACAGTTACAAGGTGAGGCTCCCCAGTGATGTGACTGTTGGTTATAAAATGTTATAAAGCCCATGTATTCATCATGAATATTACAGAGTCAATACTTGCCATAAACTTAAACCATACTTCTTGGAGCAACTCACCAACTCTATCGTTTGGAGGTACCCCGTAGAGACGTAGCCCTCCAACTGTTGAGGTAAGCCTATGCTCGGATCCTGCTTGACGCTTGGCACGGCCCACGCGCCGGGCTCGAGACGGTTGTGGGGATCGCTTCAGAAAAAGTCTTCACTTTTCATGGGAAAAGATTGGGATTACCATGGTTGACCCTCCGGCAATGAAACATGGCTTGCTGGAAAATCCACCATTCAGTTTGATTCTTTGCCCATCAAACTATATTAGATCCATTTATATGCTGGTTGGTGGTTTGGATCATTTTTTATTTTTCCATATATTGCGAAGAATCATCCCAACTGACGAACTCCATCATTTTTCAGAGATTGAAACCACCAACCAGTATAGATGGGATAGGATGGGATAATAGGTGTGTAAACTCATGGGATTTTCAACTGCCACGTTGGATATTCCGCAGGGTAACCAACATTTAGACGGAAACTCTACAGTACCATCGTGAGGCTTTGAGTCGAAATGGCTGTATACATTGCCATCTAATGGCAATACGGATGATAAACTTCAGATTTTGAGTTCCTTGTTTTATAATTTAAATGGTACTTCATATCTAGTGCCAGAGATTGGAGAGTTTTTCCATGGGTTTTCAGAGGATTGGTCCGCCAAGGTAACATGGTGGGCCAGGGTGGCATCTTGGTGCCTTGGTGCTGGGTTTCGAATGTGCCTCCACCAGGTTTCAACACGCAGGACCTAAAAAGGTTGACGCCTTTGGCTACATGCCATCAATAGCTGGGACAGACTCCAAGTCAATTCTCCTCGCGCCATTTTTTGTTGAAGAGTTGTAAGACCTTGCTGCGTCTCATGCCGCCTAGCTCTGAGGTTTGTCCAGAAGTGGATGATATACGTCCAAAGTATACAAAACATGACAAAACTATCATGAACATATTGGGAACATAGAAGTGAGATGAAGTGGGACAGTGGGACACCGACTGAAATTCTCAATTCTTGGTTACAAGATGTTTCATCAAGACTCTTATATTCACCCACTGGGAATCAAACACCATGAAATATTGAGACCATCCTTTGCCATTCCGTGCAGGCCTCCTTCCCGGTCTTGAATAACGAGCCACAGCTGCCGGCCAAGACCTTTCAGGCATCGGTGGTAGACCTGTAGGCAACCCCAATGCCGAAAAGTGGAAAAAAACTGGTGGAAAACTGATGAAAAACTGGATATAGACAAATACATAAATTATATATGTTAACATATCATTATGTAAATATCATCGAACTACTACTATCCTGGTCTGCACACTTTTCGGCATCTTTTTAGGCGTTGCCATGCGTTAGCACAGAATATATTGGATCCAGTTCCTCAAATGAAAAAGGAACAAAAAGGGGTTGGATATCCCAGTCCCATGCATTCCTAGGTACTAAGGCTAAGCAGTGAGAAAACTCTAGGTTGGTTCTGTCTAGCTTGGAGACCTAAGAGGAAACAGTAGTTTCAGAACTGAACTTTCTACTATTTATGCGATTCACCTGCTGATATTATCAACATAGGTCCACATTTTGCACATATAAGTTCTACTGCACAGTTGTTTTCCAAGTTGCTGTCATCTCTTTGGACATCACTTAAAGAACAAAAAAAGCCTGGGCAATGAATTTCCAAGGATCGCAGAGCTATTCACTTTTTATCACCTCCAAAGGTAAACCGGTAAACCGTTTTAACCCCCCTAATCATAGATGATGAACACTTTTACTGGTTGGTGGTTTGGAACATGAATGACATTTTTTGTCCATTCAGTTGGGAATAATCATCCCAACTGACTTTCAAATTTTATCAGAGGGGTAGGTATACCACCAACTAGTTTATTACTGGTTGATCTTGGGTAAATGAGACTTTTTTTTCTGTATTCAACCGTGATCATTGCGTTTTTTTTTGCTGTTGGTCCTTGGTGTCCAACGGATTCTTAGGCGTTTCATGGAGGTTGCAGCCACAGATGTTGAAGGCCACAAATCCCTATTGTATTCGCCATATCTCCATCATATGTAACATATACTATATACATATCCTCGAAACATGTTGAATGTATGATATTTATTCATATCTATTCCCCATGAATCCCCTATGAATGTTGGGTTACCTCAAGATCTCAACTAATTATTGACAGCATAAGCTTCCAATCTTTGACGCTAAAGGGTGTTTTCCCATTTGAATGGATAAGATATTCGCATTTCCCATTTTGATGGATAAATCCTCCATTTCCTGTCGGACAGGTTCCCCATGGTTCCCCGTGCTTTGCAGGTGGTGGCGCAAACCGGTGATGCGAATCAGTTAACACCAAAGCTGGCATTGTTGGCGCTTGCACTGGCGAGTTGGAGCGCGTGAGCGCGTCATCTTTGTTGAGTTGATGGTTCCAACATGTGTCAAACACTTAAAAAACTCCTCACCCAGGAGGGCACTTAAGTGACAATTGGGAGCGCAAGTCACTAATTGTTTTGGGCAGGTTGAAACCACGATTTGTTAGTTTGTTCTCTTCCTGTTGTGATCCTCTTCCGTTTTTTTGGTTTGGTCTCAACTTCAAAACACATCATTGATTGTTACTCTGGGACTTCATCCACTCGTGATTTGTCCACATATGCAGAGATTGCGGGGCTCCCAATGGCGTTCAAAATACTTAGTGCAACCCCAAGCAATCAGCCAGCAGATTAACATGTAGCTTGAAGGCAAAAAAAAACTTTGTTTGGATTTCCATGCTCCTGAGGGAACGCTAGCAACAACATTGATTCGAGAACCATCTCACCCGCAGCTCCTGTTCTGATACTATTTTTTTCAGCTATCAATCACCTCACCTGCGGAATGGCTCAAAATCAGCATGGCATTGACGAGTTTATAGGTTTGACCAGGAACACTGTGTTTAGTTGGAGGTGGATAGCATGATCATGTTCAATGTTGTCCTTGACCTGTAGATAGCAACTCGCCACGTAGATCAAATGTAGGGAGTCTCGTGTTGTGCGATGAAATCGTCAGAAGTACCGCACGCCGCAGGCACACATTTTTTCTCAACCTGCTGGATGTTTAGATCGAAGATAAGGGGCGAGCTGGTGTAGCTGAGGTACTGGATACCCCCTGACAAGCGCAAAAAAATCATTACTTTCCCAAGCCCTTTTTGGGGTATGCCCCATGGAAAATTCGCCAGTTCTCCAATTTTTCTGATGGTTGCTGTTTGATCGCATGCTTTCCAAAGAACCCATTTCGTCATTGCACAGCACGCGCGGTGCAACCAAGAATACTTGACTGACATGGTCGAGATTCTGTTAATGCCAAAGGGACGTACCACCTCATGGAGGAGTAACACAAACCACTGGAAGCTATGAAGTGTAGCAATTCAAATTGAGAACATGTCACATTACAAAGCAACTGGAAACTTCGTTTTGTTGTCCTCCGGGTCATTCCAATTTGATTCTTTGAAATTCAGGGACTGTATCCTCCGTTCTACAGAGAAGAGACTTGTGTGCCTCATATGGCCTTCAGTGAGGCTGTTCAGCTCATGGGAGGCTTGTGGGTCAACCAACACTCTCGTGTTTTTGGACGTTGCAAAGAAAGCTCCTTCCGGTTGGTTTTAAACCAGAGATTGCACGACACCGTCTCACTCCAACACCGGCCTCGGACACTGCAAAACTCCACAAGCCCTTTTGGGCGCAGGCCGCAAAGAAACCGGTGGAGGATGTGCACGATGATGGTTCCATCATGTGCTACCTATGTCTAAGGAAAATGTGTTGAACTTCACTGCGCGATTTCTGGAAACGGAGTGGATCCCCAAGTTGCTGCATCTCTGAATTTGCTACTCTTTCCCCCACATGTCAGTGAGGGTTTTTAGATTTTATGTCAGCTATCCTGCCTCCTCCGCCTCCGCCTCCGGACCTCAACTGCAAGCTCCGCATCAGAGTGTTCCCCGCCGGACCTCAACCACAAAGAATCTCCGAATATATACCAGATAGAATGCCAGAAGGAATGTCAGAAGATGTGCCATACATAATCATATGCCAGAAAGAATGTCAGATAGCATGGCAGAACAGAATGTCAGAATAGATGCCAGATAGAATGCCAGAATAGACTGTCAGGTAGAATGCCAGATAAAGTGCCAGAAGAGATGCCGGGAAGAATTTCAGAATAGATGCCGGATAGAATGCCAGAAAAGAATGCCAGAATAGAATGTCAGAAAATATATGCCATATATACTTCCAGATGAGCTGTCAGAAACTATGACACAATAATGTCACGGTGGGGATCGCTCGAAGTAAAGTAATTTTCCGGTATCATGTCAAGAGCTGTTGGGCCACCTGAAATCAGTTGAGGTCGCTGACACCCCCCGGCTTAGCCAACTTCTGGGCAAAGTGTAGAGTGATACATTGTTTAGAATAGATTAGAATACTACCCTCCGGTAATTTAACATAGCTATTGAAAATGGCCATTTATAGTGGATTTTCCCATTAAAAATGATGATTTTCCATTGCTATGTTAGTTTACCAGAGGGTAGTTTGCATGTTGTTCTGTTGGTGAGCACTTGATGAGCCCATCCATTTGTTTCACCATCGACCAGAAAGAGGAGTGGCCATCCTGCCCTTGGCACACGCAACGTGCAGGCACTCCTGGGGTCCAAAGTCATCTGGGCAGACCGCGTTTGTCCAATAAATCTCGAGGAACAAAACAGCCATGGCTCTGGGTTTCTTGGGGGTTTCCAGTGGCAGCGATTCCATTTTTTAAAAAAAATATCATGAAAATTGTTTTACAACACCCGATCCAGCCATGCCTTCTGAACTCAGGAAGTGTTTGGCCTATGATTTGGGTTAAGTACCTTAGAAAGTCAATTTTATTTGGATCCATGGGGACAATTCTTTCGCCATGACTCTTGAGACAAAAAACCTTGGATTTTGACACGAAAATTGGTTGCTGAGGTCAAGAAAACCACGCGAATCTCCAAGGGTAGGGACGCTTGGGTAATCGGGAATCCCATGCGAATCCCATCCTCGATGTTTTTTTCATAGAACCCAAAATGGGGACACATCCCATTCGAATTCAGGCGGAACCAGGGGATATTTTTTAGGAAGGTGGGATTGTAAACGATTGATGTTTGATGTCGAAAGCCTTAAAAGAGGTTCAAGCGAACGTGGACAACCACAATTATTTCCAGCAATTGTATGAGGGGAAACTCATTTGGGCATGGATCAAAGTCAGAATTTGGCCATCAGATGACCACCGCCTTACAATCTATTCTGGTGACATTCTTGGGATTTTCACGAGGGTACACCAAAACATACAATAATCAATCGTCCAATTATGATCAACAATGATCATAATTTGGTTCACATCCAAAACATCCAAAACATCCAGTTGGTTTCATAGCCCAAAATACCACCCCATGATTTTCTCTCCAGATTGGTTCAAGGGTGTTTCCAGGACTGTAGTTGGAAGATATTTACCTCATATTTCCAGCAGACCCGCTTCCCATAATGGCTATATAATATTTATTGGATAGTTCCCTCCATTTATGGATGATCGTCTCATCAAAACCTCCATTTTTCTTGGGGGGATGTCCCATTGCTAATCCCTTTTTACTACCAAAGGCACCATGATAGTGTCCATTGATGGTTATCCCATACCCTCTGGTAAACGTTAACAAAAAAAACTATGGAAAATCACCATGCTATCAATGGGTAAATCCACGAACTAAATCATCATTTTCAGTAGCAAACTGTAAACGTTTACCAGAGGGTAAATATTCCGTTCATATCCCATGGCAATCCATTGATTTGGATATGTCCCTCCATAGATGATTTTTCTCATTCGAAGCTCCATTTTGGCAAGGGGATTTTCCCATTGCCAATTCTCTGATTTTGGATATTTCCCCAGATTCTTGAAGATGATGTTCATTGATTTTCTATTCAATGGATTGGTTTAAGGGAAGATCTTAACCGGAAACCATCGATTTTCGCATTAAATAATATAAGGTTTCCCGGTTAAAGATTTTCCTTAAACCAATCCATTGACAGATACATTCTATACTGAATGTTGGTAAACAAAATTGGGTTCGCAGTCCATGATGGATTATGATTCTGATCATCCCAATATATAAAGGGTAGTAGAAGCCACTAATCACCAACCAAAATGGGGTTTTGAACACTGCTCATATGTCAGTACCTATCTATCTATCTATCTTTCTTTCTTTCTTGCTTTCTTTCTTTCTTTCTTTCTTTCTATCTTTCTATCTTTCTATCTTTCTATTTCTATCTGTCTATCTTTCTATATTTCTATCTTTCTATATTTCTTATCTATCTGTCTATCTATCTATCTATCTATCTATCTATCTATCTATCTATCTATATTTCTTTCTTTCTATCTTTCTATCCTTCTATCTTTCTATCTTTCTATCTTTCTATGTTTCTATCGTTCTATTCTTCTATCTTTCTATCTTTCTATCTATCTTTCTTTCTATATTTCTATATTTCTATTTTTCTTATATTTCTATCTATCTTTCTATATTTCTATCTTTCTTATCTTTCTATCTATCTATATTTCTATCTTTCTTATCTTTCTATCTATCTATCTATCTATTTATCTATCTATCTATCTGTCTATCTAGCTATCTAACTATCTATCTATCTATCTATCTATCTATCTATGATCTTCATTCAGGTTAGTGAAATTTTATAATTTACCCATATATATATATATTTATACACACACACATATATACATGTATATATATATATTATAGAAGGTTGGGCCCCCTTTACTAAGGGATTTCCCATGACCGGATCCTCCAGCCCCGTGGTTTTCCCCTCAGTCAGGTCTCCGTCAGACGGAGCTCCGCGAAGTCTTCGCCTTGGCCAACGTCTCCATGGAGGCGGTGCTGCGGTAAAATCCCATAGCGTTTTGCCGTTCTTCATGGGATATTCATATTGTAATTACAAAGTGGGCCCCCAGTTCGATAGCTAAGTTGGTTTATAATTAACTACAAGTAGTTATAACTATAGTTAGATTGGGTTATAAACCAACTGATATTCATATTATCTGGGAAAATTTGATCACGACCGCGCCCTGTTCTCCCGATCCTTGGAATCATGGTTAGATTGTGGGGAATCATCCCCTTTTATGGCCGCAAGATTCAGGCTAGTGAACTATTATAATTTACCCAGATATTATATAATTACATGTATATTTTTATATTTAATATGATATGTTTATATATATATATATAACAATTCCCGAAGAGGCATACTTTGTGTATATATATATATGATTATATATGTATATTTCTTTATATATATATATAATATGTATACCCCCAAAGAGATGTAGAAAAGTGTAGGAAACCTGAAAACTAT